CATCTTTATTAGGAGCTTTACTTGCTGCCCAATCTTCCAAATTTATAACCCAACTCGAGAGGGATGCGGAATAAGCTCTGAAATCAAAAGGAAGGACTGCGCGATCGCAAAATTCGAGAATGAGAAGAGCCCAGACTTGAGCGAGAAGTTTGTGATAGCGAAAATTGGGATCGCCTTGAGTGGCCATCCATTCGAAATTGTCATATGCTGAATGATATGGATAGACAGGACCTTCGAATCCAAAATCAAGAGAAGATGTTCCTGCCATATCTTGAAAAGCAACATAATCACTTCCAGCTCCTAGACCTTCTAATTGACCCTTCCTCTCGTCCCATAGTTGTCGAAGAGTAGCATTTCGATACGGATCCGTTGTGCGATCTAAGACTCGAAGAAGAGCTTTCTTGAAAACCGGACTTCCTGCTGCTCTGAATTTATCACCACCAACGCCTACATCAACATTAAGATAAACGAAAGCATCCTTGCGTAACTTTTCCATGTTCTTTTCAACATGCTCGGTAGATCCAATAAGATTATATTCTTCACCATCCCAGGAGGCAAATTCAATTGTACGTTGTGGTCGCCAACCTCTTGAAACAAGATCACCAAAGATATGCATGACTTCGAGAAATACCGCGGTACCTGAACCAGGATCCGTAGCACCAAAAACCCAAGCATCACGATGATTACCAACAATGACGGATTTTTCCTTTTGCTCAACACCGGTAATTTTGCCCAAAACATTCCAAATCGGTTGTTGCTCAACTTCATCCTGTTCATTAACAAGATGAACTTTCGGTGTTGAAAGATTTCCAGACCAATATTTAACATCAGGAACCGCACCTGTCCAATCTGGAGGACATTCAACTCCAAATCCTTGAATAGACTGCAAAAGTTTTTGTGCATCTCCCCACGAGATAGGGATACTGGGAATATTCGTCAACCCCGGATTATTCTCTTTTGGTATTCGTTTTGCCCCTTTTACACTTGCCCATCCAGGGGTAAGAACATCGCCCACCACCCAACTCATCAAGCTAACTGCGCCACGTTGAACCCCGTCTTTTGGCATATATCTACCATTGGGGGCTGTATCACCCAAAGTGAATCCATCATCGGCCGGATCACTATACATTATCACAGCTTTAAAACCCCAACGTTCCGCAGCCTTGACCTTTAAAGCCCTATCTCCTTGCGTACCGTAATACCTAACCAAAGCAATTGCTCCTTCTGTCTCAATTCCACCATCGTAAAATGTTTTGTAATCAGCTTGTGATCCATAATTACAATATAATAACGGTCCCGTCACGTCTCCGGCCTTCGAATGTCCATGAAAAACAGGCGTTTGTTGTCGCGGTGGATTCGTATAAAGTTGTGGCTCATCAATCTTAGCCTGCCAAGTGGGATTCCCATCTTCCCCAAGTAATTCGATTTTCCTTCCTCCCTCCTTTGGATAATTCAGATAAACTCCATATTCGTCCATCTTTACTTCCTCTAATCCATTCTTCACCATGAGTTCCTGCACAATCTCTGCCAATATGTAATCCCCCTCCGTACCGGCCAAATGATCCGTCTCCGTAATTCTATGCATCCACCTCATAATTCTATCCTCCGAAACACTCTCCTGCACAAATATTCTCACACTTTCCGCCGGGAACATTTGCCCCCCAATCCTATTTGCCGCATTCGAAAAAAGATCGCTCATAAACAACAGATAAACCACCGCCATGACCAAAAGCACCGCAAAAATCCTCCCAATCACTATACAAAAATTCGCATCGATTGACGGCCATCCAATCCGACGTATCCATGGCAGTCGCGACGATAACGATGCGGAAAGACTCGACATGCGTTTCCCCCACGTCGATTGTGAAGTTTCCGGATCCTGGATTTCCATTTCCTCCATCTCCCTACGCACCTGCTCATCATCTTCACTTTCGCGCTCGCCATGTTGATTTAGAAATGTATCCCTTTCCATACTGCCTCGATTAGAGATGCCATCTTCGGTAGGAGGAGGACGATAACCAGCTCTGCGAGTAGGAACTGGGATTCTTGCACCGGGATCATGGCCTAGAAGGCCTTCTCGTTCGGCTGGATGTGCGGATTCGTTGGAGGAATTGGATCGAGGAGTTATGGGTGTTGAGCCCCGGGAGGATTCGCCGATAGCTTCGGAATAGGTAGGTATTGGAAGCGCTTCGTATATGTGTTTTTCGTCGGGCATTGTGAAGGTTGTGCCAGTTCTCTAGGTGGGAAAGAGGAGAAAGAGAATACCCTTCTCTTGGTGATTAATGTTTGCTTGCTAGCGATTTAAAGTTATAAGGTTACAAATCCGTAGGCCAGCCGCGTAGAAGGACAACTCTAAATATTAATGCCCTTTTCGATGTCGAATTCCTTCAATGGAATTATGATTCCTCCAAGTTTTAATTGATTATTCAGGCCAGCTGTCATTTCATCTGGGCATCGTTAAATAATCTCGAGCTCTGGATCCGGTTTAAAGTTTGAAATAATTGTTAATTTTCTTTGCTGGGTTAAAAGTTGAAGCATCTTCGAAGTCAATGGGTTTATCTGCGACACAAATCGTAATCAAGGGCTCCAAGGACTCACGTATTCGGTAAGCCGCCCCATGTAATCTTAGGTTAGGCAATCCACCAGTGATCGATCTGAGCTGCAAGAATACGGAGAAGTAATATGCAAATCATATCATGAAACGGTTTGTGATACAACATAGTTATAGCCTTCTATCTACACAAGGAAAACTATCAAGAATCACAAGGGATCAAGGAATTGAGGAATTGGACTCCATATATATCTAGAACCTCAAACCTCAAAAGATACTCGTATATATTCAATCCTGCTGCAAGATTCACATATACACACAATCTATCCTTCAATCCAAGTAAACCTGGAAGCTTCACAAAATTGCACCTCCAAGTCCTTAAACAACTTTTGAAGTCTTAGCAACGCTTAGCAACGCTTAGGTATTCAGAGTTATTTCAATTATCATCTCTTCTTACATAGCCTATAGCTACCTATGCTTGCTAAATTAAATCAACCCATCACTTTTTTGCTTAATACGAGCCAAATCAAATCTAAGTACAATCGCTGCATTATTTTGGTCTTCGTAAACATAAGTGCCGGCTTCCAAAAATATCATACCCAGGGTCTCGCTTTCTCTTCCCCTCCTCTGTCTCCCTCAGGCTGGAAAACCCAAACCACCTCACATAAATTTACATTGAGTATGATCCCTTCCATGCTTATAGAAAGCTGTTAATAAAAGAAAATGGCGTTGAGCTTGGTCTAAGGTGCAGCTGTCGTTACTACGCCTTCATAGTTTCGAGAAGTGATGTTATCCAATGTACGTTGGAAATGCTTTCTTGGTTCATTAATTGTGGCCGAATCTTGATTGCCTTGGAGATTTGAATGGATCAATTCAATAAGGCCATTTAGGTATTTCGTCGTGACCTATCGAATCATGTTAGATTATAGTTTTTGACAATATTTATGTATATATGTATAAGCGAGCGACTTACAGCTTCATTATCTTGCTCGAAATAGTAGACGTAACGATTCAGGATTTCCACAAAGAGTTCCACGGAAACAGCAGTATCCATACATGCATCCGCAACGCGAAGTGCACGTTGAAGGCACTCAAGAACACGTTTGCCATCACGATAGAGCTAGCTGATGTTAGTTATTATTTTAGATGTGATATTGTTTGTAGAGACTTACATTCTTCTCATCCGTTTCGCCCCTTGCTGCAATAGGCACCGCCCACCAAAGATGACTCGCTAAGAAGACAGCACGGCATTGATCAGGCTTCTTCAAAAGCTTACTGCCATGTAGAGCACACTTGGTAATGAGGGTGTCATAGTTTTCTTTACTGAAATTTCGTGTTTCATGCAGAGCGGATGCGATAACGCAGACTGCCTGAAATTGTGACCTGGAGTCGCTGATACTTTCTTCGTAGATGGTAAATGCTTGAGCGAAAAATTCGTAGCTAACCTCTTCAAAGTTTGTCTGGTCAGCAATTTGACCACAAGCCACGAATAGCCTCAAACAAAGCTCGGCAGACCCGGTGACTCGGGTATACATAGTTGAGAGGGTCGAATGCATGAACTTGAAGAGCGCCGATATTTGTGATTCCCAGTTATCATCAAAGTGTTCTCTTGTCTTAAAACGTCTGGCGAGCTTCATGGCCGAAGTTATGAGAGCTGGAGTTGTAAACTTCACACGTTCATTCCCCTCCGAGTAAGCGGCCTTGGTAGTTTGCAGAAGCTTAAACTGTGTATCGTTGTCATCACTATGGATCAAATGAACGATTCTAGCTAGCCAGCCCTGCTCTTCTATCGTTTCATCAGTCTCAACGGATTTCCGCTGTACCCCAACGTAATTGGCCGGACTTTGAGATCCTTCTTTAATCAGAACTTTAAGAACTTCGAGCACTCCTTCCAGTGAGACCACAGTGGAGATTTTGGTTGAATTTGCTTGTAAAGTACGAGCTACTTCGCCAGCAACAGCTCGACGTGTTGGATATATCTGAAGTTGTAGTAATGGGATGTAAGTTGGGAGGGACAATGCTGTGAATATAGAGGCGTAAGAGGTGATAGGTGTTAGGAGTAAGTTTAGTATATTTTTCTGTGCCTCTGGAGAATGGAATTCAGGAGTGTTGGCATACGCTCTAACTCTATCTGATGCGTAATTGAGGACCTGATCGACATAGTCCAGACGATCCGGATGAACCTTAAGTGCTAGGTTGACTAACGATACCAACAATGCCAGGGTATCTTGTACGGACAAGCGCTGGGAAGCAACAAGATGCATTACTTGGTCAAAAAAGATTTCATACAGCTTGATGTTTTCAGGAACAGCATTTGGCCTATTTTTAGTATCATCGTTGACGACCGTCTCAGCAACAGATTGTGTCTCAACTTCAGTTGGGGCTACACTAAGGCTATCGTCAATTTGTTCCTTGGGTTTCGAATCTGTGCTGGCTCCATTGGTCTCAGTCGACGGACGATCACCATTTGCATTTGAGGCTTCCGGCGCTGAAGTTGACTCCGGCTTTGATTCACCAGCCTGACTCTCCTTGTTCAACCGAGTTGTCTCGAGTAGTTTAGCGACAGCCTCCTGCTCCGCCTTCTCGCGATCCCCCGCAGAACTCAACTCTGACTCTCGAGCAGCATATGCAGAAAGTCTATCCATCATTGCTATAACGATGACTTTCATGTTAACATGAGGATTCAATCTTGATACAGCTGCCAAGAATTGATCCAGGGTGTGAAGATGGTATTCATCAGGGAAGACCTGTGTGATTACTTCTAGCAAATATTCTTGGGCTAGAACATCTCGACATTGCACCACTTGTTCTAGCAGTGGCTGCAAAATAGTGTTCTTGTAAACATCCAGATCAACCAATTGACTTAATCGAACTAAATTACTTCCGACCAGTAATTGGAGCTCTTTCCTTTCCTGCGTTCGCATTTCTCTTTCTCTAGAGTGACCTTGATGCTGTAGTCGTACCCAAAGCTTGTTCATTTCCACGAAATTGGTAAGAACAAAACTTATCGAATCCGTTAAGTTGCCTTCTGGCCCATCTCCATCACCCTGAGGTAAATGTTCGCGAGCTTGCCCGGAAAGGTAGTATCTGAGGAACAACCCTCTAGTTGGATGTTGTACTCCACGACTCATTTCCATCATGTCCTTCATTATCTCCTTGACCGGTGCTTCTGGTACACCCATATAGACTGTGCCTACTGTTACCATTAAGTAAAGCCGAGGAACGATATTTCCTGCATATTGGACAAGCTCATAAAGGTCGGCGAGATGGTGAGTCGGATGAGAATCTTTGAGATGAGAGGATAGGTGTCGCAAAGCATCAAACACTGCCATATATAATTCATAGTACTGTTTCGGCCCTAAACTGCTCGTTCGTAGTTCGGAGACAAGTGTTGAACTAGATTTCGAAAGAGACAAATCAGCACAAGATCATTTCGCCTAGCGCAAATATTATAGTCATGGCAATCACATAGACAAACAGAAACAAGCTCATCTCCATTGACATACCTGCACTTCAAAGCATCCATTAGTTTCCCAGGACTTTCCAAGCATCGTCGCATGAGTTGTGTCTGTTGGCGAACAACATTCAAAGCATCTTCAAGGAGTCGTGCCTGATCCTCCACGACTTGAGGTGGAGAAGCCATTATGGCAGACTTTCACGAACAGATGCTTGCGCAGTAGCAGATTTCCGTAGGACAAGCAATTTAGAATTTGGAAATGAGTGATTAACGTAGATACTGAAGCTTTTTTGTCGTATTGAATTCCAAGATTAACTGGTTATGACCAGTTTCCGGGGGAAGGAACGCTAAGGCTCCCCGTATGCTTGATTGTTGACAAGGGTGGGAGCTCGCGGATTCAAGTTTATCCGAATTCCGAAAACATCCTTTCACCGGATCTTTGTCACAAATTCTGAAAATATATTATAACTACCAAAGGAATACACCTACTCTCTAAAGTAGAATGATCCCATAAACCAGTACGTTATCATTGGATGAATGTGTTATTGCAGACACAAGATTGTTTTGATTCTAATTATCTTTCATTATTCATTATCCTAAATCTCAAGATTCATTTAACATTATTCCGTCAAATCCATTCCGACTTCCCTCTATGCAATCAATGATATAAAATCTGACCGGGCATCCCAGCTCTTGGTTGCCTGATACTTATGATTCCATAACTCCAAATAAACATTACCGCACCAAATTTTGTACGTAGAACCAAACGAAGTACAAATTTTCGTGCCTCTGGTCACAGGCTTAATCTCGACAAAGCATTCTTGCTCCGCCAAGGGCGAGTGGAGGCAACGTGATTCCACCATGAACATTTTATCAATATTCTGGGGAGGGTTTCTTCCGTAATGACAGTTTCTCTCAAAACAATGAGATGATTGAGAATCCAACGGGTGAATCAAAAACTCCTTAGCTTCTTGGGATATCAGTCGTAGAATTCCAAGAAGGATAACTAGTATGCCATTGTCCATTATCATAGGAAGAAGTAGTGGCTGTAGGTAAAATTGTGATAGTATACCAATTCGAGGATATCGCCGTATAAGTAGTAAGCCACGATGATGATAAAGTATTCGTGGGAGATGGGATGGTCGATATTTTGTCGGTACAAGTGCTTGTCGATGCTCCAATACTAGAGATTGGGTTCGATACTTGAGATGTAGTCAAGCTGGCAACGCTGGTACGGCTTTGAGACGGTGATGATGACGAAAAAAAACTGGTTGAGGAAGATGCGACTGCACTGGATGACTTGGAAGCACTAAAAGATGACACAGTTTGGCGTGTGGTCGGGGTGGAGGTTGACGTCGGTTTGGTGGAAGATTTGGATGAGGCAGATATGGCTATTGTTGAAGATTGGAAAACCGATGATGGTTCTGACGAGGAACTTGCCCGGGTAGTGGTCTGTTTTGATGAAGGTTCGGAAATCGTCACTGGAACAGTGATATCCACAATTGAATAGCTAAAGCTAGTGACAGTCGTCGGGGATGGTGTAATGGTGATAAGAATAGTTTCAGTGGTATCAGAACCCCTCACAGTCTGAGTTGAGACTATGTAATTTGTAGTTGTAGTCGCATCGGTCTCGACCACTGTTTTCGTTGTCGGCTGGTCGGTCTTGGTAACGGTTTTTACCACAGTAGTCGTGGGCTCCCCATTTCCACCACTTGTGGAAGTCGAAGAAGATCCTTGGACATTCACAACAGAGTACGTAGCTCTCTTTATATGTTTAACCGAAATAACATCATTCTGAGCGACTGGAAGCGCTGATGATAGTAGAAAAAGTGACGATAGCGCGAAGAAAGTGGAAGTGGAAGTATTAAGAAGCATGATTAGATAAATTTGTAAATAGATAGAAATAGACTCGAGAACAATTACTTGATGTCTGAGAGCGAAAGAACTTACATGGAATAATGAGATATGTCATGTTATAGCTCATGTGGAGGCTGGGTGGATTTTTTTGAATACGCGTGGATGATAATTGAAGTGGCTGGGAAGCCGTTTTAACGCCAAAACGAGATGTTGATTGTATTTTAAGAAACCCGTTTGAAAATTCTGGAGACATGTGGGTATTTGGACGAAACTCAACATATATAATTATATATATAATTGTAAATAGTGGCGATACTTCGAGGTTGTTAAAGAGCTGGAGTTTTCCCGTGATGTCTTAATGGATAAAAGGACGTCGGATTGGATTGATTAGTAAGCGAAGCAGTACCTCCGTAGATTTTTTTGAAAGTGGATGTTCCAAGATTTGACTAATAGGAAAGAAGCTAAACAATTTCGGAATCCCATCCCATCTTTCCACGTTGAGGTGGTTGTTCTCCGGAATGGTGGTTGTACGGAGATATTTTCGGTCGAGTCTTGCCGGAGTTTCACCATCTTAATTTATAATTCGTGTAAGTTCTTCTCTCTCTATGAACTCGACATATAAAAACTCTTCACTGAGAAGTCCACATTGAATACCTACTTACCTACTTACCTACATAAGCATTCAAGCTCTACCGCTAAGGATATTTTAGCAACACCAAATCATTATATAGGAGAGCTATAAAGTTGTCCATGGTTATACCGAACAACACCTCAAATCCTAACTTCTTAGCAGCATTGACAAGCTGTGCTATCTTCCCATTTCACCGAATCATTTCTCTTCCGGCCCTGGCTCCTTGTGTCGTGTCAATTCTGGTAGGATATGTCGGATTTGATACCATGGGACTCCACCCACTCACTATACGTGATTACTACGGTAGATTACATGATTCAGTATTTCCTTTCAAAATTATCCATTCCGCGAGTCATATGTCATATTGATGAGTGATTTAGATTGTGCCATTAGAAGTTTGATGGATACCCCTACTTCGTCTAGCTCACACTCCGAATGTCAATCAACGAAAAAGTTCGTAGCACCATACCCTCTACTATAACGTCCCCTACAGAATCGACAACAGATCCCGAGCCCAAGAACTCCGTATTCTTTTGTCGGGCTTCAATATGTAAGTCACTAGTGATGGCAGACACCAAAATACTTTGCTATTCATGCGCAATCTTCCAGAGATCACGGTTCATGATAATATGAACTTTTCGACGACTACAACAACAAAATCTTCGAGATCCGAGATCAGCAACCAGATTCATATGCTAACCGTGTCAATCGTCCTCTAACAAAGAGTTCCGACAACATATCATCTATGCACTAATGTGGATATACACACTTCTATCCTGAGGATTAATCGCCGGACATATGGAGAGGTCATACCTCTCTATATAGGGGTCGGACATCCAGTTCTTATGACGATATGGAAACCATCATTTCTTCTCCTACGACCTTACTTGTGGTACACGATCTCGAGTTCAAGAGATATTCCTTTTCAATCAAGGGCTTATCTAGTGTCGCAGATTTCATCAGTGTGAATGGAACAATGTTTGTGAATTTCCGACGGATCAAACACAGTTGGAAGGCTTGACATCGATTGTTGTCGAGGAAGGACGGCAAAGAATTGCATAGAACGATGTAGGGCGATGTACAACGGCTGAGTTCAAAATTTATCACGTGTTTCGTATGGTATGGATCTACAAATTGTTGGGACGAAGGTATCCAGAAATTGGGTATTACTTCTGCCTACATTCTACACCTTCACGAGGCCACTCTTCAGGCATGAAATTCTCTGGTACATTCTCTGCTTCGATTGAAAATGGGTTAGCAGGGTACTCGCGATGAGAAATCATTGGTGTATAATCACTATATGCGTGCTTATGAGATTACAGTATAAGGATGATTATACGAGGGAGGGGAATTGTTGACGTCGTTTTATGAACAATTCAACCTCAACGGGTACAGTCATGCAGCGTCATCCTAAACCGCATGCTACTATGGTTTCGTTTTGGTTTGAATAATCATTCTTTTGCCTCGAGATTTAAAAAACTTGATATTTCTCTGTGTCTTCGTGTGTCACATTGGACAAATCGGTGTCCCTTGCGTGATGTCAGGCACTCTTGTGCCACTATTTAAATCCCGTTGGATCTCATAAAGATAAAGGATGGTCCTCAATCAATTAGACTTACTACATTTGTTCTTATTATCTTCGATCCCAGTATCGAAACACCATCAAATAAAGCCGGCGGCCATCTATATTGCAACATACTTTCACAATCAGAACGGACTTGCATTGTCCACCAATCTTAAAGTTCAGTATTCAGGTGAAACTTCTTCACACCAAAGCAGAATCCACACTGATACACACCACTATTTTCAAACTACGGAGCACACCACAGATAGTTGAATTCACCGCTTGATACAATTCCATTTGAAAACACCGATACCGACTACCTACTAATGGGACAATCTTGACTCATCCCTGTCTTCCTCATCGGTGTTCCGCCCCTGCATTACCCGAAATGGCATCTCAATACTCTTTTCTCAGGGACCCACCGAGGTTTCCGGAGTTGTCAATGCTATCAATCAACGTGTTCTACGCCCAAAAGGATACAAATATAAAGCGATGTAGAAGTAATTGTCGAAGTATCGAAGTCGACATTCTCTATCCTTCATATCCTTTGAATTACAATTTTTCAGAAAATCCAAGTACAGACATGGAATCGGGAGATATCATGGATGGGAAATATCCTTGTCTCAGCCCTGCAGATGCACTAACTTCATTCGAACATTCATCACATGAATTCTCCTCCGCGCCAATCACCTCGACGTCAGGAAATTCATATTTTCCTTTCCTCTCTCTACCGATAGAAATCCGCCTGAAAATCTATCTCCTCCTCCTCCCACCCCGTCATCACAAAATCACAACCCAAATCCCTCATAATGGATACTACTTTCCATCAACATGCATTCCCGCTCACGCTGCCCAATCATTTTATCCCATATCCCCAGACAAGCCCGAAAAACTCACCACGTACAAAATCCTTTCCGCTAATTCCCATATCGACTTCCCAAATCCGAGTATCCATACATGTATCTTAAGTGTATGTCAAAAAATTCAAGAAGAAGCCGAAGAAGTACTTTACGGAAATGGAAGTAGTACCTGGGATTTCGGTATGAATATCGAAGCGGTAAATCCTTTTTGGAGTGATCGAAGTCAGGGTGCTCGGGCTTGGGTTAGAAATTTGAAGGTTGCGAGGGAAATCCCAGAGCTGAAGATTTGTCCTGGTATTGATGTGGTATGGGAGAATTTATGTGAACTCATCACTCGCGAATTGTCGGGACTGAGGTGTCTGGATTTAACGGTTTGGGGAGGTACGAGTGAGAAAAGTTTACTGGAGAATCTCGATTCTTCTGAGATGATGCAATCGTCCTCGTTGAATGATGATGAAGTACAGGAATCGGTGGGGAAGTTGAGAGATAGACGGAATTTGCAGGAGTGGGATTGCACGAGAAAGTTACTTGCGCATGAAGGGTTTAGGGGGGCGAAGGTTACCTGGTGGGAATTTAGAGATGGGGCTAAAACTTTCATGGCGAAGTGGATGTTGGAGAATCGTTTGTGGACGGAGGATATGATTAGAGAGGGGGCAGTGGTTCAAGATGTGGTTATTTGGAATGGTGAGAGGTTTTGAGCTTGGATGTTGGGTGTTGGGTGTTAAGATGAGGTGAGATGGAAATAGATGAGAAGGGATATTTAATGCATGAGTGGAGATAGCTAGGTTAGACTCTAGGAATATATCATAATATAGAAGTTAATACATATAGCTCTCATCATAACCGAGTTGGAATAGATATAAATCCTAGGTCTAAAGGAAGGAAATTGACTTTCTTACAAAACGTGAATTGGGTGCAACGGTATTACCATTATTCTATCATAACCCATTCCACATCTTTACAAACCCAATATCTCTTACCATATAAATCTACCCGTAGAAATTGCTAGTATCAAAATACCTACCTATTAAATCTTTTACAATCAAATATATGTATATATAAACCCTCTTTCATAAATAAGGCACTACTAGTATTCAATATCACTAGAATAAATCTAACCACAGCAAATAATAATCAATAGCAATATATAAAATCTGGACTCAAAAATCCAGCCTCAAGCAGAACAAGCCAACTTGGTAAAATATTTCAATATTCTCTCGAGTTCAACCAACTATCTCTTACTGTTGACCTCCTGGGATCTTGGCAGCATATGCATATATATTACATGATGCATATAAGGAGCAAACAAAACTCAACTTTTAATTCATTCTTTCCTTTTCGGTATACTGTTTGTTTGCTTTCAATATTTTGATTTCAAAGCACTTTAATTCCGAAGGCTGAATACCTAACCTTATTCCTTCATTTTTTGAATATATACTCGCAGCTTAACTGCTTAGCTAGAGAATCAATCAATTCAATCTGATGCTCTTTCTGGTCTCAAGAAACCCAATACTTACCCCTCCTGATGAATGATGAATAATGAATGATGAATCCTCGCTCCATCCGAAGAAAATCCTCTGATAGATATCGACAGAGAGAGATCAATATTAATACTAATACTTATACTCTAATCTCACTGTGATTTGACTTTTATTTTATATCTAAAATATTTCACAGGAATTACAATTTCATTATGAAACCCCAAATTCTAAAACTCTAAAAAAGGCCCAATTACAAATACCGGAAAATTAATAAAGTGGATGGATGATAATTTATTGTGAGACTTGATATAATCATAATTCCCAATTTTAATAATAAAACAATTCTCCTTACACCTATATACAATAACTATCCTTCACTATCAAGAGCTTCAAAATACCAAGATTAAACTAATCATATATTAATCAACCCCGTCTTTCCCTTCCCTCATAGTATATATACACTATCTACACACACCTTACCCAAACACCTTACTCATACAACCCCGAAGGAAAATCTTTAAGTTCATACATATTACATAGCAAATACCCCGACCAAAAAATCACATCCCATTATCCCCATATCCATACCCATACCCATACCCATATCCCCATACATATCCCCCGAGGCTAGACTAGGCAAACAAGCACCAAGCACCAAGCACCAAGTAAATAACTGAAAATCAGACATGCAACAAAAAATCAAATCAGAGTAAATAAATAAATAAATAAATAAATAAATAATATATAAAACACATTTTTGCATTATTGTTCCATCTGCCTACCTATCTAATCTAGGAGAAGGAAGATTAATACTAGTACATTCTTCTACATAGTATCAAACTTTTAGAGTTTAAGAATTGGGTTTTGGATCTTTTATATAATAATCGGTTTTTACTTGTAGCCGACTTTGTCATCCGGAAAGAGAATTGTCCCTTTACCGATGGGGGTTTTGGGTTAGAAGATATTAGATAATTATATTGAAATGTTTTTTGATGATAGATAGTGTGAATTTCTAAATTAGTGGGATTAATTTTTGACATCGGATTTGTATTATTGGAATGAAATAAGCAAAACAAAAAATTTGATATTAATTCGAAAGTTGATCAAATTACTCAGTTAGCAGGACAATTCCTTTCCTGTGGATATTCACTTTCTCCGAGCAGGAACTAGTCGGCCGTTTTGTGAGAGCTGACTATTACTGGGTATTTGAAGCAAGTGACAATCATAAAGGTAAAAGTCTGGGGGTACAATTCTCTGAGGATATTCGCTAATATATCCTCAATGTTTGATTCAACCGGGGGTTTTCAATAGGGGTTACCGAAATCCTTTATTTAGCTTTAGCTTCTAACTTGTACAATTGAGAAATTTCATACGCTCAGTACAGGATCAGCTCCTCACACTTATGTGAAGGAAGATTTAATCACTTGAAGTAAGGAGAGGATAAAAATGGATTGAGATAGGAAATGACTTTGTCATTTTGAAAATGAAGGAACTCTCAAGAAGTACCTATGAAAAGTTGAAATGTAAAATCATTAGGTACCAAAAAAAAGTTATAGGAAGAAAGGTAGTTTGCGAACAGTAATAAAAGTATATCCACGAGGTTAAGGCTGTCCGGAATAGTGGTCCATCTCAATCCTGTACACTGAACATCTTGTTGTCCGAACCATCTAATATTGTCGGCCTCGGTTCCTTCTGTCTAATTTTTGTATCTCCTCTCTATATTCTCCGTGTATAAATGGCTTGCACCTCTAAACCTGACGAATTTCCTAAACCTCGAGTATACCGTACCTCCTTGAATCGCATCCAGTATCCTAAAGGAGAATGCCTATTCACAACTTCACTCCAGCCTTTATCTTATCCACGATAATGAACAAAGCATCTCCAGTAGCCAGCACCACTCCTTCACCATTCTCAATGGTACCCTTTCCAAAAAGCTTCCTTCCCTCTCTTCTCTCCACCCAACTTCTCCCTAATACAACCCCGGGTGTTTCAATCCGTTTTTTGTATGTGGTATTGAGATACGCCGTCAAGGTATTTTCATCTTTTGCTCTGGAGCTTTCTGCTACACAACCTATCATATCATCTAGCATCGCCGCAATGAATCCGCCATGAGCAGTATCGATATGGCCATTAACATGCGTACCCAAACTCATCAAACATAAAACCTCACCAAAGGGACGCGAGGAGGTAGGTGGAGAGTATAGGGCTTGGTAGTAAGGAACAGTATCGAGTGTTTGAAGGGTAATAGCTGTAAACGTATCCCCAGTATCTCCTTTTAGGATTCGCGACTCGAATGAAAAGGGGTAGAGGGAGCTGTCATTGAGAATTGGTTTGCACCATGATGTCAAGGAGAAATGGTCCGCGGTTTCCTTAGGAATGGGTGCAAATGGAAAGAGGTCCTCGGGAACACTCATGGTGGGTGATTGTCCATATTGAATAGAAATTGAAGTTATTGATAATAATGTCACGATGTCTCTTTGAACCTCGGAACAAGATAGCCGCTTGTGGATCTGATAGCCGTCCCGCTTCTTCGATCAGCAATTGAATGAGTAAGAAAAGTGGAGTCGGACACCAGGGAATCCGATGTTGATAAAACGATGAAACCTGGTGAACTACGCTTGAAATATGAAACGGAAAAAGAAAAGTCCTAATAGAGCTGCGATCCTTGGGGGTAAACTCAAGCCTTCAAGGGGTCCCGGACTAGCAATTTAGCAAGGAGAAGCTTTGATATTGGGGGTGTTTTTAGAAGCATCAAGATGTCCAAATATTATACCCATGCATATGCAAACATTCAGGAGATTTCACGAAAACAATCTTCATCAATCATCAATCATATCACGGTATCGAGTTCTAGAACAGGAAAAAGGAGGAGCAAGGGAACTTACCTATATAAAGCTTGAAGGAATGAATATTGATGGTGAAATATCGAAAATTATTCATCCTTCACATCCTTCATGTAGATGTCTTCTAACATACTATGCAGTAGGTAGAGGACAATGTTATACATCACATCACAAAAACTAATTCAAAATGAAATCAAATGAACAAATTTTATTTGATGCCTAATATAGAATCATCCCGTCACGAACACCTCGATGATTTTTGATTGACGGGTTCTCTCTGGGCTGAGCCCGGCAAGTTCATTTATGTTACCTATTCTCTAGGTACGGTAACATCATTAGATGCTCTTTGGCCCCCCATCATCTGTCACTTCTACAATTCTAGTTAGTGTATTCTAATTTGACAGGCTACTTTCACTACCGATAACCCTAGAACTAGAAAGCTAATGAACTCAAACGACCTTGTAATCTACATCGAAGTGACAATTGACCAGTCATGAGCGGAGAATGAGATGGAAAAAATGTTGCTTTTGTGAAATTGACCAAATCAATGAAAATCTTTAATTACCTCCTGGGTAGTCAAGGTATCTAAGGAAGGTTACTAAGTACTGGTTGATGTCCGGATGGTGACGGGAATTATATTGGTGCCCGGACCTAATCAAGGTCGGTCACTCACTCACTGGTGGGTCAAAACTCACTCGAAATAACTTTTATATCTTCTCCAAATTCCAATATGGCTAATTGTATGATCTGATCTTGGTCTGATCTCTTCTCATCCAACCTATCTCATCTCTTTTCTCTCTTCCCAACCTTTCCTCAACTACTGTCCGTCATATTTCTTGATAGGCTGGTCCTTCATTGGTTATCAAAGAACGGTCATTCATTAGGTCTCTTGATAGGTAGCCAGCCACTCACTGCCGCAATCGCGATAAATTCGTTTACTCATTGCCAGCCAGCCATTTGAATCTCTTCACCTCTGTTTGCGCCAACAAGAAGTTTCATTCCTTGAATAATTCATAAATCATCAATCGTTCTATTCTATTTGTACATTTTCAACCCCATATTCTATTCACAGCAATTCTCTTGATTTCACCATCCCTCCTCATTTTCTACGCGTTTTGTTTATTTACTTGAATAAGAAGACACCCTTCCACTTCTTACACTTTTTCAATTAAACTCTACAAATAATTAATCCACCAGCTTTTGCACAGCCTTCGGCATCCTGTGACGATCCTTCCAATTATTTACGAGAACACGAGATACATATCAAAAATTATGTGTGTGAAGGGCACCTGAAATACTTCAGCTAGGAAAAGTCTAGAAGCCTTCAAAAATATAATACATATATCGTTCGCCCGGATCTATCTTATCTATCCAAGGGTTTCCCATCTGGATCTTTGAGCACTCTTTACGAAAATCATTTTCGGAAGCTTCCCGTACTCCACGATCTGCAGCAGCAAAGGTCACACAGTTTCTAGGGCGAAGGAAGAAATCATGTGGAAGCGCCTCAATACTTCAAGAAGTAGTAATGGTACTACAGCTCGCCAATCTGCCATCAGTGAACCCGTACTTGTCGAGACTACTATTTTTGAGAAATCTTATGGAGCGGCTGGTGGTATAAATATTAATATGGGAATGCCATCTTCGAATAGATATGCTCCTCCACCCAAAGCGATAAGAAATAATACCCCCAAAGGATTACCACTTCTACCATTGTAGGTCACAAGGTTTCTCTATTGAGGATTGAGTGGGGGACTTGGTGTTGGAGGGAAATTGTCATGTGGGATATGGGATGTTGGACTAATGTTTCAGCTTAGAGATATAGCTGTTAAATTTACATACATTCTTATGCATTGTTAGCCAAGCTTTGCTAATATTTATTTCAGTGAAGCAGTTCCTCCTATGCAACATTCTCAACAGAATTCCGACAACTTGAGGCCGGTCTCTTCGGTCCACTCTCAGCCTTCTCCAGGTCCTATGAATGATCAGTTTCCATACAATACATATGCGAAACCTATGACTCCAAATTCGGTAGAGGTATCTCCTCCCAGCTCTCCAGAGTTTGATGGGACACGGCGGTAGGTTGAGGATTCCATCAGTTTGAAAGGTTCTTTGGATTGCTTTAATCGCAAAAGGCTGCGCGATCCTTGGTGGTGTTTAGGATGATTTTTGGGACGATTTTAGATCTGTTGTCGCAATTCTATGAATATAAACTAATGAAATTTCAACTAGAAACGCGAATCGATATCAGGATCATGAAGTCTCCCCAATTGATGAGGTACCGGATATTTCACGTCTTGGATTCGGAAACTCGAAAGAAAGGACCGATGCTAGATTGAAGCCACCAGCGAGCAGTATTCCTGTTATTCGAAAAGAAAAGAGGCGTAATCATGTCGCAGTTGCAGCAGCAAATTTACTAAGTCGGAAAGACGTGGATGGACCAAAGGGTTGGAAAACAGCAGATGCAAGATGGGATTCATATTCTGGTGAACAAACGACAAGCGAAAGGGGAAAACCACAACCCATCAACCCAGGAGAATATTCAACACCCGAGTTACGCAATGTTAGACAAATGGGCAATACATCAATCATTAGTGCTGGTGCTAGTGTGCAAAAGCCTCCAAATGCACCATCTTTTGCGGAACGTGTCCGGAAATTGAAGAATAATGCGCCAGTAGAGAAACCAGAGTGGAAAGGAGCGACAGGACGTTCAGCAATTGTGCCCACGCCATCAGATAATTATAGCATACCTCCACTTAAAATTCCAATTCCATCAAAGAACGAAAAACGCATTACATCAGATACAAATACCCCTGTATCATCCATCCGAAGTGCAAACAGTGAAACACAAGCGGCATCGACTTTCATGGATTTACCCAGCCCACTATCTATCGACGCAGGACATTCGCTCAGTGGACGAAACAGCCCACAATCTTATAATGAACCTTCAATTCGAAACCCCGAACCTGTTCATGCGGCTCACCTTGCGAATTTCACCACCAATATTACTACAGATTTCCCTACCACGGATTTCTCTATCGAATATTACCCTTCTCATTCTAAACAGGATTCTACTGGCACCATTGAGCGAAACTTCCGCGAAGCTCTTAAGAATTCATTCCCTCCCATCGATCTGAACGAGCCATACGTTCAACCTCCTTCTCGCTTTAGTGTCAGTACAAAGGCTACATCAGAAGCCACACAATCTACCAGAGCACCTTCTCTTGATTTACAAAACGACATGCATCCTCCACTCCCCACACAATCCTACAACATGACAACTCAAGCTCCCACTTCAATACTATCTCGCAAACGTCCTAAGGTCGGCGCCGATGATAGCACATCCATGTACTCCACAAAAAGCATTACCCGCAAAGCCATCAATTCGAATAGTCCAATAACAATCTCCATGACGTCCTCCATTCCCCGGGAACATAATCACCTACCACAGTCCTCATCCACACTTACCAAATCTCTTCCCAGTACTCCCGCCGAAACCGCATCTTCAGATCCTATCTCCAACCTTAAAGCTCGACTTGAAACTCTCACCCATCGTAGACAAAATATCGAAAAATTAATCAAACAAATGACGGAACTTATGCCAGCGGATAGAATGATTGCTACTGATGAAGTCAAGAGAAAGAGAGAAATGGAGAAGAAACAAATTGAGGCGTTGAGGGAGGAGGAAGCAGAAATTAGGAGGGAGGAACATGAATGTGGTTTGAAATTGCATAGGGCATGGAAGAGAAAAGATAAGCAAGCGGGGTATGAAGGGACAGGTTTGTGGGTTAGGAGGGTTACTGGTTAGCTTTGGGGTTTGAAAAGGATAGGTTGGAATGAGATGATTGATTTATTTGGGATGTAAAATGTAAAGGGGCTAGGGCAATCAGTAGGTTTTGGTAGGCGCATAGGTAGCGGGATTGGACGACGGATGTACGGAGTATGGATGGATGGATGGATTCGGAGTTTAGGAATATTTCTTTATTCCATTTGCATTGGATTTAAATGTCTACTTATTCATGTAAGTCTTAGGTAGGTGGGCTTGTCTTTTATGGCAGTTTTACACTTCATATCATATTATATGATTTATAATTGAACTTAAATTTGATGATATAGTTGTATATGAAAATGTGTATATGTAAATATGATATCCAAAGCTTACATCCGCATCCGAATCTTGTGAACTCAAAAACCGGTGCGGAGGTTCGGAAGATGGAGTATGGAGTATGGAATATGGAATATCAAATTTGCGATTTCAGAGTACATACGGAGTACATACTAGATAATTAGATAATTAGATAATTAGGGGGGTTCGGAGGTAGATAGGTAGATAGATATTTGATTGATTGATTGCAAATCCATCTACATAAACACTTTATTAAACATTACATAAACGTTAAACTTTGAGCTTTATGAATGAATGAATGAATGAATGAATTGAAATATACACTATAGGTTTGGATTTAAGTACCTGTTGTAGCTAGGTTATAGAGTAGAGTGCAGAGAGTAAAAATAGAACGGAAGGTAAAAACTGCCGGAACTTTAATTTTAACACGTGACCTTTGTGATTGATCATATCATATCCCCGCGTTTTCCGAGCCGAACAAGTTGCTTAGATTGAATCTTCGATTACTGATTACTGAGTTGATTCTTGCTTTTGTTACTGCTATAAGAATAAGAACGAGTGCAGGAATATCTTCAATCGGTGTTCTAAAACGCGTTACCTATTTTATATTTGAATTTTTAAGGAAGAGAGAAGGAAAGGAAGAAAGATTGGGTTTGAGGTGGCTTTTTGCAGAGCGAGCTGTTATCTTTTGAACGAAGAACGAAGAACGAAAAACGGAACGAATTCTACCGTCGGTTTATCGGTTTATTGGTTTGCCTTGCCTTACCGGGAGGATATTTAAGTTTTGGGGTTTGATCTAGGAGATTGGAGGATAGGAAGATAAGAATATAGGATTATAGAAGATTTCGTGGGATATAACATACAACAAGGCATTATGGATTATGTTGAGAAGAGGATGGCTGCTGGTATGTTGTTTTATGGGGTTTTTTTCTACAGTGATATGTTCTGAGGAGGAGCATCATACCATTATAAAAAGGAAATGCTAATTATCATGCCAAATATAGAAGCCCAAAGACCTGCTGGTGCAGAAGTGTATGTCCTCCCCACTCTCAATTCATCATCACAAATTCCTCCCTTATAAACAAACATCAGAAACAAAACTAACATCCCTCCAGCGCCAGTCTAGCCACACCACTCAATCTCCTCCTCCTCAGTCTCGCCGCCCTCGTAACCTACATGTCCTTCCGTCCCAAAAAAGCAATTCCCATCCCTGCCGCCCCGGCTCCAATCGTCTTCCGTACCTTTACACCTCCCGAACTCGTCCCCTTTTCCGGTCTGAACAATACACCCGTCTATCTCGCCGTTCGCGGTCGCGTATTCGATGTTAGTAATGGAAGAAACTTTTACGGACCAGGAGGACCATATGAGAATTTTGCAGGAAGAGATGCAAGTCGTGGATTGGCGAAGGGGAGTTTTGATGCGGAAATGTTGACGGAGGATTTACAGGCTGAGTTGGATGATTTGAAGGATTTGGATGCGGAGGAGTTGGAGGCGTTGAGGGGTTGGGAGGAGAGGTTTGAGGAGAAGTATTTGGTGGTTGGGAGGTTGATTAGTTGTGCTCAGAAGGAGAGGGAGGAGAAGGAGAAGGCTTAATGTGTGTGTGTGTGAGAGAGAGTTGGGAATTGTTGGGATGGAATGGCTAGGGAGGATATTTTCGAGTGGTGATGGAGAATTAGATTGTGAATATCTAGGTACCTATGGAATTGATTTTTTTTCGGATAAAATAGCTATCTTCGGGTTGTTATTTCTAGTAGTATTTGGGAGAGCATAACAGTATGAATGTTTCATATCAATATTACTAGGCTGAGTGGCCATGATTTTGATATGCATATACACATATAAGACTTATCTAGTAGGAAAGTATCCAAATACAAAAGAACAATATCAACAGCTCAAGATATCACTACTCGTGCGGCCAGTAAGTATAAAACACTCCACTATTAAGCACATACCACAAGATGGTAAACTACAAAGAGATTAGTGCCCACCTATAAGTGGATGTGTTTTATATTTTCTGGCAGCACGAGTACAATACCATCTCTTCAATACTATCTCTATTTATTTTAAATTTGTCTAATAATACTTGTCATATATACTCATTAACTCTCTTTTTCATTTTCTCTCTTTTTTATTTTCAATAGATTCTCATATATAAAAAATTTAAATTTCATAAATCATTACAATGTTACGAGGTTTGCCGTCTAGATCACGTGGAAGTGCTCTAGGCTCTCGAGGTGGTTTATAACTAGGCGTCAAGCAGGGACTTAAGTAATGACAATAATGATATGCAATTCGTAACTAATAGTAGAGTATACTAAATTATTGATCTTGAGCACGAAGCTCTATACAAAGGAAATCCATCTTGATTATATAGACCATCATGCTCCGTGGCTCGAAGGGAGCGAGGGGATCGAGCCTCGATCCTTTCGCTCTCTTCGAGTCCTCGCATCACGTGTTATTACTAATCCCGTGACCTAATTGTTACCTGTCGTAACATACAACTCTATATCAAATCTTAGAAAAAAAATCTATAAAATTTTATTTAAAGAGAACTATATTGTAACGATACTATACTGGAGGCAGCGGCTGCCTAAGGTTTCGTCTGGTTGGTAGTTGTGGGTTAAGGCTTTATCACTGGTCTTCACTTGGAAGTGAAGTCGTTACTAGATCAAGTAGAATGTAGGTAAACTAATTGGTAACTAAGTTGAGCACAAAGCTCCTTAACTACGAGACTAAATGAATGTTTATATACCCTATATCATCTTTTGAGGACCTTTGGGACCCTAAGGTCCAAAAGGTCCTCGAGGTCACGTGAATTAATGAATTGTGACATATTTATTTATTTTTAATGATTTTTTTTTTAAAATGAAATTGGCAGTAAAGTTTTTTTTAAAATACTTTATTTTTTATAATAAATTTAAATATAATATTTAATATTTAAAATAATGATTGTGACCAAAAGGGTGTTTATAGACCAGCAATTGTATTTAACTTAGAATCTGCAGGTCAAGAGCACCTGTAGATGGGGATAGCTACTCTATATATACACAAATGAATGGTCTAGCTGCAATGGCTAGGCAAAAAGAAGTCATATTTATCCCTCCAATGATCTCACTTTACCGATAACCATTGATACCTAGTACTTGTCCGGATCTGATCCTCAGACCACCTAAATCGTATACTAATCCCGAGTAATCGTATCATATGTGGACATGATTAATGTACCTGAGGTTTCTTATATAATAAGGGTGGGAGGAAAGCAGGGGTTTCCGTCACAATGATAATAATAATAATAAAAATTAAATATTAAGTTTTATTAAAAGATTGGGTGGAAGAGGCCTCTATATTGACTATATTACTACGTCTGTAGGCATATTAATCTCCTCTTGGTATCCTCGGAGGGGACCAATATGCCTGCTTATGGTTCGTCTAATCTAGCCTGTTTAGGTAACCGTATTACTAATCACGACACGTGATTAGTACCGGTAACTTCTATTCCTTTTAACAAGTTTTGGTATTATATAGTATATAGTATCTAATACTTTTAAATTTTTAAAGTGTTATAATTTATATAATATAATAAATATATTTTATTATTACTTTTATTAGGATTGTAGTATTATTTATATATTTTGAATATTATCTTCCGGGTATAGATATTTATTAAATAATATTATAATAGAGGATTTATAGATATCTGTCCTTGACATTGGATTTTCATCCATCTAGCTTTACCTAGTTAGTGGAGTATTGCCTGAGTAGGATTACAAGTTTCCTAATGATTTTGATTGACAAACGTTGAGTCACTAGTTAGAGCTACAATGAACTCCCATCAGATCGCCGATTTAGTATATCCACACTAAAAAAAAACTTGTCTCCCACAAAACTGGAAGACTTTCCTCGAAAATTATTTTCCTCAAACATTCAGACTTCGAAAAACCCTCCATATAAATCTGTTCTTCTTTAAAACTCAACCTTTTTAAAGAATATAGATTTCCTCTCTACGAATTGACTATAACTCTTCACACAATAGTACCGTTGTCACCTTAACTTCAGCCTCGCTTAATTCTCTCAATTTCAAAACACAACGTATATTTCTCTTCGAATCAAACCACAGTTCGACTTACTCGGTGATAATGTCACTGGAACATGCATCCACCGTAAGGATGGGACCCTTAAAGCTTCCTGACTGTCTTCGACATATGATCTATGACGAGGTTCTGGCACAAAAGAAAAATCAATACATACAATCACATGACCGTCTCTCCTTACTACTAACATGCCGTACCATTCACTTTGACATCGGAACGTTATGGCCAAAAGCTCTTCTCGAAAATCGAACCTTCACTTTTCCAACCATGGAATCTTTTCTCAAATCCGCTGCTGTGTACACCACACATGACAACCAAGTTCTGATACGATCAGTTCATATTCAATTTTACGAAACCCTGAATTCCGACCGTTATCACAGTTCTCCTGAGCTACCTTTCGCGAGACATAAAGCTATACTTGATGAAATTCTGAAGCCGAAATATCACGGAATCCGAGAATGGATCATTGATATCTCAAATCTATTTTCTGGATTAGGAACTAATACCCGAAACAAATGCTTTATGCAACGCTTCGTCTCATACTTTGTGAGATACTGTCCAGCAGAACACTTGAAGTTGGTTTTCAATACTTGCAATGGTTCAATTTTGAACTGTGCACAACCAAGGAAAGGATTTACGTTGGAAAGCACCCTCGATAGGGACTTGCTTGATTTCGAGATTAAGTGCGAACGATATTCGAAACATTGCAACACTTGGGGTAACAGGACTAGTTCCACAATGCTCGTTTCTCATCGCCCAACTATCGCTTCTCGCGTCCCGAATCCAGATGTGCCGTACCACACCTACTATAATGATAACCCTAAAGATCCATGGCGGGAGATAAAGGCTACTGTGCGGGAAAAGATAACTCACGGTGCAAGATGGAGATTGGAGACATGGAAACGGGAGATAGATACGAAGTTGGATGCTATTGATATGGCTAATGCGTCTTTAATTTTACCGCACAGGATTCAGCCAAAAATACCAATTGGACATGTATTGAAAGGGCACCTGAGTACTTTGATGGAGCGGATGGAGCGGATGATTTGAGTTCATCTTATCTTTATTAGTGACGATTGTAGAGAAAGATTGGGGGAACAGGGGTAATTTTGATGTCATTTTAAAGATTTCGATACTCTGTCATGCTAGGTGGTTCAGGGGCTCTTGAAGCTGTTCTTCAGAGTTACATCCCTTATACTATGGAGGAGGTGTTATTCAAAAGTTGTTATTTGGAATTATATTCGGTTATTTGGGATATTTTATGCCAAGCTCATGCTTGGTCTGGCATACACTCTTTTAGAACCTGGAATTCGCTTTGGGATTATAGGGGATAGCTAGGGGGTTTGAGTACAGTGGATAGAAATCTGTGTAAGATCTTACAGATGGGGATTTTAAAGTAAAATTGGTATATGGAGTGTGGATTGTGGAGTGTAGATAAATTTAATGGTAGTTTTTATCTACTAGGTCATATAATCAGTGGATGGAAGATCAATTTGATATTTTGCTAATTGGATTTGATGTTTAATATGTTGATGCCGTGATATTTTGATACCCTGATATTTTTAACACACTTGAACATTCTAGTCTCATATGTCACAGAGAATCCTTTGGATATCGTGCTGTGCGGAGGAACTGTGCATTAGAACACCTAGGTAGTGAGTTCATGTGGCTAAATTTTGTGGCTAAAGAGTTCCCTTTAATAAGTAGGTACTACACCTGACATATTTCATATTCTTCTTACCTCAAAATACAAATCTTCAACATTTCCCTTTCTACACACGCCCTTCTATCTTATTTACTTAGCCACCATGGATAAACACTGGGACACCAAAAAATGGAAACCCACTATCATTGACTCAGAATGTAGCATGCAGCCGTTTGTCACTTTAAGCCCTAAGGTAGGTATTTCCACCAAAGTACCACACATCATATCTGACACTCAAGACAGGACGTCGAAACACATCGCGAAAAACTGAGAGTCTGCACTGAGAATTTAGACCGTTTCCCCTATACACCCGAAAACTGGAGAAGCCGACCTGAAGTCCTTTTGAAATTGGGGTTTCCGGAACTCGCAACGTTTGATGCTTATAAGACGATTTTTCTGGCAAATTATGTATTTGATGGTGAAGACCGTGGCTCGAAGGTATGGCTCGAGATGAGAATGATGATGTGGTATCGAGCTATTCTTAAGGTACCGCCTAAGCACAGAATAGGCCATTTGAGAGGGCTCTGATACTGTTAGGGTGTGTCGTGGAACACAAGTGTCTCCGTGACAACACTTGGTAGGGAAATAGTTGATTTGTTGAAAGATGAGCGAAAGCTAGGGTGCGTCATTGTTTACCCTCATTGCTAATGGCTTTAATCTTTACTTACAAATGGTGCTTAGATATTGCCAATTGCTCTATGCACTCGACCACCTTCAATCTTATCAAGATATGAAACTGATATCTGCAGAAGCACTGAAAATTTATCCGACGGACTCCAGTCTCCAACATCTCCACCGCCATGAAATATGTTTATATGAGATGAAACGAAATGCAGTAAAAGACATGCCTATATCTGACGAAACCAAATGGATTGCTACAGAGATGGGAAAGGTATTTCTCAGACCGTATCCATGGGCATCCGAAGTTAATACCAGAACGAAGGAGTCAATCGAACTTGCTAATAAATACGTTAGCAAGTGTTCCAAGGTACTGAGAATCAAACCTTCGACTGTGGATATATCAGGCTCGGATAAAGTCTCATATGGTATGTTTGCAACCGAAGATATTCGTGAAGGTGATATTGTTCTGGAGAGCAGCCCTTTCTTATGTGTAAAACAATCACAATTGAGGCAGCACAAAATTTTGCTAGATTCATTGATTTAGAACAGCAAGATTGGTTTGGAAGTGAATGGCAGTTGTTTTAATTGTTTTGGTAATTTGAGAGTTTCGAGTCGAAAATATGGATTTGTATGTTGTGCCCATCTCTACTTCTGTAGTAGGGAGTGCAGAAATTTAGCACAGCAGTATCATCATGATGGTCTATGTGGAGTGGATATCTCACATATCTATGCTGATGCCGAAGGAGAAAAGTGTTTTCCATCTGCGCCAGAAATCTCTAAATTGATTTGGCTACGGCTTTTGGCGACGTGCAAACAGGGAGTGGGACCTCCACTCCAACATCCTCTCATGGCACACTTTATTAGTCACGAAGCACAAGCCGATGACCCATGGTCCTTAGAAACTCGAGTTATAACGCCATTAAAAATATTGCACATGCTTGGTGTCGATATCTTCGCAGACAAATGTTTTGATACTTGGATATTGGAAACTTTGTGGTACGTCATTTTTCCTCCAAAACATTTTTTCAATGCAACTAATATATATTCACAGGCAAAGATTTAGATTCAACGCTGTTGGTGGGCTGGGAGAGGACAATGAATACGAATGCTGGGTCGATGGCTCATACGCAATGTTTAATCACAGTTGTGAAGATCCGTCAATGCTTTGTATCCTACATGCTGATTCGGGCTTCAAATTCCAATGCCGTGCTGAAAGAGACATCAAGAAAGGGGAAGAAGTGTTTGTATGCTATATTAATGAACTTTCCAAATAAACAGAGGAGAGACGGCAGATGCTTGATGGGTGGCTTTCGGGTGACTGTATGTGTAAGAGATGCTCGCTCGGTTGATTAAGGAGTTGATAGGATACAGGGTTGTCTGTTAACAGACTTGCATGGAGACATCATCCTCAGTGTTACAGTCATTTGTTGGCAGGTGGGCATTCAAAAGAATACAACTTGTCTTTAGCAGAACAGATAAAAGCCATTCCCACATTCAGGCGATGTGAGTGTACACGCATCACATCGTGGAAGGAGAGATGATTAGGCCGGTAGCAAGAGGGCAGCCTAGCAAGGTGGGAATCATTCTCTTGGGAAGGGCTCTTGTAGATGGGCGCTGATATCACCGAACCCTCAAGAAATTTCAGTTCAAGTAAAGATACTGAAGCGAGTTCAGAAGAAAGTCCTTGAATGAATCTTCTTTCATGCTTGATCCCACTGGTTTGTTCGCCGCAGTCACAGCCAGCATTTTACCCCAAGACTATTGCATTTTAAACCTTTCTATATCCAAAATGTATCACTTTCCAGGATTGGATTTCCCTTAAACATTGTCTGCGGCACTTTCTACAATTTTCATGATATAGCATGGAAGTTTAAGCTTTCGGTCTAAATATTCCAAAACATCTCATGCATGATGGACGTCGTCTGAGCCTTGTTACTTCGACAAGGGATATTGAGCACTTGCGTTCTTGTACCTCAATGACCTTAGTACCGTGATGTTATAGAATTTTGAAAGGAGTGCAATGATCTGATCCGTCACATGGAATTATCCGGATGTCACAGTATTGTATTGCCGACACTTGGCGAAGAGTGGGGTTATTCCGTACTTCACGACTTCATGTAGGAGCAAAGTATTCTCACCCCGATAGAGCTTAATTAACCTGCAATCTGATAATCATTCTGGTTTGCACTCGATAACATACTTTTGCTACGAACAAAATCAATGATTTGCACTTGGGTACCAATATTTCTTGCAGTAGTACAAACTGCAGTTGATGCTGCACAAGCGAAACATCGACTACGCTCTAGTGCTTTCGCTATCCCCGGATCGCCTCTGTTGGCGTAATCGAGGCAGGTGGCTTCTACGAAGAAGATAATGGAAACTATAGTATAGTACCATAAGGAAGCCTGCAAATGTCCCTAGTTTATTCCTCTGAAGATTATCCCAAGCAGCCGCTTGTGGACTGGGACTTATTTTCAGTACCACAGATAAATGCTGGGAACGACGGATACACTATGCACGAGGAAAAACTCTTGGTGGATCTTCAGCATTAAATGCGTTGTCGTATCATCGTGCTACCTTCGGGATGTATCAAAAATGGGCTGAGATTGTAGGAGATGAAAGTTTTACTTTTGAAAATCTACTTCCATATTATAGGAAGTCATGTCATTTGACTCCACCGGATACTGAAAAGAGAAATTCAACATCTGCAACTGTTTTATACGACCATAGCGGCTTTTATAACTCTATTGGAGGTCCCTTGCAAGTTTCCTGGAACAATTGGGTTGATCCCACGATAGAAGCACTTGCACAAGCTGTGCAGTCTATTGGCCTTCCCGTAAGCACAGATGGTTTTAGTCGTGGTTCTCTCCCAGGTCACGGTGTTTGGGTACCTTCCACCATCGAACCAAAGCACGCTGTACGATCATCTTCACAGTCAAGTTTCTTAAAAGAGGCTATTGAGAATACAGATATTATGGTTCATGCGCACAGTCAAGCATTGAAGATTCTATTCGATTCTGATTCACCAAAAAGAGAAAATGCTGTCCAGGTAACGACATCTGGATTCGAATATACTATCAAAGCGACAAAAGAAGTCATCATATCAGCAGGAGTTTTTCGCTCGCTGCAGCTACTTATGGTATCTGGTAAGAGCAGTTCTCAACTTTACATGTACTATGCTAATTTGGAGAAGAAATTGGTCCGCGAGCTGTACTCGAGCCTCAAAACATCTCATTGATTTCAGAACTTCCAGGAGTCGGACAAAATCTTTGGGATCAAATCTCATTCACTGTACTAAATCAAGTGAACACATCAAGTGCCGGAAGTATTGTAGCGAATCCAGACAACTCTCCTGAGATTTTACAACAATATTTCGAAAATGCCACAGGGTCGTACAGTTCAGCGGCTGGATACCTATCTTTCGAAAGGATTCCAGAAGAACTGCGAGCGAATTTCTCACAACAAACAAAATTATCACTAGAATTCTTCCCATCTGACTGGCCGGAAGCAGAACACGTCGGAGCAGGTTTTGCAGGTGATAACTTTACTACTACAGGTGCCTTTGCTGGATTTCTCACAGCGCCCCTTTCACGCGGGAATATTACTCTCAGCAGCGCCAGCATGCTGGATCCACCAATAATCGATCTAGGTTGGTTGAGCAATCCTGCAGATTCTGAATTCGCCGTAGCGATATTCAAACGGGTTCGACAAATTTGGGATAGCGATCTAGCTAAATCTATTAAGATAGGCTCTGAGATTCTTCCGGGATTAGCAGTACAAACAGATGAAGAAATTTTGGAGTATATTCAACAGAATTCGGCACCGATGTGGCATGCTAGTGCAACGTGTGCGATGGGGAAAATGGGAGATGTGAATGCTGTTGTGGATTCGAGGAGGAAGGTGTTTGGGGTAGATGGGTTGAGAGTGGTGGATGCTTCGATTTTTCCTTTTGCGCTGCCGGGTCATCCTCAAGCTTCTGTTTATATGATTGCGGAGGAGATTACGGATGATATAATGACTTGGAGATAGGTTTGGAAGGGAATTCAAGAGTTTTTTAAATTGAGCTGATTATTATCAAAAACCAGGATATTAGCAAAAAAGAAAGATGCCAAAGATCCAAAGATGACGATAGAAGTACCACACAGCTTAAACAACATGCAACCACTCGACTGCTGAGTGAAAAGAAGTTTCATTGTCAAAATTGCACCAGTCCAACCATATGATAGTATACATCATCGAATTCCCAGTACTAGGATCCGACCATTATAGATCCCAATAAATCCACCAACTCCACCATGCATACAATATATCCACGTACACCTTAAACCTAAACCTTCATCCACAAATTCAAGACACCCTTCGCATATTCCACAATCTCATCACCACCCAATTTACTCTCTCCATAAACACGATCCACAAAACTGATGGGTACTTCTGCAACCGTACATCCCATAGCCTTAGCTCTGACCATCATTTCCATCTGGAAAGTGTATCCTTTACTCTCCGTACTTTCAATGACCTTCTGCAAAACCGCCTTTTTGTATAATCTGAAACTACCCGTCAAATCGCTAACCCCTGGTCTTAAAACTGTATCCGCAAATAAATTGGCTCCCCTCGATACCAATTTTCTCTTCAAATCCCATCCAAATACACCTCCATCACCAGCATATCGTGTACCCGTAACAATATCATATCCACCATTTGTAGGTAACGTCTTTTGTTTCGCGATCATTTGAGAGATAAATTTAGGATGGTGAGAGAAATCCGCGTCCATGATAATAACGTAGTTTCCGGTAACGAATTGAAGACCATGAACATATGCGGTTCCGAGACCAAGTTTTCCAGCGCGAGCTTTGAGAAGAACATGAGGTGAATAAGCTTTGGCGAGCTGGTTGGCTACGATTTGTGTTCCGTCCGGAGAACCATCGTCGACGATGATGAGTTCCCAATCGAGTCCTCTAATGTTCAATTAGCTACTGTCCTAGACATAGACACGCGCAAAAGTGCAAGAGTATCGGCGCAAACTTACTGCTCGGTGAAAGTGCGATTAAGGAGCCATGTAATAATGGGAAGATTGCGACGTTCATTGTAGGTAGGAAGAATTACGGAGTATTTGTCTTTGGTTGCTTTTGGGGCCATTTTGAATGATTATTATTGTGGGTGAAGGAATGGAAATGTCGAGATTCAATCGTGATTATTCAATTAAAGGTGTATATTGTAAAGGAGCGTGGTGTTGAATTATCGTGGTGCTTGATGAATCCGGGTGCACCGTGTCCACAATGTTGACTTGTGGTTGTGGTTCGCTTAGTAAGCATGTCACCTACATCATTGGCGCGGCGTCAATGTCGACGATATTGAGAATTCAATAGGCAATTAATTGAACCAATATTTTTGGCTAAGCATGTGGAGGTGTGATCTCGGAGGCTTACATATTTCTGAGCAAAAATTCATCAGCATATCCGAGATCAATGAGATGAGGAGTCCAAAGCTAAGTGGCTAAGAACTCTTGTTTGCAGCTCTTCACCTAGCTGAGCCGCCTAATCAGATCCAGCTAGAGTCTTCCCGTCTTCTAAGTATGGAATCAGGGCAACCTACTGCAAGCGCTAGTCGTGTATACAATAAATTTTATCTTCTCTCTAAGGGACTCTCTGTACTTGGACTTTCAAATCACCAAGGTTTCATCAGTTCATAGAAGATAGAAGATATTAGCCTCCCATTTATCTTTCCCGTCCATTGCCTTAGTCACATGGAAGTTACCTGCTAGTAATGTGATTTGAGACCTGCCTACATTCAGGGGCAATGCTGAACTGGAAAACCACATGATTTGATGAGCCAACATTTGAATCGACCGAAAACAGGGCTCAAGAAGTATGTACCAGAATTTAGACACAGATAAAAATACATCATCTTCATTATCTAAACACCCCTACATATTTCTCCCTCCCGTAACCATAATAACCTGCCCAGTCACATATCCAAACAACGGACTCGCCACGGCCAAAATACTTCTCGCCGCCTCCTCAGCCGTCCCCGCCCTCCTCAATGGAATATCCAAATTTGCATCCTTCGCCTGACTCCCCTGACCCTTCGGTATCCCCAGCGCAATTTTCTCACCATCAGGCGTCGTCACAAAAGCCCCCTCTTCCTTCGCAGCAGTTAATCTCGTCAATATATGTCCAAACGCCACACTATTACATCTCACTCCAAACTTCGGACCCCATTCCTTCGCAATAACTTTCGTAAGTCCATTGATCCCCGATTTAGCAACCGCGTAATTGGCCTGTCCGGCATTACCATGCACGCCGGATGTAGAGGATATATTTACTATAGATCGAGGTTCGCCATCAGTGACGCGGAAATAAGGAGCAGCTTCCCGGATGAGTTTAAAAGGGGCGGTATTGTGGAGCGCGAGAATATTTTCCCATTGTTTGTCGGTCATTTTGTGAATTACGCCATCCCAGGTATATCCGGCATTATTTACTATTATATGTATTTTTCCATTTCCAAATTCTGCAGCTTTTTTGACGAGAACTTTGAGGTATTCGGCATCGAGCATGTCGCCTGGAACTGCGATTGCGCGGCCACTTTGCGTGGAATTTATTTCATCTGCGACGGATTTTGCTTTGGCTAAGATGGTGCATGGGTCAGTGTTTGCTGCTAATGAGACCCGGGGAAATTTGGAGGTACAAACCGCCATCTATATCAGATACAATCACTTTAGCTCCTTCATTAGCAAAGAGTTTCGCAGTTTCAGCACCGATTCCTTGGCCAGATCCGGTGATTATAGCTACTTGACCAGCAAGCAATCCCTTGGGGTAATTGAGATGGCCAGCAATTTGGGCTACACGAGATGCCATTGTACAGTTGTCAAATTAGTTAGGAGTAGAGACTGAGGTGTAGTAAGAACGGAGGAAACCTTTTAATATGTGTGAGGTATACGGGTGTTTAAAGTTTAATGCGGGGAACGCGAGCTTCCCCAGATTTTGGTTGCCGGACCGAGGCATGTTTCTATTTTTGGATTCTGAGGTACTTGTCATCCCAACCTTTCAATGCTTGACTTCACTTCTATTGGCTGAAGTCTAGTATCTTGTTTTATATAATAATCTAGTTCTAGTTCTAGTAATTGTGAGTTTTGAATCTATCCTGCAGTGATGCCATTTTCTCACTTCGAATACCACGATAAACCATCTTCATTTAAACACCGTCACCCCTATGCAAGCTTACTCTCCGCGACTAAATTGTCGCTACTATTAACCGGTGGTGTTAGTTCAAACTTTATTTGCAGGGGAATAATGTTTACTGCAACATCCGAATTGACAAATCCTGCGATATAGCATTGCCAAAGCGTCACCATTCAACATTTCAGGCCAAGACCATTGTGATGATAATCGAAGCCTATTGCCAAGCCATACAAATGGGATGCAGCAGCTGCAAGAACGAGCATATGAAATATTTGATGAGAACTTCCCCAAATATCATAAGAGCCCGGCGATGTCCTTTCAGGCCATCGAGCCTAATAAAAATCAGACAACCGTTCTTGAAGATGACTTTGGGAAGCTTACCGCGTATAATGAAGCACCAAGAATATATAGAAAGCCTTCCAATAGTAACCATGTCAAACCGGACCGTTCGCGCATTTCATGGAATCCATTAATTTCTATCCCATGCAGTATTGGAATGACAGCCCCGCAAAGTGCTAGAGCCACGAAGATACCCGCCCGATAAGGTCTCCAAGTAGGAGTTCTGAACCTTTCAAGCATGACTACAACTGCACAGAACCCTCCGAGTACACCCGTCTAGAAACATATGAGCAATGGGTATTTGAATGCACTAGTATGTAGAATAGACTTACGACTGTGGAGTAGAATTCGAACAAATGTGGATGACAGTACAAACCATAAAAGATCCCGGGAATGACACTTCCGGTGATAAGAAAAACAATTCCCAAGTAATCCAACTTATTGCCAAACCTAGCAACAGTTGGAGAATGATTAGAAATGGTATGATAAGTCCCTGACATCCCAAGACATAATGCAGCTCCTGCAAAAAAGCAACTGAATGCTAGAACATCCGCTGTCTCTGCAGATGCATACCTAGGTCTAATGGTCGCATATAAGAAATAACCTGAAAGTGTAAATACTACAGCTCCAATTAAGTGTGAATAGATATTGACTGATTCATTGTGGATGTAAACAAGAGATGCGAATGACTTGCGGAAAGAAGATGTTGCGGGGCGGTAACCAGATTTGATGTAATGATTGTCTTGTTGCCAGGAAGGAAGATCATCCCAAAGTACCGTAAGGGCTCGTTCGACTTTTCTTTCGATATTTTTAGCAGTTTCGGAAAGAAGTTCTGTGGTTGATGTAGTTGATGGTCTTCGTTGACGGGTAGACATTTTGACGGGTGTGAGTGAGCTGGCTGATGGATGCTTGTGATATCTCTAAAGTAGAAGATCGAACCAATCACTTTTGATAAGACACGAGCAATAAAGTCAAGGGCAGATCCAGGAGAGAACGAAATCTGCCATTTTGATGGATGAGCATTAAATAATAAACACAGGTAGTGAAGTCATAGCAGATTCATCAAAAATAATGTTGGGAGTTCCTTCTTAAAGCAGCAATTGCTAATGAGGGGCATTGAAGCGAAGCCGAGATGTTGTTCATTTTCCTTCACGCATGTGAATTATAAACATCAGTCACATCTAACAAGCATCGCTGTCCAAATTTGTTCTCTTCTTCGATGTCGACCAAAGGCGGTCGAAATTCATCATGGAGTCGGCTGAAGCCTGCAAATCAGGATATTTTTGAGGAGATGGGATTGAGATCCAAGGGAGACAAACAGTAGGTCGTTGAGCCAATCTTATCTCTCGCCTTTATTTACTTACTACCCCTCTAGGCTTCTTGACTACAAAACACAAGAACGTTTCTACAACAAGATCGTCGAAAGATACATGCTATTCGCAGCCGATGCTCGCCGAGGAGACGAATTAAATCGAAAACTTGCACGTCTGAATATTTCACAAGAAAATGGGAATCGCGATCCTGCTCAACCAGTACCAAACCCCGCAGACCTTACCAATAGTAAAGCCGATACAAACGAGCTGGATGCTATAACAATGGGAATGAGAAAGCTTCGAGAAGGAATTGTGGCATCGAAGAGAATAGATGATTTCTCAATTCAAGCATACATATTTTGCATACGTTTGTCAATATTATTGAAGCATTGGGAATCGTACCATCCAGCGATGCGCCATCTACTTCAAGTGATGCACCCCAAGCATCCACTGTCGAGCACAGAGCTTCAGGAATTTGCTGGATATCAAGTGCTAGATTTGGCTTGTAGACAATCGGATCTGGCAAAGGCATTCTCTATTAAACTTACACTTGGGTTGCGAGACTCGAAAGTCGACGAAGTTTTAAAGGCTATTGCTCATGATAACTACTTTTTGTTTTGGAAGGTGAAAAGGGGGATGGATGGGTACAAAGCAAAAATTATGGAATTTGCAGGGGAGGAGATGAAGTTGCATGCTTTGAAGTCGATTGGAAAGACATATCTCAGTATTGACTTAGATTCCCTGGAGCAACTTACCGATTCGAATTGGACCACTCTGACCAAGGTGTATAACGTGGGATGGCAATTAGAAGGGACGAAGGTTGTTATTCGAAAGCCGAAGCCACGTTGAAAGTACATTTACCCGTACGACATTATTATCTTCACCCGATTTTTGGAATATATGAAGCCATATTATTATAGGTATGTTGGCCTGACACCCGCGTCTTTTACTGGCTGAGATCTAACAATTTCAGATCAGATCAGTTGGGTTTGATCGCGACCATAACTATTGATGGAAATTCATTGTCAGCATGAGCCGCGTAACGTCCACGTGTAGTATACGTAAAGAACACTGTGTGGGATTTGTACCCTGCTTCCGATTTTCGTGATCGCTGTATTCGGCGGCTGTACGATTCTGATTGATATTCCCATCGTTATATGAACCATATGAACGTATTGGGAGTAACATCAGTATACCACATTCACCGATTAGCAGGTAATCGCATGCCACGGGCCATGATCCATCTGATGCGGATGTCAAATTATTCACATTCGATATTATGAGAGCTTACAAGAATTTTCTGATAAATACGGTTCGAAGGATGGACGGAAAGGGCAGGGGCATGAAGTATCGTACAAAGCTCGAGGGGATGATGAATACTTGCGAGAGGCACATCAGTATAACAAACGAATGCAATACCCATTCTACAAATTACATACTTGAAATCGTAAATTAGCCCTCGATAACAATATCTGATCTCAGGGTGAATCCAATTCATCACAAGTGATGATTGTCTAGTTGTTCATAGACACTTGATCATCAACTAGGAGCGGTGAAATGTATATAGACGCTATAAACGTCTAATTATCGCTAATTGGATGAACTAATGTCCTATTTGAGCCTCACTTGCGAAAAGCTCAGATATTTATTATCTAACATCTAATTGGCTGGAAAGATTAGCCACACTTACTCAATGGTTCGAATCCGATTATCCGGAAGTTGTCCGTCCTTCAGTGGATGCTTCGCCGATCAATCAATTTTCATGCTCCAAATTGTATATCTTTCGGAAAACACGGGTGTAATGGATCACACGTCGATCAAAGGACAAATGATCAACATCAGCAATGCATTCGTAAAGGGAGGAGAAGAAAGAGAGGATATTTGCGATCAACATTTTGGAAATTTGAAAACATGCCGTGGCTAGTCTCTCAATGCACCTAATTTATACTTTTGAATTCCAAATATTCTAACACGTGTCGGCAGAGTAGCTTCAAACCCAATCCCTATAAGGCGCCCTAATTAACACGTGCAATTGGTGAAATCCAAATGACCTATGTCAGGTGTATCCAATTACATTCCACCCATCTATGTTTGTTGCATATCTCCCAAAATCTCATTTGACATGTCAGTAAATAGTCCCTTTCCATCAGTATTACTATTCACATATGATTGGTGTATAAACCCAAGGATTATACGACAACAGGGGAATGTGCAGTACCAAGCCACTTCTAAACGAAAAAAAAGGATCATACGCCTCCTCATGCACAAAACAAGCAATAGCTAGCGAAAGATCTAGACCCATCTAAATCATGAAATTCGTATCACTGATCGCTCCAAAGAAAAAAAAAATCAGGCCATGTTGGAAGATCATTGGAACCACGATTTAATGAAATCTCCCAGTTTGGGACATATTTTAAGCCAGGCGACCGTCAAAATGTCTTTGTTGCATATCGTATGAAGTGATCAGTTGTCTTTTCTTTCTTCTTTGGGATAAGAAAAGTCTGGGGCGTGATATTTTTTGGGTTGGACTGCGGATCTGCACAGGAAATGTTGTGGTGTAGAGTCAAGAAGGAGACACAAATTGGGGATTGTTGCACATCTTATAGAAGGATCAACGATGAACACTTCTCCTTCTGGTAATATACGATTTCTTGGGTCAAGAGTCTTGGGTAATCTAGAGCGAGAGATTTCCCAACTGTTGCATATCTCAAATTATACGATCGTCAACCGTGGATTCCCCTTTTGGGACCTTCTCGCCTTGCAACTCGCGACAGTCAGGCCAAGATCACAACGCAAAACAATTTGTTGCACACCTGAAATGGGATCGCCACTCTAGTCTCCCAAACAAGGAGTGTTTCTTTCGAGGAGATACACTGTAAGGCTTTTTGTTGCAAGTCTTAAAAACTTGATGTTCTTCTAAAATCGCCCATTTTGGCCCAATCGCCGAAACTTCTTTTTCAACGCCCCCGAATCAAATATCCATTTGTTGCAAACCTTATGGCTTGATCTCCTTCATTCTTCTCCCAATTTAGAATTCGTCCGAGAGGAACAGACGCCGGACAAATATTTGTTGCACGTCTAAAATCTGGGATCGTCTTTCCAAATCTCCCAATCTAGATACACGGAGATTCATCGTCTATAGCCTCGGGGAAATACTTTTGTTGCAGACCTCAAAATTCTCGATCTTCTTCACTGAATCTTAAAGGGGACTTAAGTTCCGACGGCTTTCACGGCGAATTTCTTGGACCACGGGTTCCTTTGAAGCTTTGTTGCATGTCTGAAAATTGACGATCGTCCATGAGTTTCCTATCTAGGCGGAAGCTCAAATGCTTATTTTTCCATCCTTTGTTACGGACTTCGTCGCTTGTTATCTCCGGTCATGTCTTTTCTGCTACACATAAACTCATTCTCTTTGGTACAAATCATTCTTTGTTGCAAATCTAATCGCTTGTTCTTGTCCGGACATCCCAATTCTGCTACAGCTCGGCTACATGAAATTCTGTTCTGTATATCAATTTCCTACTTGCTGTAAGATGTTACATTCAATACTGTATCTTCTCCGGACCTTCCCTTCCTGCTACAGCTCGCGCATGAATTGAGTCTTGCTCCTAATATCAATTTCTCCTTCGTTGCATATCTAATCGTTTGATCTACCCCGGATATTCCATTTCTGTCACTGCTCGCCTACAACTACACATTACTGGAGTAAAATCTTCATTCTTTGAAAATTGTTGCATATCTAATCGCTTGATTCTTCATTCAATCCAATTTCGGGGCAGCTCGCCTGTGCTCGGCTGTCAGGAAGGCTTTGTTGCAGATCGCATTAGGTGATCGATCGGCTGTGGAGATTAGCCAGTTTGATCACGGGCTCTCCGTGTTTTAATTCTGAGGGATTCTAGGCCCAAATTTTGAGGTAACGATGTTGGTTTTTTGTTGCGTCTCGTAAAATCAATCATTTCCTATTCAAGTGTATACGAAATTGATGTAGTGAAAATTGAAGTCTGTTTGGTTGTCTTGTTGCATGTCTGAAAATTGATCATTACTGTTTTGGGTATCGGAACACCCCTTTGTGCTCGGCGTTACACAACGTTCCTTCCTTATGCTGCTTTCCTTCGTGTTGAATTAATTTGGATGCATGTACATTCTTAATAAAGCACAACGGGGCCCAAGGCATACATATCACTTTCATTGACTATATTCGGCCTCGGGTAATACGCTAAAGATCCTTCTGTACGAGTGTTTTTCTCGTTCCAACCATAGGCATCTAGAATCCTTTATTTTTACTATTCATCCTATGTGCAAGAGCATCGTAGTGACTCCATATATCTCGGTACCGATACATTTGGAGCAGTATTGCGTTATGAGTACGTTTGCTTACGGTACCATCAAGTGGTTCCATATCTTGATGAACCATCCTTATTGAATTGTACCTACCTATTCTGGTATTAATATTGACAATGGTCTATGAAGTATCCTTTTCTATAGTCTCAAATGCACATCTACCTACGCAATGGGATCAATGATGTATTCCTCACCAAATATACAACCAAGAAGGCTTATGGTGGCATGAGTACAACACCAACCAGTCCTTCCCGAAACAAACATATATTGGAAAGCCAGATTTATCACCCACGATTTAAATCTAGGCGCTGGGGATATCATTCTAGTAACTCTTAGCGTACAGTAAAGTGCTGCCTCTTCAAGAAAAACGGGGTGATTGCTACTTATTAGATTACCTTCCTGCGAAAATGCCATTGGACAATGTAATTGAGTTTTTATACCCTTGACATTCTACCGATATAAGATCTTACAATCTGCGTCCTACCTATCTATCGGAGAGGGCAAGTCTGGAAGGAATACCCTGAAGGAAAACTTGTTATGACTAGTAAGAGGGCGGTTAGGAAGCTTTGTCGGACTAAAATGCCGTGGATGCAAAGATATTGACAAATGCAGTGAAAATGGCACGATGTATGCGAGGGTAATTGCATGGATAGAAGTCATAAGGGCTAAACCGTCAGGCCAAAACCGGCTCTTAATATCTAAATGTAGGTATGGGGAGTAGGGGGAATGGGATTATGGGAAAGAAAATTGTTGAGTGACATTCAATCAGGTGCAGCTCTCTTGGAGACTTCGAGTTCCAGGGAAATGCAGATTGGGAGAACCGGCCAAAGATTTCATGCAGACAAATGCTAAGCCTAATATTTACACTGGAAATCCTACTTTGCCTCACGATATCGAGTCTCAGCTGTGAGTTCACATCGCAAAAAAACGTTTGATGTTGGTCAGACGAAATTCGACGCAGCACCGCGGACACAACCAATGAATTGATGGAGAAATGTTTAAGTATGCAGGCACAGTCTCCGCGCAAAACAATGTTCGAAAACCAAGACTGGGGATTGCAATTCGAAAATACACAAAGAGATACAGATTCAAATAGTGCCAGCCATCTGCTGCGTTCAAATATGAGATTCCCCAAAATGCCACCCTGTCGTATACTGTGTTATTGCCTTCTTTGCTCCCAAGCCAATTGAGACGATGTACATCATACCCTAGGTAATTTCGAAGAAAGGAGAACTGAGCCAAAGGATCATTGAGGAAGCCTTAGTCGATCTCATAAAATATTCGATAAGAAAACCAACCAAAATAAGAAATAGAAATATTAGACCTTGAGGTGCATCTTTGAGGATCATAGCTAGTAGATATATATTAGTTGCCCTGGTCATTGTCTGTAGATGTGATGTAAAACCCACCATAACCCTTCATGAAATTACGCCACGAACTCCTCGGCAAGATATGGGGTCGAAAATCTGACGATATTTTTATATTTTGGAATGCAATATCCAGATACCCTTCTTGTTCTAGAGTTCGTATCACGTTAGTTAATATGGATCCTAGAGCGGGGTTCAACTAGCGTGAGCACTCACCAATTCTTTTATTCCCTGCTGTCTCCTTTGCTGTTTCCTTTGCTATCTCAAGATCTTCTTCGGAAAGTTCCAACGACTTGTCAATTTCGATAAATCTTCAACGCACAGCACGTGTAATGTTGTCCAGCAAATAGCCCAAAACTTCATCCGTGGGGTCGCCCAGGAAGTTTTCCTTCAATTCTGCGAGCGTTTCATCCACTTTATCAACTGAACAACGTATTTCATATAGACGACCGACGAGTTCTTCGCTCGAAATCTTACGATCGAGTATACGACGCTTCAGTCCTTTCAATGAATCTTGCCATTTTTGTTCGACAATTCTTGCTTTCAAGAATGGGATCAATTCTCTCCACTTCACCACCGCATCCGAATCCTTGCATACGGCCTTGTTGAGGTCTTAAAGAGCTTGGAGTAGATTCCATAAATATATCGAGGTAATAGGATGCGTGGCGAAGAATCTACTGCTGAATGTAAGTTCCAATAACCATAGATCGTAATCATCTATAATGTCCGCCGGCGGCGGGCATGGTTTATGACGTGTAGATATCTGCCACGATGCAATACGCTCTCGCCATTCAGGTTGATAAATATCAGGAGCGTTTGCACTTGGATGCGAATCGAACCATCTCGATATGGCTTTTTGCGTTGCTCTTTGCTGTTTTATTCGTTCGTTGTTTACCCGATGCTTTAACTCTAATCCATAATAATTGAAAGGCATCTTGTATTGTTGGTTCGTCTCTTCTTCTATTTTAGATAATCCAAATTTTTCTTCGAAACTTTTGCGTACGGGAGATGTGCGTTTATAGTCTTCTCACATTGCCCCGGTTTTGCCTCGTCGTTTGCATTTCGAAGTTGTTGTGGAAGTCGTCTAAACGCGCTCGTATTGGGGCCGAAGAAAGTCAGCTTGTGGCGCATTGCCAAAACAGTTTTCACTCAAGGAGTCACGGAAGAGACCACAGAAATCGAGTGTTAACCTTAAACATTTCATAGTTTTCAGACATGCATGTTACGGTTGCTTAAAAACACCAATCGTGTCAATCAGCGATGCCCCTGATTGGTTCCCATAAGGGTCACCAGCCTCCTGAGCATCGTTACATGAGATGGTGCAATGTAAATCCGTATGATTAATCATCCTGAGGAAGTCGCCTCAATCCGAACATGCCTTTATTAGCTCTTTCGATTGGAATCTTTTCGTATCATCGTTCTCTTTCCAGACTTACTTATCATTGCTATATTATCAAGCGACGGATTTAGAATCACGAATGCAACTTCTATCCCTATCTTAGTGCTTGTGCGATGGATGCTATCTTTTTCGCGAGAATATGGAAGGGCTAGATCAAGCCGTTCTCAAAGCTTGCACAGGGCCATCATCGGATTACTTTGATGGAAGAGTCAAACTCTTGATCACTTTGGCTAACGATAAGTTGGCAAACTTCTATGCGCCGTGGGGTGTGGTCGTCGCTAGCTTCACGAGAGATCGCATACCTCCTCATACTGAATTACACAAATTATGAGACGGATTGGTTAGTTAACTTTTGCCATGCATATCATAGCATTGGACCAGTCCTACATCTACCGTTGTTCTTCTCGTTCTTAAAACCTGGGCAACAACCCAAGGTTTTGGATGTGATGAAGAGGAAGTTGCAAGCCATCTCACAGCAACGGCAACGAAAATGAATACATCTCAACCACTACCAGACAGACTATTGTGTGCATATGTGGCATTGGAACCCACAGATACAGAAGAAGAGTCTTTAGCGGAATTAGGATTATTACCCCGCAAAGCCAATACTAAATAAGTCGACGCCCAAGTTTTCGCGACTCAAGTACCGGTAGTCGGTGTAGAAAAGAATGAATCATGCTACACTTAATTACGATTTCCCTTTTTCTGGAATGATTACCTAATTTTTACTCAAGCTTTCGGGGAAGAGAACATAGGAAAAGATTTCGGACTCTCTAGATAGTTTCAATTTGCCTACTATGGAATGCTATTTTATAATCTTGTCACTAAAAATAGCATCATTGGCAGTGCAGTAGAATATTCTACTCCCTATTGATACACTAAAGGAGAGAATGGTATCAAAACTCCTGCTAGCTAGGAGGCTGACCTAAATGAGTAGATATAAAATCTCCAAAATCTCAGCTGACAATTAGATGGTTGCATTGCTTACAATCTTATGTCCCTAGATCATGCAGCCCCGCGGCACATTCCGCAATCTTGGACGCAGAGCCTCGAAAGAAAATGCTTGGGTCCAGAACCTTACATTCCTACGAATGAACCAGCGAGAATGCAAGAATACCTAGTATGCCAAACTCCAATCCAAACAGCAGAGCGGTAAATCCGGAACCTGTACAGGACCTTAATCGATACAATACTTCCCAAGAGCCATTGATTCTCGCAGATAACGTTCGAAACCGTCTACGAAATCTGATTAATTCAGCTGCACCGCAAGGGGTTGGAACTTATGTGTACAAAGATATCAATTACAACGAGAATATTCGAGTTTTACGAATTTTCCCTGGTATGAAAACTTCGCCAATTTGTTGCGTTTTGCTACCCAGCGTGCTGCCAGATGCGAACCACAACATCAATTCAAAACTGGAGAAGCTCGAGTACACGGCTTTATCCTATTGTTGGGGCAATGGTGACCCAGTTGACGAAATCTATATATACAAAGAAACTGAAGCGAATCCAGAGGGCTCAGAAGCGAGTTCATTGCCTTTTGATACGAGGCTTATTCAGAAAAATCTCAAAGAGGCACTTTTGCAGCTACGATCCGAGCACGCGGTGGTTAATCTTTGGTGTGATGCTTTATGTATCAACCAAGCAAATAAAAAGGAGAAAACCGCACAAGTTGCACGAATGCATGAAGTATATATTCACGCGGAAAGAGTTTGTGTTTGGTTAGGAACAAATGATGATCAAATGGGGGGAACAGACGGTCCTAGACGCACATTTTATTTCTTGGAGAAGATTCTAGATCTGAACGTATTGGATCAGATTGTCGATAGGCAAGAAGATAGGGAAGATTGGATGCTCATTATTAATTTAATGAAGAATGATTGGTTCAGGAGGCGATGGGTTATACAGGAACTTGCACTCGCGAAGAACGCTTGGATTCGATATGCAGATCAGGAGATTAAGTGGTCGGAGTTTGCTGATGCGATTGCTTTATTCATGACCAAGTTTCCGAAAATGAAACAAATTCTCAACTTTGAGAGTTTGAAAAGGCCGGGCGAGTACCTCGGTGCTCTGGACGCTCGCGCATTAGGCGCTAATACATTAGTCACTGCCACCTCTCGCTTACTTCGTAGATCTGACGATGGACGAATCGAGCAACCATTATTGAGTTTGGAAATCCTTGTCTCTTCACTACTTTTGGCATTTGAAGCTACTGACCCAAAGGATACGGTATTTGCAGTTTTATCTATCGCTAAAGATACTTGGAAAATGGATTCTGAGCTCGATATAGGAAGACGATGGCTGGATTCCGAAAGACGACCCGGTATCTTTAAATCCCTATTGGTTTTATTCAGGTATTACGTTTGGCCATTTATTAATCTACTCACCACCTTATTCCGTCCACCGTCAAATTCCTCAATGATAGTTTTGGACCCACGCATACAGCCTAACTACCAAAAATGTATCTCGGATGTGTGTGCGGATTTCATGGAATACTGCATTGAGAAGTCCAAGTCCCTCGATATTCTCTGCCGACATTGGGCTCCTAGACCTAACTTCAGAACGTTAACCGCGCGGGAAAAACTACAAAACACGAAATCTTCACGCGAAGACAAAAAAATGCCTTCCTGGATCCATAGTATCGAGCGCTACGCGTTTGGCTCTCCGAGGGACGCGGAAAATGGAAGGATTAATGGAGATAGTTTCGTAGATGGATCGAGTCGTTCTCGATATAATGCATCGTTTGGCCTAGCACCCCGCGTCCACTTTGGAAAGAGAAATCGTTATGATCCTAAAAATGACATTTTCGATCCCGCAAACACAGAAGAACCAGATGTGAAACGTTCCCATGTGAAAACGCAAGAGAATAATCAATTACCCCCAGATTTGATGGTGCACCTATCTGGTATCGGAGAGCTTGTGCATATTTTCTAGATATATTTCTACCACTCGATCCATCGGGGGATTGGAACATAAATGATCTGAGAACGCTAAAGAATACACTGGCGGCCATGCTTAAATTTATGGACCGGGTTCAAGCTGTGGTTTGGAGAACGAGGTTCTATTTGACGAGTGGGGTAAAGGGAAAGGTGTTGTTTGGATTAATGCCGAATGAGGCGAAGGAGGGGGATGTGGTTTGTATATTTTTGGGGTGTACAGTGCCGGTTGTTGTGAGAATAGAGGATGAGGGTGGGAAGGGAAAGGGGGGTTGGACGTTTTTGGGGAGTGTTATGTTCATGGGATGATGGATGGGGAGGCTGTGACAGGGGATTGGCCAAAGAAGTTGGAAGTGTTTAGATTGAGGTGATAGAGTGAGTAGAACTTTATGACATGACGTGGTATGATATAGAACGGAACAGAACGGAATAAATCAGTTGTTAGGTGTATTATTGGTTCTACTATATGTTATGATAACCTTAGATACCCATTTACTACTAGCTTAGGCTTCGGAAGACACACACATGTGATGTCATATTTTAATACAGGAAAAGATATTCTCATACATCAAACTGTAATGAGGTGGAATGAAAATGTCACTCTGAATTTTAAGTGAAAATCTCTAATTTTCCGTCTAGTCTCATTTGATATCCACTTCCATAGTGTCTTACTGAAAAATTGGAAAGCAAGTCATGTTATTGATGTCGATAAAGAAGATTCACAGTGTCATTACTAACCTAATTGTTAGACATTGGTCATATTGTTTTGTTGATTGATAGCCAAATACACTTCCCTTGTGGTACTTGTGGTTCATAAATTGAAAGTTCTTATCCCTTTTACATGTTCCAGTCTGCAGCTTCAAAATTGACAAAGACAGCAACTTCTTAACAACGCTATACCTTGGGCATCAATCACTTCTAGAAAACAAAGACCCCATCAGGACAACAAAGCTCCACATAGAGAATTTAGAACGCAAATTGACTATCAAAAATTGGTGTTAAGTTCTTTATGATTGTTATACTTCCTTAATATAGACTGCATCAAATGTTAGTTTCTCAATTATCTTGCATGTCTCAAATTCGAATGTTTGACTCGTAATACTCAACTATATCGAAAATAGAGCCAGTACTGAGAGCGGCTTCTATCTATGTTCGATCATGGTTTGAGTGATAGGGATTTCGCGGTGAACCAAATCAAACACAACATTGCACAACCTGCTCTTTTGCAACCGAATTTCAAGAATCTTGAACACTCGTTGTTTGATTTGCTCTTTTAATTTCGAACTTCATAGCTGTAACGCGGATAATTTTATCGAAAGTTATGGCGCAGCCTGCAAATCCAGACAATGTGTGGGATCGGACTAACAAGGTCGTGGAAATTCTCGGAGATGAAAATGTTGACAAGGCAGCTAGAAAGAAATTGGCGGCACTTTTTTCGGACATCGAAGCCGATATAGAGGCTCACGTAGGCGATCAAGTAGATGAATCAATTCTCGACTATCAAAACCTTCAGCAGGCTTCTGAAGATAGGGACGCGAAAAGGAAGGAATTGAATGAGGCAAAGGGCGCAGCACAACTGGAAAAAGATCGACGGAAAACGTGGTTTAAGGATGTTGCCATACCTACTGCACAACATTTGCGTGCTATCCGTGAATCAACTATACCTATTCGTAATAACAAATGGCGAAAGAACAACGCCGGACTCACGAGCCAAAATATCAAAATCTTAACTGTGCTTGGCTACGGTGGTTTTGGTGCAGTTTACCTTATCGAAAATACCGACACTAAGGCTCGGTATGCAATGAAGTTCCAAGGTCTACGAGAAGAAGATGATGGCATCGAGTGGAGCAAAAAGCCTGGATTTACCGGTGCACGAACTCCCCCCCTTACCCCCTCCTCTGAGGCCTCAAAATTATCCGAGAGGATAATGAAAGAACGGCATTTGTTGACTAAACGGTTTAATGAAACAAAATGCTACTTGCGTTATATACGATCTGGTCACCCTTCCATCTGCAGTATGGAAGCCTTTTTCGATCACCGAGGTGGTGGAGAAATCTTCAGTATCAGCGAAGATATCGCTCATGGGCACATCTTCGAGTATTGTGACTGGGGCAATTTGGAAAATCTTGTTGATAAATATTATGAGACACCACGCTATGGTGTGAGGAGGCGAGGAGACAAGAAAAAGTCTTCTAGACCGGAAGGAATGCCACCATTATACAAGCATGCAGCAATACCTGAAGCATTCATTTGGCATGTCTTTTTGCAGTTAATGGACGGCCTTTCTTTCCTTCATGGCGACCACGAGCTCAACAAGCAAGACGAGTTTCACCGACGTAACCAAATCATTTGCGTCGATATCAAGTTAGATAATATATTTCTAAAAGACTCTGGGGTTCCAAACACATATCCAACGGTAAAGATTGGGGATTTTGGAGAAGCTCTATATGTGCCTTACGGAGAATCTCGCTGGCAAGACGCGGGAACGACCCTTACAGCACCGTCTGATGAACCTGTAAGCATAATCAATTCGTTGAATTTTTTGTCCTTGAAGCTTAATTTGTGTTTTCCCAATATCAAACTCTACTTCTGAGCTTCCTCCTTATATACACTCCTTTTTCTTTTCTTAATGTAACACCCGACCCCTCATTTTTTTCATTTCCCTCCAAAGTTTCGCCTTGAGAAGCAATTACTGACTATCCAATCTGGCAGTGGTACAGCGCCAAATATGATGTTTGGTGCGCAGGAATAACATTATACATTATGACGCATTCTGGCAGACAACCTAATAGAATTGACGATACTTTAAATGAAAAGAATGATTTATCGATAGAGCCGAGATGGACTAGGCCCGATGCACACCTTTCTCAAACACTCTGTAGAGAACTTGAAAGGCCAATAGAAATGGATATGGAAAAGAGGTGGACGGCGATTAAAATTTTTAACCGTATAAAGCCAATGGCTGAAGAAAGGATACGTTCAACGTATAGGGAACTGCAAGACTGGGTAAAACCAGACTTGTCGAATGATAATTTCAATGACGGGTATCTTGAATGGGTTCAAGGGGGAGGAGTCCCTAGTGATTATGAAGAAGATGTTAAGGATGATGAGGAAGATAATGATGATGATGATGATGCCGGAGGTGGCAGTGGTGATAGTGAAAAGCATGCAGAAATTCCAGACCCGCCCGCCGCTCCCATTTCCGAAAAACAATCATCAAAAAATCAACGAGAAGAGTTGTCAAAAAGGCGACGGGAAGAAGAGGAGCGAGGAAAAGAAAACCTGCCGCCTGCGAGGCCCTCAAAAAGACGATTGACTAGGTACCGAAAACTCCGTGCTTACCGGGTATGATGTATGTTTGAAGTTAACTTTTGGTCAGCTCATTCAAGTAGTCATATCCTATAGCACTAGCTAATGCAGGAGTGCTATAGAATTGATGAAATTTATTTCAATCGGTCCAACTGTTAAGTTTTAACAATGATTTGTATATTTTGTGGAGGTTTAGTATTCTCAAGCAATGGGATGTTTATGTAATTATACATCTCCGTATTTGAGAAACTTTTGCGCCGAAATGATCACCACCGATGAATGAATTGGGGTCTCGTGTCACACCTTGGTTGCTGCGTGTTTGTTTGGTCGTCATAATGGGAAAATTGGGAATCCTAGGGTCAATTTAGTCTGATCATATTATCAATCAGTATCATAATTTAGTCATTCTCCTTGGATGCTTGTGAACTATAGTTGTCATTACCCGTATTCCAATCTCGCTTATTTCGTATGAGCAAAGACGCAGATTAGACGAGTGGTATTTTGTAAAAGAAAGCTTGATGTAGGATATGTGGTCGGTTTTGGATCCTAACTTATGGCCAAGGAACTGTATAGCGATGTCAATGGCTAGATGCAGGTTTGCGGGGTAATCTATCTGGGAGGGTAGTTTGCGGCTTATTCTACATCCATACCTGTACCTTTCAGTGTGTTTTGGACAAGTATTTGCAGCATAAATAAGAGATCCATTATTCGATATCGCTTTCCACAAAAAGATGTACGCGCCGATTGTGTCGAGATTTCTGAATACAATGTCCCAGATCAAGACACTGCCAGTTATTATCACATGACTTGGCTTTTTGTGTACAGATGTGCAGCTCAAAAGCATGCAAATTAAATCCAGTTTGATTGAAAAGATTTGTAAGCATACGTTATTAATCTGCACCCGGACCACACAAGCTCAGCATCTGCTACATCGGACTGCCTGTGCAATTTGACTGCTTTAAGATTTCCATTCTTTGCGCCGAAGATGTATCAGTCGTTCAGATATGGTGAGTAAATAGCACAGGACGTTTGCCGCCGTTGAGATTGAAATACCGGCATCAATATATGCACAGGGTTCCGTCCAAGATAAGAGTCGAGACTGTCGAGCTACTGAAAGGTAGCCGAGTAATGGGCCATGAGACATCGTCGGAATGGCTATTAATGGGTAATAAAACCAGGAGAAGAAACTGTAAACATGAATGGGCAATGTGAATGATGAATGGGAAGAAACTTTGAGCTTGTTACACAAGGTATTTCATGTGTATCATGCGAATGGGGCCACCGGTCTTCAATACTTGCCTACTGGCCACGGGGCGAAAGAGATAATGCTACAATTTGATGAGGCTGAAGTAAAAACTTCAAAATAATAAGAACAGTGAGACCATAGATTAATGATGGAAGACATTCTGGATGATAATTTCAGACGTACCATGAATTAAGTACCAGCACTTCATTTGCTGACGGCCTAGGTATACATAGACATACACAAATTTTTTTACTCCCAAATTTCCTCCAAACTCCTCATTACTCTCCATTCTGCTCTCCGCCACCGCCAATCGTCCCACCTGCTTGCTTCCAACTTTGAGCCATCGCCAAGAAATTCGATAATTTCTTCGTCTGTTCATCATCGGCAGGGAAAACATAATCAACATATTCCTCATAACTATCATCATCAAGCTTTCTTCTTCTCTTCGTCTTTCTTGGCATTTGTTTCTGTACTTTCTCAATATCTTCCTCTGTACCATGAGTACGTTCGAAAGAGAGATGAGCATTGAGGAGAGAAACGCGCTGTAAAATTGTTAGAGGTTGAGTTAGGACATCTGAAGTAATTTTGTAACATACCTCTTCTTTGAGATCCTTATCTTTCATGCTCTTCAGAGCACGTTCGAAAATCTTGCGTGCACGTGTCTTTGCAGCCTCACTAACTGGCTTCTCCTCATCTTCCTCGGTCTCTTCCTCATCATCATCTGGGACGTTAATCTCGAAATGTGCATAACTGATCCAGACCTTCACATGATCTGTCTTCTCCAACAATCTCTCGTATAGATGTCTGGTACGATCATATTCGCCTTCTTCTTCCTCAAAGTCAATATACGCTTTCCATAACAATTCAGGCATGTCAAGAACTTGTTGACTAATTGCCAATTCAAAAATCGCACGCGTACGTTCAAGATCATCTAAACCTCTTTCGAGTTCAGCAAATTTGATCCAAGCTTGACAATTGGCTGGGTTCCCATTCAATATGTTTCTCATAAAGGGTGCGACATCTCACGAATTCGAAAAGTTTGATCTCTAGCTCAACATAGCCTTTGAAAAGTTTGTCTTTAGGACACATTCCCGATGGCTGTTCCTAAAGTTTTTCTCGCGGCTTGGAGTTGCTGTTGTCGAATCTCGAATTGAGCCTTCATAAGCCAGATCTTGGCAAATGTGAATTTCTTGTGAGGTATTAATTTCAGACATTCTTGATAGATCTGTCTCGCTCGCTCAACATCCTTCGATTCCATCTCCTCCCAAATGGCATAAAAAATCCACAGATATATATAACGCCTCCAATGTCTCTTCTCCTGGGTTGGTGGAATTTGAGCAATAGCTCTTTCGTAAACATCTCGAACTCTATCGACATCTCCAGAAGTTTCTTCCAATCTGGCATAGTCGAACCATGCATCGTAATTTTTGGGATTTTCCTTCACTTGTTCCTCATATTGAACTCGGCGTTTCGAAATAATCACATCCTCCACACCTTCACGATCACCGAATTGTTTCTCGAAAGTAGTATAAGCCTTATGGAGAGAAGTAGACTTCGATCGTGCCATACGATCTAGGGCGTATTTGTAGATAGCTCTTGCACGTTCATACTCCTTTAACTTTGTCTCGAATCTCGCATATGCGATGAAGAGCCTTTCATCCATGAAGTCTTCACCCAACGCTTCAACAGCTGTCCCAAATACCTCTCTAACCAAATCACTTGTTCCATACTCTTCCTCAAATCTGGCCCATTTAATCCAGTTTCTTGGTTCAGGATGTACCATGGTAAATCGTTGAAAGATTTCCCTAGCTCTTTGAAACTCCCCATATCTCTTTTCCAATTTGATATAACTACTCCAAGCTGCCTCATCCGGTTCCCAACACATCCATCTTTCGAATACTTGTCGTGTACCCGGGATATTACCAAGCATTTCCTCCATGTAGACATATTTGTACCATAATTTATCAATTCTAGGCAAAATAGTTACCGCACGATCTAACAAATTCCTGGCATGATTGATGTTCCGCGACTTCATCTCCGCCTCGACATATCGAATCCATAATGTAACGGATGTAGAGTCGACATCTAATGCTCGTTCGAAAACGGATCGTGCTCGTTTGAATTCTTTCTGTTCCAATTCCCACTGCGCATATCTCATCCAATTGTTCATATTAATCCTATTCCTCCGCACATAGTCCTCGAACTCTTTTCGTTTTCTGCCTTGGAATTCATGAAGCTCTTCGAGATCAGCAAACCGCTGAGTTGGTGCTTGAAGTCCTGGTTCTTGACGGTCAACAGCTTCACGTAGAAGTTGTTCTGCAGAAATTTGGATGGCGCTGGCGGCCTTATTCTTGACCTTCGGCGGTCCGCGAGTCTGTTCATAATCCATGATGGCAAAATTTAATTTCTCGAAAAACAGCTGGCGCAACTCGATTTCGCGTTGCAACATTGAAGGTATCGCGATGTTCGAAAATATTGCTTATTAATCATATACGTAAATCCGCTAGCGGCCGCTATCCCCGAGCTTGGAGCTCTTTCTCGACTTGATTTTCTCCGAACAGCTACATTCACGCGCCAACTACAAGAAACAGTACGCTAAGATGTCGACTCTCGCAGATGAATTACTACAGGACTTTGAGGATTCTGGATCCGAAGGCGAAGGGGAGGATAATGCCCATCTTTTCGCTGACCCTGAAGAGGTCGCCCTTAGCATGAATGGGAACGCAACGGGACTTTCAGGCGCAAGTGAAATGGAGCTCGATGGCGATGAAGAAGCAGTTGATGAAGATGATGAGATGGTAGGAATGGCCAGTGGTGCTATCGATGTTACAGAAGATGAAGAGGCAACCAAGGCAAAGGTTGAAAAGATGCAGCTTGGTGGAGTAGATGATGTGCGCAGTGTTGCAGGTTTAATGAAAACCTTGGAACCAGTTTTAGAGGTCAGTACCATTTCATTCTTCCCTTCTCTCAAACTTGGAGACCTATGGTTTACATCTACTCGTTCTTGTCCTAGCCCTGACTCTTTCCTCGACTTGACAGAAAATCGCACATTTTCAATCATTGCCTCCTGATAAACAAACAACTTTCGTCGGCTCGGTCGAAGACAATCCAGAATATCATTTATTAACGCAAGCAAACACTCTATCGACATCTATCGATAGCGAAATCATCCTAGTACATAAATTTATACGAGATCATTATTCAATTCGATTTCCAGAGTTAGAAACCTTGGTTACCAATCCTTTGGATTATGCCAAAGTCGTCACTATTATTGGAAATGGACCTATGGATTCGGAAAATATCAAGACACTTCAGACATCAAAGGATAACAGACTTGGTGCCACATTAAGATCTGTTCTGGATGGACCATCGGTTATGATTGTCACGGTCGAGGCAACCACTACAAAGGGTCGAGAAATGTCACCGCATGAACTCGAAAGAGTACTTCGTGCTTGTGATATGACACTCGCACTCGACAGAGCAAAGAAGACATTAACCGATTATGTACAATCGCGCATGAACTTGTTCGCTCCAAATCTTACAGCCCTTATTGGATCCCTCACAGCGGCACAACTACTCAACTTCGCGGGAGGTTTAACAGGTCTAGCCAAAACACCTGCCTGCAACCTTCCTCCTCTAGGCTCCAACAAATCATCTGGAACTGGTTTCGCTACCAACGTTGGAGTCCGCCAGCAAGGATTCCTCTATCACTCACCTATTATTCAAGGTATTCCTAATGATCTCAAAAAACAAGCTATGCGCATCGTCTCTGCCAAAGTTGTTCTAGCCGCAAGAGTTGATCGCGTTCATAACAGTCCAGATGGATCTACTGGTGAAGAATTAAAAGAACAATGTATAACCCGACTCGAAAAGCTTACTGAACCACCTCCGAATAAAGGTGCTCGTGCATTACCGGCTCCAGATGATAAACCCGCACGTAAACGTGGTGGTCGACGTGCTCGACTAGCCAAGGCCGCAACTGCTATGACGGATTTGAGGAAAGCACAAAACAGAATGGCTTTCGGGAAGGAAGAGAAGGAAGTTGGTTACGGTACTGGTGATGGGACTAAGGGTATGGGTATGATTGGACAAGGTAACGACGGACGTATCCGAAATATTCAAATTGATCAACGTACAAAAGCCAAGCTATCAGCTAAGAACAAAGGTTGGGGTACTTCAACACCAATGGGTGGTTCTGCCTCCTCACTTCGTGGATTTGGTCAATCGGCTAGCAATATAGATTTACGAGGCAAAGGTCTAAGAGCGTCTGGCGTTGGAGGATTAAGTACTAGTACAGGAGCTAGCGCAGGAACTGCTAGTAGTTTGGCATTTACGCCAGTTCAGGGATTAGAGTTGGTAGATCCAAAGAGAGTAGCAGAAATGAAGAGAAAGAGGGCTGCCGAAGAAGATAAATGGTTTAAGGGTGGAACTTTTACTCAAATTGGTAATGGTGGTGCTGACGGAAGTATGGGACCTCCTCCCAAGAAAGTCGATTCCGGCGTTGGAAAAATGGGTCCACCTGCTTTGCCAAAGAAAGCTTGAAGAATGTGATCTGAAGTTGTAAGATGGAAAAGGGAGTTCGTGGGAAGGGGCATTTTCATGGCGTTTGGACGGACAGGAGTTTTACAATACCATAACAAGCAGAGCATTTGCATGGCCGATAACTTTGCAAGAATTAAAGAATGTAAGACGTCCAAAATCATGAAATAATTCCTGAGCTGATTTGACCCATATTTTCGCTTGTGGATTTTACACGACTCATTTATTCAGTATGTGTTCAGCGTCATTATTCCGTCATATTGTTCAAGCTGAAGCAATTTCGCATCCTTGCGTTTTACTCCTAGATGTGAAGAGAACTTGGTTCGATGGGAAAGCATGGGTTAAGCTGGTGGAGGCTCATCCTGCCATTATGATACTAATATTGCTATTTTGTTTCCGCTGCCAAACTCTATCCCTTCTGCTCATTCCCCGAATATATAGAGCCTAGCTTATTCTGCTACATCCCAACCTTTTTTAAAGAACTATCCATGTTGTACTTCACTCTCAGCCGATCTCCTCAATTCCGCCCTTCTCAAAAACATTACCAGCATCATTTATCTCCGATCTCAAGCATACATTATGGACTTGAAAATGGTAAACTTTTCTCTGTGGTCTTCAGGGATAAAAAAACGAATTGTCAAGGTAGTCAGTCTAGTATAAGAACTTCAGGGGCTCTTCTGAACCTCTTAACTCCATGCTAAGCTAGCTCTTCGTCATGCTTCATCTCTCGGACGTTCTTTGCAATTACATTTTCTTTCTTCTCAAGCAAAGGAAATAAACTTCCACTCAGTCTTTAAAGCTACCCATTTATCCTCGTCCACTGGGTCATTCACCATCTGAACTCTGTATGCGATATTGTCTACCCATTCTATGAGCATTACATACAAACCTGATTTTTTCTGTGTGTATCTGGTCTTGCACGCACGAGCTATGACCATGAATTCAAGCTCATCAGGCCTATCTGCTCGCCATGATCGATTCAATGATATGGTGCCGATTGGGATGTTTTGATTTGGATTTCTTATCTTCATCTCCTCATTCTCTAGTATAGCTGGATCGGATGGATGTACACTTATACATTTCTCTTTATTACCAGATCGGTTAACCAAAAGGCGAGCTGTGCTTGTCCAAAAATGGAGAATGTGTGGTGCTCTAGGAAAGTTATGTTGAGGAATTGAGGTTTTGTCAGACTTCCATTGAACACTAAGTTGCTCTTCTTCTTCTTCTTCTTCGGCGATTTGCTTTTCTTTGGGTATGAGCTCGGAGGCGTTTATTCGAACATATTTGTTTGATCCCTCCACGGCTGGCTTATACCAAACTAACTCTCGACGGACCGCATCTGCATATGGAAAGCTTACACCTGGACGACGAAATGTTTTCCCAATTTCCATGTTCCAACCAGCCCATGACCAGCTTGGGAAGAGTTTTCGTCTTTGATTTGGGTAATGGTAAGGGAGTGTCCAAATCAAAGCTAAATCAAAAAATGATTCTGGAAGGCCGAAATGAAATTTTCCACTCAGACTCTCTTGTTTTGAGGAGAGAGTACGATTTTGAAGATGGTGCTCTATGCCTTGAAAGGCATTTAAAACATCACTTTGATCCCCTAGTGAACGACATGTAAAGTTGTGCACTAGTATATGATAGGAGGTGAAAGCATCCATAATAGTATGGCTCTCCGAACTTATATCACCTGATGCTCTGCTTTCGCACGTAATACTAGGATTCAGGTTTTCGAGAATGGTATCTTCACACCATAAACACTTCTTACATTGAAAAAACACTTGTGAGTCTGTGAAGATCATTAATCTCTTCGATAAAACCATTTCCTGGAAAGTCCACCCGCGTGTTTCCCAAACTGTTTCGTACTTCCATGTTTGATAATGCTTCTGAGTCGTTATTAGAGAAAGATCCTTTATATTTGCAAAGTATTGCTTTGGTGACCGCGGTATTGACTCAGTTCCAACTCCATTCAGGCCTGCCCATGCATTAGAGCCAGAGCCAGCAACGATGGTACATAAAGCGCTTCCATACACCTTACTCATAAGAGGAATTTGTGCAGCTCTATCAAATTCGTCATCTTGTTTGATACATAAAGCATCGACCCAAAGATATCTTTCACCTAAACCAGAAACTAGGTCAATAGAATCTCGAATGGTTTTTGGTATATTTGGGTTGTTTGATAACGAATTCTTTCCATATAGCCATACGATGGTTTTATCTTCAAGTTTAAGGTGCTTATTTGTTTCCGATGGCGCACCCCAACAATAACTCAAAGCTAAATATCTGCATTCAGCTGGAGCACGAACAATACATCGACGCTTAACATCAATCAAGCGAAAGGGACTTTTTGGATCTCGTATCCAGGGTTGAGGAGCACAGTCAGGCCTATGATGTGTCTCGCAGCCATCAACCCAACTTCGTAGTAGTTTGATATTTGCTCTCAATAGATCCATGTGTCGACCTAATGACAGTTGATCCATGTCCTTTTCATTTTCCTTTGCCATCAATTGAACACTAGGACCATAAATTGGAGCATCAAATTTTCCTTCGCGATGAGCCGTTTCGGTAATTAGCGTGGGCTGTAGTTGATATGTGACATGATGACCAGGAGACCAATGAAGTAAAATTCTAACCCATCCTCTTACCAAAACACGGCAGATCCATCGTGTTTCTTCTCTTTGGTGTAAACTCCGATAGTACCTAGCAGTCTTTTCATCTATTCCAAGACAATGACGTAGCAAGCGACAAAATGGGCAGTAAATTGAAGTAGTCCAGAAATCTTCCAACACAAAGGGAGGTGGAGTTATTTGAAGTCTTGGGTCTAACTCTGCTGATCGAAAGAGTAATTTGAAGTTGAGTGTTGAGCATGTAGTGCAGAGTCGATCGTAACCATGATATAATTTCACGATATCCTATTTATGAGTAAATGGTACGTACAACAATATAAGATATTTTGGGACATACTAACTGAGGTAGAGCATTTGACATGATTGATTTTTAGTTCTATGATGTACGATCATTGCATACAACCAGCTATTGAGTTCTGATGGGAATTGTTATCTTATAAGTTAGATATGAGGCTGAAATTTGAGACAATGAACAAGACGATGTAACCTCAGTCGGAGTATTATCCCGAGGTTTAGTCAAGCCACACCTACACAACTGATATGTGTATTTTTGCACATAATTATTCTAAAAGGAATGAAATGACTTTCTAGGTTCCAGAATGACTCCAATTATCTCTCCCATTTCTTTTACTTTGCTGATGTATTATCTTATGCTACCTCTTCGGCTCTGACAAATGACTGCTTCATACCTATCATAACCCCAGTCTGAAGCTGGTCAAGAGCCGGTAACTACTTTCGGGCCACCCCCCTTTTGGGCCACTTTTCTATATTAAAAATGACGAAAATCAATTTTTTTTAATTTTCTTATTTATAAATATAACGTTTTTGATATTTTAGATATAGATTAATTATTTATATAATAATGAATTCTAAAATTTCTTAGATTTTTTAGAATTTTATAAATCAAGATATCAAAAATTAAAATTTTATGTGACCAAAAGGGTGTTTATAGACCAGCAATTGTATTTAACTTAGAATCTACAGGTGAAGAGCACCTGTAGATGGGGATAGCTACTCTATATATTGTCACACTCAAGAATACTGGGTAAAGTATCTTGTATTAGAAAATACTAAGCTAAGGAGAAAAGAAGAAGGAAAACAAGAGTAGCGAGTTTTCCTATGATTAAATACAAACGGGGCATGCCACGTGACCCGGAGGTGTGAGGCGTCACATATATATACAAATGAATGGCCTAGCCGCAATGGCTAGGCAAAAAAGAAGTCATATTTATTCCTCCAATGATCTTACTTTACCGATAACCATTGATACCTAGTACTTGTCCGGATCTGATCCTCAGGTCACCTAAATCGCATACTAATCTCGAGTAATCGTATCATGTGTGGACATGGTTAATGTACCTGAGGTTTCTTATATAATAAGGGTGGGAGGAAAGCAGGGATTTCCGTCACATTTTAATTTCAATTAATACAAAATTTATTTATAAATTTGAAAAATACAAAATCTTAAATAATATTAATAAAAGTCCATCAAAATGAAATAAATTTTTGGGGAATTTTTAATCAATCATTATATAACAAGTCAAATTTTTAGTTTTTAAATATAAAGAAATTTAAATTTTTAAATTATAATATTGTCTGTGACGGAAAAGTCGTAAACGGAGTCAATTCAATTACTTAGAATCTAAAACTAAAGAACTAAGAAGATTCTAAGTAAGAAGGTCTTTATATACAGGGCTAGTGCACGTGAGCCACTAGTGGGATAACAACCGTCACGTAACATCGTCACACTCAAGAATACTGAGTAAAGTATCCTGTATTAGAAAATACTAAGCTAAGGAGAAAAGAAGAAAGAAAACAAGAGTAGAGAGTTTTCCTGTGATTAAATACAAACGGGGCATGCCACGTGACCCGAAGGTGTGAGGCGTCACAAATATTTTAATAGAAATATTTATTAATATCTATAAAAATAATTTTCTCAATTCAATCAATAATAACGATTGCTTATAAAGTTATAGATAGGTAAAAATCATGATTCTTGGTGTAAAAAGTGTCACACTCAAGAATACTGGGTAGAGTATCTTGTATTAGAAAATACTAAGCTAAGGAGAAAAGAAGAAGGAAAACAAAAGTAGCGAGTTTTCCTGTGATTAAATACAAACGGGGCATGCCACGTGACCCGAAGGTGTGAGGCGTCACAAAAAGAGAACCCAAAAGAGGAATGTGTAACGATACTGTGCTGGAGGCAGCGGCTGCCTAAGGTTTCGTCTGGTTGGTAGTTATGGGTTAAGGCTTTATCACTGGTATTCACTTGGAAGTGAAGTCGTTACTAGATCAAGTAGAATGTAGGTAAACTAATTGATAACTAAGTTGAGCACGAAGCTCCTAAACTATGAAACTACTCTAACTATATAATGAACGATAAAGGGAGCCTCCAGGAGCTTTCTGGCTCCTCAGGGCTCCTTATCACGTGATTCCTTTTTATCCTAGGACACTAATCCTAATGGTGAATCGTGACAGAATGGCCCGAAAGTAAGGTACTGGACTTACAGAGTTGATACGCGCTTGCGCTATTCATCATTCACTATTCAAGGCCTCAAATAGATTATCGTATATTTAAGCACTTAGACCTATTCATATTTCCTGATGCGTTAAGATCTTTACAGGAATCTAAACCTGTGAATAGTGGCTTCGTGGCTTAATGCCTCTCTAGCTTGCCCTCGATACTAGCAATAATTATTGGTTATCCGTAACTCATGCCAGTGACTACATACTAGAGAGTGGGCAGGAAATTTTTTTATTTCGAAGCAGAAATTATTGAAAACTAGCTCGGAAAAAGAGATGAAGCTCCCCCTTAAAAATAAGCGACATCACCATGAACTCTCTAAAGTATCTAGTTTTGAACTTGCTATGAAAGATCATAGAAACTAGATGAACCATCATTAATTTCCAAAGTCTCACAATCTTCGACAATAAAAATAAATAACAAGATTTCTCCCAAACATTTATCCAGCGCTTTCAAAATCACGTTCCCATCCGACTTTCCTGAGAGTGGCATGTCCTCTCTGTGGCCAAATAATTATTTCTAGCAATAATGTGGAGGATTTGAATTCTCAACCATTACATTAATTCGACATAATTTCATCATGCAACGGGCATATAAAGAATAATCAGCAGTTATATCCAGTCACCTTCCCTCGCACTCGTGTAACTTTCAGCCGAGATGTAGAGAACACTCTAGATATATTTGATGAAATATTCAATGAGATGTGGAAATCCCTTTGATTTTATATCCATGGCGTTACCGAAATTTCGCAATTTGTTTACTTCAACTGCCTGTGTTCTTCTACTATTACTTATTTCAAGCAACCAATACTCAAAAATCTGCCTGAATAAAAAATTACTTACGAGAGGTAGTGCCTGAAGACCTTCTCCACCAGTACTACAAGATGATTATTCACCTAGTCTGGGTAAATGGCGAGCCATAGGATAACTTCTTAGATTAGCCAGCGCTAAAATAAATCCATCTGGAATTATTTTTTACTCCGCGACTAATATTGTAATGTGGGCCGCTTTGTAAGGCAGTTTGGATATATCAGAGCCTTTAATTAATTGACAGAAGGAATTCTAGTATCCCAAGAAAGAAGATATGATGATAGTATCTGCATTCATTTCTGATCTCACTGAATCAATACCCCTCAGAAGTCGTAATCCAGGAACAAGGCTTCGACATAGCAATAAATTCCCGTAAGTTTGTAAACACACATAATCATCCAATTATTCATCTTTTACAGAAACGGTGTCGTATTCTTTAAAATCTCACTAGTGATAATTCAAGGTAAGAAATTGGCCGACAGCCTAATGAGCATCCAAAATTGAAAAGCTAGATTCAAGAATGAATGTTAAAATATTCATCTCATATTTCAAATATTCCGAGATCAGTTCTTGATACTAGCAAAACCCAACCTGTCAAATATTTTTGAACAATAATCCGCCAGTACATTCAACAAGTAGGAGCTCAAAAACACACCGTCATACGAACTATCTCCAACTAGCTAATCAATGGGTGTTAAAGAGAAACAGATGTATCCTTCTCTATATATTCATTATCCGCACCATAAAAGTGAATGCAACTTGCAGAATAATACAAGAAAATCAATGCAGCAGAAAGTAAAATGGTGAGATAGGATTCTGTTGACCTCCTGGGATCTTGGCAGCATATGCATATATATTGCATGATGCATATAAGGAGCAAACAAAACTCAACTTTTAATTCATTCTTTCCTTTTTGGTATACTGTTTGTTTGCTTTCAATATTTTGATTTCAAAGCACTTTAATTCCGAAGGCTGAATACCTAACCCTATTCCTTCATTTTTTGAATATATACTCGCAGCTTAACTGCTTAGCTAGAGAATCAATCAATTCAATCTGATACTCTTTCTGGTCTCAAGAAACCCAACAGATTCTTATTAAACTATTTCCTACCTTGAATATCAATGCCTAGATACATATCATGAGGCTCTTTGGATGATAATTCGTACAGATTCTCGACGATTTTTATAGAGATCTCAAAAATCAAAAATATTTGTATAAAGGTAAACAACAAGCAGGAGCACTTCCTTCAATAGAATGATACCACTGAGCTGAATGTATGTGTATTTATTAAGTATTTTGGCAGTCAAATCCACTCAGCTGAATTATCCAAGAAATCTAATCATGAATTCAGAGATGAAGTGAGACCAAGGCTCGAAGAACAAGTCTACTACTCAGTAGATTCTCCTCATCTGCTTTCATATTACCATAAATCTATCTCTCTACATAATTCTCATATACCAAACCTGGAATTTAGTTCACAAGATAGGTAGACCCTTTGCGAGGAATTCCTCCTCACTCCTGTGTATCTAACCGATAACCTTTATCCAGTACACAAAAACGCACAGAGTATATTCCCATCAACTCTCAGCCAGGAAAATTCACCTATAGAGAATTGTCACCGTACGTAATAACCACAAACCCCAAGCCAAAAATAAAAGCACTAAAATCCCTCTCGCCTAGAATTTCCATCCTTTTCTCCTATTCTCCTATTTTCCATTCTCTCCGCTCAGACCCTCCACCACATCACCACATCACCAGCAACACTAGTAGCGCCATCAACCTCAAAACCCCAAACTCTATTTTACCTACTAGTAACTAACTATTACATAGGTACACCCCCACTCCCGGAATCCTTCGGAAACACATCCAGATCCACATCCACTTTCACATCCGCTTGCTCCCTTAATCCGTGCTTTCCATACTGTAAATGGTTCATAATTCTATCAATAATAATCCGTGCGCGATCTAGAATCTTTGTTTTTGTATGTACTTTAGATTTCGGGTTTCGGGTTCTAGACTCTAGATTTCTTTTCGCTCGGTTGCTATAATTGCTATATGTGATGTATATCTTGACACTAAGGCACGCGACAAAACAAAAAACAGGGGATTGAACCGAAGGAATTTGCTTTTTCAGTTTTGCTACTATTAGGCTTGTTTTGATATATGGAGGGTATTGGACTAGAGTATAGGACCGTGATATTAGCACTTGCTCACCAGGAAAGTAATACATGATGTGTAGTAGAGTTGGGAGGGCGCGGTTGGGAAATAATGTGCGTAATGTGGAAAGGAAGACCAAGAAAGTTTAAAATGGGAATTAGAAACTGAAAACTGGCTGAGTGATGTTGATTGGAACTTAGAGAACAGCAAGCCAGACTGCGTCAGTAAACCAAGCAAGCAAGTAAGTGGACAAAATAAAGTTTAAGCTAAACGTTAAAGACAGAAGATCATTAATCATAAATGTTCAAAATCAAGTTTCGAATTAGTGTATGTCTACTTCCTTTAGCGGGTTTAATTTTGGTACAACCCTTTATTGCTAAGGAATTCTAGATGGGATAATGATATGCGAATTTGAGGCATGAACCCCGCGGGAAACTCGAAGGGGACTTTGATGTATGGCTAGTTGGGAGGGTTAGTGAGGGGCTGATAGATGATTACCATATGAGATGCTGGATAGGGAATTCTGCAGACTTTCGAGAGAGCGTAGGGTGTGTATGTGATACTGCAATCAAATAAATAACTAGAGACGTGCTCTTAGTACCTTGATTCCTGAATCTATCTTGTGATACAAATACATTCACACTTACATAACAATGCAACCGTCATGATTTTGCGTAGCTGCCCTCATTAATATTAAAGAAGGAAAGGGGTATACATATCAAGACACAATGCAGTACCATACACAACACTCACTAGAAAGAAAACTTGCATTCTTCTCAAGTCTCTCTTGGGTCTCAAGAGCAACATATACTAACAAAACAACCATGAACCCCGAACCGACCAATACCACACTATCACAAGAAAAAGCTCCCGGATCAACTAGCAACTCACTAAGACAAACCCTTAAAAGCGGTTGGTTTGTGGCAACTTGCAAGATTCCACAATGGGAGCCTGGAGGTTAACCAATATAAATGTAAACATAGATAGCGTACGCACCGCAGCAAACTAAGCAGTGACGCTCTTTTAGAGGATAGAATATTGAATTTAGAAAAAAAAATAAGTAGGGGACTAATACCCCTCACTCACACTCACACTCACACCAACACCTCATCTACAGAAAAGTATTGTTGAGTAAAACTATATATCAATCAATCAATCATATATATATACCATACAAACATCTATAGCGTCATTTCCCCCGCATAGCCCTCGCCTCCACCTCCACCTCCACCTCACCCCCACAATCAAAATAACAAGTTCCTGGACACTTCCCCGATCTCCGCAAGTAAGTACATTATAACTAACTAACTAACTACTAACTACCATACTATACAAAACCTTTTAGTTTTAAAGATAAAAATTACACAAATAAATAATATCCATCAACTCAGCACGATAAAATTACACCCCGGTATTCGGTACCGATATCTCCCTCTCTCTCTCGGAAATTATAGTTCAAGGTGACTTTAAAGACCCTTTCTTTTTTTTCTTTAGATTGGTGGATACGGGGTTTGTGGAATGTGGGAGATTTTTGTAGTGTTGGTGTTGTGGGATGTAATAGAATGCTTGGAGGTGTGTTGTGGAAGGGTGGGTGGGTGAGTGAGGGGTAGGTGATAAATGAATCAATGAATCAATGAATCAACGAATAAATGAATGAATGATGTTGTGAAAATATATACGAGTTTTTGATTAGGTATGGTTTGGGTTGTAAGATCTTATGATGTGAGTTATATGAGTCAAACAGTTTGTATTAATTGATTTATTGATTTATTATGTGTAATATAATGTAATGCTTTTGTGAATGTGATTTAAGGGAGAAATTATTAGGAAGGAAGGGAAATGGGAAAGGGACTTTCTTTCTTTCTTGATTGGGAGTTTGAGTATTTGATTGTGATGATGATGGTATATAGAGAAAGATTGATATTGATATTGTAAGAATATTTCACAATGGATATAATAATATAATAAACTCATTATTGGCGAGGGAGGGGTAATGTAAAAATTAATATTCATGCTTATGAACACCATTATCCAACCAACCTATCAACAAAACTCCAACCCCTCATTCTTATATCATCCCCTCAATTTCTCAAGGGTCCAATACACATTAAGGGTCTCCTCACTTCCTACCCACTCACCCCTCATTCCTTACCACTCACAAAAATCATCACCTCACCACCTCAAACTTCACATCCATCCATTCATCCACCTATCCATTGATTCGCTAACCCCTTCAACGGAGATACCTCCGTATCACCATGGCAAAGTAGTCCAAACCTATGGAAAAGTGATAGAAATGCATATATGGAAGTGGTGTAGCAACAAATCAATTTCAAACGGTGCATCGGGTGATTCTGTGCTACAGTTTATCCTGTGGTCGGACGGATAGATACAGAAAGGACCCCTAGTTCATGTTGTGCCACTCGGCTTTTTTGTGATAGATGATGGATATGTGATTTGATTAGGGGTTTTGTGGATGGATGGGTGGATGAATGTATGGTTGGTTGGATAGATGGATGGATGGATGGATGAATGTATAGTTGGTTGGATGGATGGATGAATGGATGAATGGATGTAGGTTGGAAATGGAAATTGGGAGGATGAAGTAATTGTAGATAAGGGGGAAATGGGAATGGAATGGAACGGAACAGGTTGTATGAATTATAGATATACATACCTAGGTACCTTACCATTGATATTAAGTCATCAGTTTGATAGATAAGTAAGGTTACTTTAGATGTCGCACCAATTTGTTGTATCTATTGCATCTATTGTATCTAGATTGTTGATACTCTGTGCTGTACTCCGTCCGTACTGTACCCCGCCTAGTCAAATCGTATGGACAGACCATCACTCATCAATCGAATCGCCGGAGACAAATAAGGATCCATGTATTCAAAAATGAAACAATCAGACCAGACATTGTCAGACTCATACGATATCTGAGGTGATTATTATCAAACCCCTTGATTAGTCATACAATCCAAAAGATACGTACGTACAAAAATTTCACAACTCACGGGACCATAGAACTATTCCCAAAACCAGACCATATCAATGATCATACATTCGAGTGTTCATCGGTAGTCTGTAGATAATAATAAGGAAAGAAAAAACACACCGTTTCATCTATCCACATGATTAATCTCCCAATTTTCATCAAGCGGGTCCTTTTTTCCATTCAAAAAATCTCAGATCATCGTCATAGGGGATCTCGACTAATCCAGAATCAAGCTTCCAGAAGAAACTTTCCCAAATCTCAATCCATATAAAGTAATTTCCTCCCCCCCCTCAATCCACCACGGAAAACACACGGGAACATATTTTCCCACTCCAAAATTTCATCCATGCCACGTTGAGGATACCAACACTTTTCGCAAAAGAGATCAAAACAAGGTTACAGACGGTCCTCGAGAACTTGGGTCCCTTTTAAAACGAACCCCTTTGATCACAAATTTCTAAGGGAGATCTTCTTTCCAACTTCATCGACCCCACCGCATCTCGATGACTTTTGATCTCCCCATACATTTTCCCTTGATGCATCGACGATGAGGTTTCAATTAGGTTTAGCGTGTGGATTTCACGTCAGCGATATAATCATCTAGAACGCACTTTGACCGGGATAAGGGAAAAGTTTAAATATCGACTCTTCCCTGCCTTGTCAAGTTTTTCAATTTTTCAAGGGAGGGTTCCAGTCTTTTTATTTCCATATGCTCCACCCGAACTCCACACGCACCACGTTAAAAAAATATATGGGAACACTTGGGAAGGAATGGGAAAGCTTATGATGATCCACCCATCCATCCACCCACCCTGAAAATGATCCGCTTCAAGGGAAAACTGGGTCTCCGCTTAGACGACACCCTGGCTCCCTTGGTGCCAAAATGCGACCCCTCATGTATGTGCCAATGTGTCAGGGTTCTCCATATCGCGATCATACACCGTTTTCTCGATCTTCTTTGCCTATGTGACGTCATGCGATGGAGAGAATCCCATGTTTGAAAGTTTTTTGGCAGGAGAAGGGTTCTTTTCGGGGTTTGCTGAAGGGGGGTTGATGAATGATGAATGGATGTATCATGTATGGAGTAATATAGTATGATGATTAATATTTTTCTGAATAATAAACTCTTTCTTACATGTGATATGTCAGTCAGGTCCTCCAGCACAATGAATGCATTTTCGTAGGAAGTTATGGGAAATATCCTCATCCCCATCTATCTGTCCATCCATCCATCCGTCAAAATCTCATCACAAACCCAAATTCCCTCTCACAACACTAAACAATCCCTTACCCAATCTCCCGTTTCCTGTGGCGTCTGGAGAAAAATCCACGTATTCAGATTCCAGATCCCTTAAACAATAAATCTAATCCACAAGCAAGCCCAAACTCGGAAATAATTTTTTTTTAAAACCTATGCCTTCAAAACCCACAAAGGGTCCAAAAAACTCGCCTACCAAAAACCTTAAAAATAAAATAAAAATTAAATAAAAAATAAAACGAAAAGCTAAAAAGTTAAAAATGACCCTCTCACCCGTCCATACATACGTGCGTGCGCGTTTCGGCATCATCGGCTTAGCTACGTACATACGTAGATAAGTATCTATAATCTAAGCAAGCAACCTAACAACACGCAGGGCCTACCACGCAGACAGGGTAAAGAGAAAGAGTCCAAGCTTCTCGTTCCTGGCTGATGGATATGTATGTATGTATGGAACAAGGGGTCAGTCATTAAACAACATGCGGCAAAGCTAAGCTGTCATCCAGAATTTTATTTTAGTAGAAACTTTAGTAAGTTAGTTTTATTTTTTTATATGTCTATCTATGTATGTATGCTAGCTAATGCATGCCGTATGGAGTAATTTAAACTTTTTTTGACGTGATGAATCACTGATGATGAGTTTGTGCGAAATGCGAGGTTACTATCCGCTCGGAAGATTTTTACCGGGATTTGGGTTTGTGGTTTTGTTGTGTTGTGTTGCTTTGCTTTGCTTGGTTGGTGGAGTGGATGGATTTCTATTGTTGTGTTACTATTATTATATTACTGTTGTGCTTGTAGTTCTTTAGATAGGGATATGGATGGATGGGTTGATAGATGATGATGTGTTAGCGAGAGTCTAAATGAAGGGGCAACCCTCCCTCAGAATCAAAAAATCAAAACACATCGAGAAAGTATAAGTATCAGGAAAAAGTAAAAAAAAAAGAACACACATATAATTACGGAGGAATCTCTCCGTCGCACATAATATCCAATCATAACCATCTCCAACCCCATTTCCCTGATAGGTAAAGAAAAAACCAGACAGATACAAAGGAAGGGAGGGTATCCCCTCAAAAATAATATATACAGCAGGGACCTAGATTTCACATAACGGCAGTTGGTTGAGATACCTACATACCTACACACTTTGACATATAATATAGTTCAGGGTATATATGATATGATAAGATATATTACGTGGTTATGTTCATTACATTATCAGGTTACCTCATTCATATTCCCATATTCCTACGTAGTATAATCCATTCCTGAAAAGTTGGCGGAAAATGTAAATCGGTAATGTCGTGTTATGGTATTACAATCGCTGTACTGTGCTGTGCGAAGCTTAAGTTTAAATCACGATCTTTGAACGTGGGGTTGAGGCGGAGATGGCTCCGTTGCTCCTATCCTATCGGGAGTTTTCATTTGGTGGGGTTTGGGCGATGTCACGCTTTTTGATATGGAAATGTAGGTAGGTAAGTAGTCAGTATATTATCAATCAAACGTCTATATTGAGAGGGAGTTTTTGGTAATGAGTTCGATGTATTTATTGTGAGAAATTGATTATTTGGTGATATATTTTATAGAAATGTAATACAATATAATATAATCTAAATCCAACAGTAATCTACAGTATCTATCTATATATAAAAATCAAAAACCTCTACATTTCTAAACACAGATATCTACTCAGATGACCCCCGGAAACCCTAAAGAACAACTAGATATTCATCCGCAGCCCAACCCGACATCCTATCCCGTCGCTCCTCATCCCCTATCAAAACAAAAAGAAAAGATATCCTTAATATCCAACATGCATCCTCGGACTATATCCCACCACATCCAAAACGTGTAACAAAAACACACAATTCCACAAATCGATTTCTTCAACCCACTACAGCACGGGTATCACAGTCGCGGATGAAGGGCATATCTCCGAATGTTAGTTGGAGTTCTAGTTCTAGTCTTGGTTATGGGTGTGGGTATGGCTCGGGCTTGATGTGCATGGTGATGTGTGTGATGCGATGTGCTGCGGTTTGCCGTCTGTTTATGATTGAAAGCAAAATTTCAGGGAGAAAGGGAAGGGGGAGTGAAGTTTATTGTGTCTGTGGTGTGAGCAGGGTGTGGAAGAGGAAGAAAAAGAGGAAAAGGAAGAGGAAGAAGACGTGGACATGGACATGTTGTCTCTTGGGAAACTTAGTTTTGTGGGGGTTTAGTATTACTTTTGAAGTATGTTTTCTATGAATGGATAGATAGACGGATGTATAGACAGCTGGATGAATGAATGGAAACACTATAATGCAAGGGAAGATAACCATGTGTAGTACGAAGATGTTGTACGAAGCGCTCATGAATATGATATATGACCATTATTCGGGAAAGATTGGTCCTCCCCGTCTTTAGTACGAGGACCCTTTGACTTTCTGGTGCGAGTGTCCTAGTATGTATCCAAGTAGAGTAGTACTAGCAGAAGAGTATTCTGTGTACAGAGTGGAGCGAAAGTAGTATATTATCTAGTATCTAGTATATCTGTCTGTACTTCATACCGCCATTGTAGATCTAAGGGTCCGACGAAGTTCGAACTTTGATTAAAATAGTCTTACATCATTTTTCGATCGACTAAGTACAACAAGTACTAGGTACAGTAGATATCTCAGCCACGAGATCTAAGCTGGCTTGTAGAGTAGTGGATGAAAGAACAAAAAGGGTCAAAGGGGTAACAAGGGAGGAAAAATACCTTGGAATTTTAGGGGTGCGAGGTTTATTTATTTGTTTAGATGGATGGGAAAGTTTAATACTCAGCTACTTTTCGATGATGCAGAATATACGAAATGCGTTTGGTTTGGGTTGGATTTGGATAAGTGAAGTGATCAATCGGATTTTCCGATAGCTTGGTTCGGATTACTAGGTTGGGGGTTTTGGATTCAGTGCGGAATTTTTCATACTAAATACTAATATTAATAGAATAGTTTTTTTGGCGTTAGAAAATACCCTAGCTATAAGTGTTACTAGTTAGCTAGCTAGCTAGCTAGGTAGGTACATCAGTAGGTCATCCTTAGTTTCGATTATCGAAGATGGAAAAGCTGAAACTCGATGACTTCATTTTTTGATAAGCTTGTCACTCACACACTTTACTCACATGGTGGCCCGTCCATGAAAACAATGCGCATTATGTGTAAAATACTCGGTAAAGTATCAAGAAGTATATCCATGATATTTAATTTTCTAATTAACGGTGAGAGAAGCAGTCAGTGTATGAAGAAGATTCTATATAAAAAAAATATCCCACCCTCCACATTTTGAACCAACTGTATACCAGGGGAATGAAGAGAAATTTATGCTGTATAACATGTGTCGTACGTTTTGCGGCCCGTGGGCGCAGCATTTTGGTTCGAGCTTAGAAGAATGTGGATTTGTTCTCGGGGAGAAAATGTGATGGATGGATGGATTATTTCGGCTTGTTTGGTTGATGTATGTGATGGGGAGTCGTGACCCCGGTTTTTGGGATACGTACGTACGTATTTGGGTTTTATGGTTTGTGGTTTCGTTGTTAATATGGATTAAAGTGTTATGTAAGATACATATTTTGCCTTGTCAATCTCTTGAGTTGATCGTGAGGCGTTGAACTAGAGAGTTTAGTGTGGAATCTCGGGGGATTAAAATCGGTTTCGCGCTGTTTAGATGGTTTGTTGTCAGATGTGAGAAATTGGAAGGGTATTTTCATGTAAAACTTCGTATATTCGGATCGGAGTTCATTGTCTAATGATTTTGATATGAATCCTACATTCTACTAAGGTTCTTACTCAAAATGTTCGGTCGGGATTTAAGCGGGTAACTAATTTGTCTACAGAAAGTCTGTTCCCGTACGGTGGGTGGTTAGAAGTTGGATATCAAAGGCTGACTGGGTGGATGGTGGATAATATGTAACATGGAGATGGAGTACAATATATGCGGGAAGTGGTGGTTGAGTAAAGTACCCTCACGGTTCATATGCACGGCGTTGCTTTCTTACTCGTACAGGAAAGGTATGTTTCCATTATCAGGGTATTCATCATTGTGCATATGAGTAGTTGACCGTTGAAATTTGAGGATGGATAGTTTGAGATACTGTACATTGAAGGACGACAGGACTGTACAGATAGTTATCATTTTTGACTAATTCATAGAGAGTATATGTATGTATGTATGTAAGTATATATGTAAGTGTATACATCTACAATAGCTCTTCAACCATCAATACCTAGACACCGTACCGCCCGCACATCGTAGATCGTCAATCGATATTCCATGTAATGCTTTAGGTAATTCCGACTCTTCCTAATCGAGCCCATCTCTCTCTTACCATCTTATCCGGCTTAGGGAATGATTTACATATAATGTGCCATCTTTCCCAATATCCTGGTCGAAACTTCCCAAAAGAAAGAAGAGGCATCACATACGACACACCCTACTTTTGCTTTTTCCCTTGTAAAGTTGCATCCAAAAACTCCACTTTCCCATCATTGCCAGCCTGCCCCACTCACACACATACTGTATGTACACTGTACTCTTCCTTCCAACATTTTTTGAACCCTTCCTTGACCCTTTAGACTAATCGATGGATCGACTTGATCTAATTGATCTAAATGATTCGACCCTTATTAATAATTATTTGCTAGTCTTCGCAATATCCTGGTTATTTATTTTATCCACATTTAAAAAAATAAAAAAGTGTACCTATTGAACTAAAACTAACTGGAAAAATAATTAAATAATTAAATAATCCCATCCACCATCCATCCATCCATCCACTGTTCAGGCTCAGGCACCATAAAGTCCAAGGTAAAGGGACCCATGTGTAATTCGTCTTAAAGCCAAATTCCCATATCTTTCTCAAGAATCCCATCTTATTGTCAATGACCCAACGATTCCCCCTCCCTCTCTCTATTTTCCGAAAAACTATTTCAGATTTTTTTTTTTTTACTTATATCTGATTCAAGTATCCATATCGCATATCGATCGAAATCTTTCTCATCCTTTTCTACACAAATACGATATAAGAAATAATACTTCCTTTTCATCGGAAAGTTTATTTGCTTCTTCCTTTATTCAAACATATACATCCATTCATACATACCTACTCGATCTACCAATTATCGTCGTGTCTTGCCATCTTCGCTCATACCTCCGCCTACCTCCTTCATCTCGAACCATTTGGATACTCCTTACCATCAACAAGATTCGAAACAGATATACTTACTCACATCTGTCTCTTTACCTACAAATCAGTCCTATCCATATTCAAGTAATTGAAGATTCTCAAGTTTTCAATCCCGCTCAACATACTATCCACTACCCTTTCCCCTCATCTTCATATGTACTCGAAATTGTAGATTCAACATTCAGATATCAACCTTCGATAGATCAGTTCCAACTTCCAATCCTTCTCAAGCAAGAGTGAAAGATATCTGATTCTCTATCATTTACCAATTCGAGTTTCAAGCATAGTTCGCATATCTACAAATTCATCGCAATGTTCTCAGCCAAAAGACCTAGTATGAAGGGTAGAGATTCCTCGGGTCGCGAAATCTCTTTACTCAATACAACCCTACCAACGGAGGTTTCTCCATCTCCTGTATCACAATCACAATCACAATCACATTCACAACTACCACAATTGCCATTCAGAGACGTTTCTTATGATTTCTGGCCAGCGTCAAGGCATTCGAGGACTTATTCTCCACAATCCCCACATATGGTTCGAACAAATTCCAATCTATCAATCACAAGCAGTACATCAGTACCAAGTTTGTTTCGTTCGGATTCTTATGATTCTCATACAAATGAAGCTCAATCACCAATTACACCTACCTTCACACCAAGCGCTCATGGAAGAAATCACTCTTTCCCAATGCAATATGGTAAGGATTATACTTATTTCGAGCGCAATTCCATGGAAGAATTTCGTCCAAATTTCCTCTCTACCATCCATCACTCAACAAGCCATGCAATCAATAAACATGCAACAATACCCCGAAGAACAATTCTATCACGACGAATCCTATCATGGTGTTACTGAACGTCTTCCTGGGAGACGTTACTCATGTCGATTTAAGGAATCCCATCGATGCAACAAAACTTTCACTACCTCCGGTCATGCATCCCGGCATGCCAAAATACACACTGCCGAAAAAATGGTGCGATGCACTTTTGTTGGATGTGTAAAGAAGTTTACCCGGGCGGACAACATGAAGCAACATCTTGACACTCATTATAAGGACAAGCCTAGATCTTCATCGAGTACTACCTCGAGCACGAGTGGCAGATTAAATGGAAGGTCACCACTTAACAATGCCCGGCCAGGGTTCAAAAGAAATCCTCTCCATCAATCCACATGCGATCTCCCAGAACTAATACGCCATCTCGAATTTCATCATCAGATATTCCTCCTTTTGATTTAAGAGATCAAGTTCAATATAATCACTTCGTGGATGCATCGCAACCATTACGATCTCGTATACAAGCAGATCTCACAAAATTTACGTACGAGAAGCACACTCACAACTAGTAGTATAGATCTATTGGCTGAGGCAGCATTGAATTAAGACACATACCAAATTCAATCGAGAAGATTTTTTTATCAATATCCTCACCTACCTCACCAATCAAAGGATATTGAAAAGAAACCCAAGTCGCACGGAATCATATAATTCAAACCTCCGCTTGGATCATCGATCTTCTCTCCCCACAACGGCAATTCCCTTTTGAATATGCAGGTAATATTACTTTTTCTGTATATTGCATAAAGGGCTTCTCCACACCTTCATTCTTTTGCCGATACTTTGGGCTACTTTTTACTTCAAAACTTTGGTTATTGGATATGAATGGGAAAAAGTGGAATACATATATTGGATGCATTTCAATATTGCATTCGGCATTGGCGTTTCCACATGAGCCGATGACTTTTGTGTTCGGTTAATTTAAATATGTCCGTGGGAAGGTGGTGGTGCCATTCTTCGGGTGCTTTCGGGTTCCTTATTTATCCGTTTCTTTTCAATACTTTCGGCTACATCGGCTTTGATGACGAGGATACATGCAAAAGTTACTTTTTCTCTTCTTCAAGTATATAATACTTTTTTTTTTTTTTTTTTTGTTTTTTTGGAAGGGTCTCGGGGAGTTGTTTTTATGACTTTATTTTTCGGTATATACCACGACTTAACGAGTTCACGACTTTTATACATGGCTCGAGAGTTTGGGGTGACTTTTGATCAAGATTATTATTAGTGGGGTAGTGAAAGTGGAGGTGGGTAGTAGTTGATGCAGATTGGATGGTTGGACGGATTGGTGGATATAACTGTCTTGATTTTGATGAAAAGAGAAAATGAGAGGAAAGGTTTTTATACCATGGTTGGCTGGTTGGGTCTTGGGGTGGGATCGGATGGGGAAAATGGTTACAAGGAGTTTGGTTTTTTGGAGGTGGAGGTTGGGAGTGGGATTTCTTTCTTTCTGCTTTGCTTTGCTTGGATTTCATTTGGTTTGGTTTGGTTTTACTCTACTCAGGCATGATATGATACCAGGATAAGTTGTTCTATGATATACTTATCGGTTTGGGTTGGGCTGGGATGGATTCTTTGGATTTATATGGTGGATGGATGGGTTTGTGTTGTGGGTGGATGGTGGATGTAGATGATGGGAATGGATGGCGGTGTGGAAATGAATAGCGATACAAGTATACTTAGCCATGACAGCGATATGCTGAGCTCTTTGAGTATGAGCACCAGCTTAAGAGTTTGGTAGTAAGTAGTGGATATTAAAAATTAAAAATAAAAATTTATACAAAAGTTTGGCGTTTTGTGGGAATGTGATGGTGATTTGTGAGATGTGTGGTGAGTGTAGTGTAATGTTGGAAGGAGTGAAGGAGTGAGTGAGTAAATAGTGAGTAAATAAATTAAAAGTATTAAATATAACTAACTATAAACACAGATATAGGAGATGAGAGATGTAAAATGAAGATGGGATATACAGGTACAGATACAAATGGGGCATTCCGGTTACCGGTAAGGGGATTTGGGGGGAGGTGTAAGAGGGCTAATAATCTTATATATATATATATCAGTAGTAAGTAGGTACAGCAGGTTTCTGTAATGATTTATTTCTTTTATGTTTTTTATATTTTCTATATCTGCCATGTCTTCAATGTTTTGCATTTATTTTTCTAGAGTAGTATCTGGATTTGTATCTGTCTGTTTTAGTTAGATACCTACTGACTGACTGGTCTTTGATCTTTGGTCTTTGGTCTTTTTTATTGATGGGGAGATGGTTGGTATGGGATGTATTTATATATCTTTCCTTTTTGTATATAGGTAGAACAGGATGGCCGTGTGATGGGGATAAGTCTCAGAAACTGAAAATTTATAATAATTATCTTGATTCCAGTTACTATCTTGCGATCTTGTGACAGATCTGGCTGGATTCAGGTAGGTAGGGCTGCGTATTCTTTTTATTCATTGCCGTCTCAGTTTCTCCAAAGGTGGTCAAGTACCACCCACTACCATTATCATCAATTTCAATCTAGTAGTGGGCGGGAATAAATAACTTCAAGAATCTCTAATAATATCTTGTATCTAAAATCTTACATTCTTATGTTCTATCTATAAAATCTTGGTTTTTTTGGGGGTTCCTTGGGGGAAATTTAATGTTTAACACTAGAGTTAAATCGGCTATCTAGCGATTTATCATTTTCCTGAATTTTATCAGAGAGAAAGAGAGAGATCTAAACAAATAAAAGAATATTAATTTCTTTTCATACCATCATCATCCATCACCGCTTATTTTGACTCTCATCCCTCCTCTACTTCCATCCATCCATTCATTCACCTCCTCCCTCTTTATTTACCTCCTCGTTAAAAAAACCACACAACAACAACAAAATAATCACAAAAACCAAAAAATAATAATAGGCATAGTAAGATTCGAACTCACATCCCCAGTACTCACGGTAGAGCTCCTGAAATCAAACCGCGCTAAACGTCGACGGCAGCAACGGAATTCGAAAATTCCGAGGGACTTGCTCACACTTTCTGACTGGGTGTTCTACCATTAAACTATATGCGTTTTTTTGTGTATCTGTTTTTTGGGGTTGAGGGTGAGGTTTGGGGGTTTGTTGTTTTGTGTGTATTTGGTGGTTGCTAGATAAAGTGAGGATATTGAGTATAGATATTGGGAGGAATTTATACTTTGAATATTAATGTGTGTTTGGTGGGAATTATTCTATTTCATCTAAATTCCTTATTTCTTCTAGATCTATACTTTATATATTTACTATTGAATTATATTTCACAATTAAATCTATTATCAATTGTGACCAAAAGGGTGTTTATAGACCAGCAATTGTATTTAACTTAGAATCTACAGGTGAAGAGCACCTGTAGATGGGGATAGCTACTCTATATATACACAAATGAATAGCCTAGCCGCAATGGCTAGGCAAAAAGAAGTCATATTTATTCCTCCAATGATCTTACTTTACCGATAACCATTGATACCTAGTACTTGTCCGGATCTGATCCTCAGGTCACCTAAATCGTATACTAATCTCGAGTAATCGTATCATGTGTGGACATGGTTAATGTACCTGAGGTTTCTTATATAATAAGGGTGGGAGGAAAGCAGGGATTTCCGTCACATCAATATATTTTTTTAAAAAAAAAAATCTTATTTAAATATTAAACTATTGATTTATTGTTACGCCGAGTAACAGGAAACTTTCACGTGCAATCAATATCACGTGATTGGCTCAGTGTGGATCAGTGAGCTCAGTACTGAGCTGCATTGATCCTACTGAGTAGCCATCGGCACGAAGGTCTATATAATCTAGATAGATTTCCTTTGTATAAGAGCTTCGTGCTCAAGATCAATCATTTAGTATACTCTACTATTAGTTACGAATTGCATATCATTATTTGTCATTACTTAAGTCCCTGCTTGACGCCTAGTTATAAACCACTTCGAGAGCCTAGAGCACTTCCACGTGATCTAGACGGCAAACCTCGTAACAATTCGTTACTAGATCAAATAGAATGTAGGTAAACTAATTGATAACTAAGTTGAGCACGAAGCTCCCATACTATGAAACTATTCTGACTATATAATGATCCCTTTCCTGGAGCCCTGAGGAGCCTGCGCTCCTGGAGGCTCCATCATGTGATCCTTTATCTGCCTCAGGACACTAATCCTGGGACAATTCGTCTCCTAGGATAATTTAGCTCCTAGGATAATTTAGCTCCTAGGATAATTTAGCTCCTAGGATAATTGTCCTAGGACAATTATCATCCTAGGACAATTATCATCCTAGGACATTTTATCCTAGAACGACTACTATCCTAGCTCATCCTGAGTCCTAGGACACTTGTCCTGTACCATTGTGGTCGTCTAAACGTTTGTCCTAGGATTCCTAGGTTCCTTATCGATAAGGAACCCCCGTAAACCGCGGTTGAATCACATTCCCCCTGTATTCGGCAGCTAAATCACCGACATCTATAATACTACCATAATCCGAACCACGATTCGTGACACACAGTCGCAACGAAAATGAATTCGAAGCCAGGAGAAAAGTAAACCAAAGCCAATTCAAGATAAATCTAGAGTTAAAGTTTGGAGTATTTGACGTGTCTAAAGGAAGATGGGAATTTTTCCATTTACGAAATTGAGGAGCAAGACAAGTCGTCTGCTCACTAGCGTGATAGTGGGGTACTTTCCTATGATGGGGAGGTCATTCATTTATTGCCCCGTCCTAAGTCTTACAGATAAACTCCAACCCATATACCAATTCCATCCTTACCCTTTATCCTCACCAATTTACCCCGCTCTAAACTCTCACTGCCCTCCCTCAATTAACAAAAAACCCATCCTCCTTCTCCCCCTCCCCCCCCTTCCCCTCTTTCTCCCTCCCAAAAACCGACCCCTCAAACATCGGCGTATCAAAAGTCCCCTCAGGATCCTTCCCATTCCTCAAAATAAACTCCGCAACCCTACTCCTCGAACCTCTAACCTCCCCCAACCAACCCGTCATCTCCAGCGCCACCCTCTTATTCACCCTCGCCGCCCCCTTAATCGCCCACTCCATAACATGATACCTACTAACCTCATTCCTCAACATCATATCAAACGGCGTCGTCGTCGATCCCTCTTCCTTATAACACGCAATACTCATCCTCTCCAAATTTGGTCTTCCAAAAAGTAATCCCTTAATCTCATTACTATAACCATGATAATTAAAATGAATAGGTTTATCGGCCGTGAATAAACTATTAAATTCATCTCTGGTCAAGCTATGCGGATGGAGAGTTTCAGCTTCGAGAATCATTAAATCCGTAACGTTGACGACTCGAACCCGTAAGTCGGGACACTTTTTTCGGAGTAAGGCGGCTGCGACAACGACTTCAAACATGAGTTCTGATCCGATTCCTACGAGAACAACATCGGGATCTATTCCTTCATCTGTGCTGCAGAATTTCCAAACTGATGCGCCGGCTTGACAATGTTTGTTTGCTTCTTCAGGACTTAAGAATACAGGTTGAGGTTGTTTGGATCCAACCATTAGGTTTATGTAATTGGTTGATTTGAGACAATGAGCGATTGTTGAGAGGAAAGTATTCGCATCAGGTGGTAAATAAACTCTAGCAGCTGTAGGCTTCAGGTTTAAAACCGCACCGATAAATGAAGGATTTTGATGAGAAAAACCATTATGTTCTTGACGAGTCCATGTACTGGTTTCGATGTAGTTGAGTGAGGAGAGATCAGCGCGGAAACGTGTTTCCCGAGCCATTTTGTTAAATTTACTATATTGAATCATCATGGTATGAATTATACCAAGGAAGGATTCATAAGATGGAAAGATTCCAGTACGTCCAGTAAGGGTATAGCCTAGGAGATGGTCAGTTAAAATGCATATGAAAATGGCGGAGCACAATTTACCTTGTAGGAAACCTTGACATGTATGTTCACTAAGAATTTCAATAACTCTTCCACCTTGAGCATTTGAAAACTCATCCCATTGAAAATCACGTCCAGTATGTTTGAATACTGCGTCAAGTTTATTACTGACGAGCTCATCTGGAGAGAAGAGACGTAGAGATTTGGGATTATCAACCAAAGCCTGATCAAGAAGATCACCAATAGCTTTCATACAAGAAACTTCGGTTCCTTTCTCAACACCATACTTTTTCCAATCTGGTATTTTTAATACTTCATGGTTTTTGTATGTTTCTGGTCGTTGACCTAGCTTTTTATGTTCTGGTGGTAAGATCTTCTTAACAGAATCAATAACATCACCAGATTCTGTGAATAATTTAGCTGGTCCATATGAGAGAAGCCATTTTTGAAGATCTGTAAGTTGATCTTTGTTTGATTTTGCGGCCATAAGAGGGACTTGATGAGCATGGAATGATCCTTCAACAAACCCTCCATTAACAATCTTTGGTCCACTCCATCCTTTAGGAGTTCTCATAATAATAACTGGCCACTACTTGATATTAGTATACAAACTTGAGTCAAGAAATGGTGAAGATACTCTCGGTTTCATAATTGATTTACCAGATCTGGCAGCCTTTTGAATTTTACGAATCTCATCCAAAGCCCATTGCATACTTGTTGCCATATCACGATCCTAGAATAAAATTAGCACAATCTCCATATCATTGACTACCAAACTCACAATATCCTCCAAATCCTCCACAAATCGACATTGATATCCATAACCAGTAAACAAAGATGCCATCTCCTTATCATCCATACAACCATAAATAGTTCTTTCGGAAATCTTAAATCCATTAACATGAACAATTGGAATAACGGCACCAGATTCAGCAGGATCAATATATTTAGCCGCATGCCAAGCAGTAGCTGTAGGACCCGATTCAGCTTCTCCATCACCAACTACACAAGCAACCACCAAATCGGGATTATCCATCACAGCACCAAAAGCAACCGAAAGAGCATATCCAAGTTCTCCACCTTCATGAATAGAACCTGGAACTTCGGCACTGATGTGAGAAGGAAAGCCAGATGGTGTACTGAAACCAGTAATGAGGTTATGAAGACCTTGTTTATTGTTGGAATATTTGGGGTAGAATTTCTCAAGAGTTCCTTCTAGCCAGAGGGAAGAAAGAATTGCTGGAGCTCCATGACCAGGTCCAACAACATAGATCATATCGAGATCATTCTTTTTGGTGAGATAATTGAGATGAGCGTAAACTAAGGTAAGACCAGGACATGTTCCCCAATGACCTAAAAGTCTTGGTTTAATATCATCGAATGTAAAGATCTCTTTCCAAATAAGCATTATCTGAAAGGAAAATCATAGCTATGAAAGTATTAGTTGAATATTTAAAGTCATTCATCTAGGATAAATACTTACCAGCAGCAATATAATTGCTAGCTCTGCGAAATTCCTCAAGTCCTCTTAAATCATCATCGGGAATTTGTAACTTTTCCAACTTAACTGCTAACTCATCTATTGTCGTTGAACCCGATATATTTGAAGCCAATGCTTGAGGATTTGGTCTATCAATGATTTCTCCAGGCATATTTGCGGTGGTCTGTGTTAGTTTTGTCTGCTCGAGTTTACTATGATTGTAGTCGTAATAAACGTAGTAGAAATAGTGTTTGTTTCTTCAAAACATTGATGTCAGCGGAGGTTTTTTGATATTCGAGGAGGTATTAAGAAGCACAACAGCAGCAGAATGAATAAATGAGGAGAGAAGAGTCAATTAAACAGGTACACTGATGGTAGAATCAAGAAAGCAATTGAAAATATAAAAGATCAAAGCACATCTATATGATATCCAATGTTAACTACCCCTCCCGATTACTTACCAAAAGATCAAATCAAGCTCTTAACGTCAACAAAGAAACTTGCGTCACATCCATCATCCATCCGTGCCAACGAGCTAAGATGCCGACGAATCCGATGAATTCAATGCATTTCTGTTAGTCGAAGATGCTAAAAGATATGGACTTTAAGAATCACCGATCCTTTACATGAAATTTTCACTCGTTGACGCAATTGATTGATAATGGTATTCCATAGGAAAGTCTTACACAGGTGTTTGTGTTAACGTCATATTCCTTTAATGGGTGGGGATGATCCAAACATTCGGTATTCGATTTAAATAGTACCTAGCTTTATGTAAGATTGTAATATCATATCAGCCTTCTCATCTCAAATAACCATCACTTGATGAGGAATGCATGTATATTCAATATCAATTCCATAACCCAAAACTGCAGCCTTTAGTCACCAGCCAAAAATATAATACGGAGTAAAGTGGTATGACAATCAACCAAAAAATCGCACTGTAGGTAAAGGTTACCAACATTAATGGCGTGAGAAAAATCCAAGATTTTAAGCTTCCCAACCCTGTAAATTCGGGCCATTGCCCCTGTAACCCCCGAGGATTCAGAGGCTCTTATCCCTGTAGCCACAATAACAACCAATAGATAAGCAACAATTCTCGGCTTCGATAAGAATATGGCGGGGTTTCTTTGAACGTCATCTGTTTGTTTGTATGTTTGCATGATGTGGTGCATGTATGGGACGAGAAGAAATCTTATGATTATATTTGGGGTTTATTTAGTTTAAAAGTATTATGTTTGATGTTTTAGATTTCCCTATTATCATTCTTTATTTCTTGAGGTTTGAGGAATTGAGTGTCAGTCCCATGTCTACGATCAGAGCAATAAACTCCAAATAAGTCTTAACTACCTCGTTCAATACCCCTCATATCCTCATATATCTCCTCAACACTCAACCCTCACCTCAACATAAAACCACATCCACCCTCATCATGTCCAAAATAATCCTCTCCATAAACGCCGGATCCTCCTCCGTCAAAATCTCCATCTTCACAGCCCGCAAAACCCAATCCCCAACCCAACTAGCCGAATGTCAAATCTCCGGTCTCACATCCCCTCCCGCAACCCTCAAATACACCCGCTCAGGAACCCTCATTTGCAAAGACCAAAAACTCGAGAATGAGAAAATCTCCGACCAAAAAGATGCTTTCCAATACATTCTATCCCATCTAATTAACGACCCCTCATTCCCACAAATCACCAAAGTCGAAGATATATCCATCGCAAGCCACCGCGTCGTACACGGAGGCGACTATAAAACCAGCAAAATCATCACAAACGAAACATACCACCACCTAGAAACGCTCACCGATCTCGCCCCCTTACACAACACATCCGCACTCTCCATCATATCCCACTGTATCTCGACACTTCCCTCCACGCGCAACATCGCCGTCTTCGACTCTGAATTCCACGCCTCGATTCCAGAACATATCTCTACATATCCTATTAATCAAGACATTGCGCGGAAGAATGGATTGCGGAAATATGGATTTCATGGGATTTCGTATGCGTTTATTACGCGGAGTGTAGCGGAGTTTTTGGGGAAGAAGGAGGAGGAATTGAATATTATTGCGTTGCATTTGGGGAGTGGTGCTAGTGCGTGTGCAGTTAAGGGGGGAAGAAGTTGGGATACGAGTATGGGGTTGACGCCTTTGGCGGGATTGCCTGGGGCGACGAGGAGTGGGAGTTTGGATCCTAGGTATTTTCTTTTTCTTTTTCTTTCGTTTCCTCCTATCCTTCCTTTTCCAACTTCCTACCTACCACCCACATTAAATCCCCGAATAAAACAATCCCCCCCTCAAAACCAAAAAAACAAACCAACCACAAAACTAACCACCTCCCTCCTTCCCTCCCAAAAAGTCTAGTATTCCACTACGCAACCAACGTCGGAAAACTCTCCCCCTCCTCCACCACCTCCCTGCACATCTCCCGAGCCGAAGAAATCCTCAACCAAGAATCCGGGTGGAAATCCCTAACTGGAACCACAAATTTCGGCACCATAATATCCTCTTCCTCCAGCAATCCCCAGATGAAACTCGCGCTTGATATATTTATCGATAGGATATTATCATATATTGGACATTACTACGTGAGTTTACATGGGAAAGTTGATGCGTTGGTTTTTGCCGGGGGGATTGGTGAGAAGAGTGAGGTGTTGAGGAGGAGGGTGGTGCACGAGGTGGGATGTTTGGGGTTTGAGATTGATGAGGTGAAGAATGGGAGGGAGATGAAGGAGGTGGTGCAGGATGTGGGGAGGGAGGGGGCGAGACATCGGACTTTGGTTTGTTTGACGGATGAACAGTTTGAGATGGCTAGACATTGTGTTGTTGATGAGGAGCTTTTTGGTGAATGAATTCTGCGATGAGTTCTGTGAAGTGAGAGGTGAAGTTATGACATTGCTAGCGAAATAGCATGGGAATGAATGATGGAAGAAAATCAAAGTAAAATCAAAGTAAAATCAAAATCTTTTAATATCCAATTACCTCGCATGCTACGCTATGCTCCATGGGTATATTACAAACAATTTGAGAAGGAGAGTGCTGTGATCCTCTGAATAGCGCCAAAAATATCCAAAACAAAACCATAGATTTCAAACACCCCTTAAACATACGCTTGCAAGAAAACCAGAGCAAGCCTTTGACATTTCATCCCCCCACATCCTCAATTATCCATCTTTTGTCCATCTCAATTTCACCAATTCCTAACATCATCCCACATATACCGGCATTCTGCTTCCTTTCAAATCAGGTGGAACCCCACACTTATCATCCTTATTCCAATCATGCAGCAAGAACCAACACAACATTCTAAACATCAAGGAAACCCAAATAATATGTCTTTCCTCTTTCTCGTGTTTATTCAAAAGTCTGGAATCGGTATCTCGGGTGGTAATCTCGGGGAGTATTTGATCAAAGTAGTAATTTAGTAGAGGTTCTTCTTTATGAACGGCCACGATCGAATTTAAAGGAGAGTTAGGATTTTCTAGAACTTTCGTAACGTGGTCGATGTGTGCTACTACCACTTTGATAATAGTTTGTTGTCTTCCTGGATGGAGGAGGAATTTGGTCCTGTCGTCAAGGGCATCATGGATTCTTTCTCGCGCTTCTATACTAAGATCGTATTCGGACATTCGATTTCGAATCATGGATTCTCGGCTGCGAAAAGCGGATCCTTCATCATCTACACATATTATAGATTCAATGTCTTTCCATTGTCTGATAATTGCAGCAACAGCGTGTAGGTCGTTATAGCCTTCCCGCTCGCAAAGTTTTACAAGCTTCGTTTGGAATATTTCCACTAGTGTGATAATGTTCCAGGAAGGCTTTTTACCAATCTTCTTCAACCAAAAATCTTGGGTAGGATTTGGTATCATTCTAAAGTTGCTGCCACGAAGCCGAACTACCTTGCCTAGCATACCGATCAATTCAAAGGAGACTATAAATCATTAGATATCTTTTCAGGTAGAGGAAAGGAAGAGAACGTACCTGAAAATATGTGCTTGTGATCTTTTCTATATCTTTTAAGAATCTCGGGTGTACAACCAAGAGATTCCAAAGTTGTATCAACATCTTCTGGGCTCCCAAATTGTAACGTCACGTTCTGAGACTCCGGGTTCTTCTTCAAGTACTCGTCATCCTCGAAAATGTTTGGAACCGTTCCAAAACATAAATCCTTGATATGATTGGATGGAATGACACGATTTTCCCTAAAACTCGATCTCCCCGTAACTGAAAATGTAACCATAACTCCTAGACCGTGAACGGTAGTTGACGTAAGAATGAAACCATTGCCTTCTGCTCTGAGGTTCCACTGAATCTGATCGAATACTTTCCAATACATCCCTAACAAAGCCATCATTTCAACCAAATGACATATGGCAGATGTTGCATATGGCCTTGTTATGCTAGACGGAACGAAGTCCCAAGATCGTGTTTTGACCTGTAAAGCCACAGCTAATTCGTATTCGGGTTTTTTTATTAGTCTCCCTGTTGGCGGCGTCCTCGAACGAAATTTTTCATCCCACTCCCGTGAGTCGTGTTCATTCATTTGAAGACTCGATAACAGGGTAACCCACGATGCTCGTTCATCATCCGCTGTATGGACTTGTTGAATTGTTTGTTTATCCTTCTGTAATTGTGCTTTAGGTTCCAGAACTTTTGACTCTGCGTATGATTCTGGCGAGCCATCCATGTAATGAATAGGCCTGTTTTCAATTGGACCTCGTTTGTTATGCGGAGGAGCGATGAATATAACTGGCGTCTCGAACACCACTTCGACTCGAATTTCTTTTATGTTAAGTTTTCGTTTCGTCCCCTTACTCCATGGCCCCATCACCGACTCCGCACATCTTCGATACCCCTCTGCACTCGAAAAATACTGTTGCAACACCTGCAAACATGTAGTTAAAAGTGCTACCACCGAAACAATCAATGCCACCAGCCCAAGAACATTTTGATTGGTATTATCGAGAGAAGTCATATTTCTCAGGTCTCAGCCTCGTCTCCTAACTTTTCAAATCAACGTGTAAATAACTCTGCAACTTCCTCAAGCTATCATAATTTCAATTGATTCAAAGCTTGCCGTCTTCTTGGTCTCCTCCCAAAAAACCAACAAAAAATCAATAAAAAACAAGAAAATGAAAGAAAAACAAGAGCCAGCAGAAAACTCGAATATATATTCGACTCACATCAACATTACACTGATCTCAGCCCCCAACCTCGGGGCGGCCGCAATCACTTGTGCAAAAGCGTGAGGCTGAAGATTTCATGGTCTCTCATGGGTTCTTCATGGGTTTTCAATGGAGCCAAGCTACCGAGCCACGAATTGATACCCTGTGTATTGCATATGCTATGTCAGCTCGTCAAGTAGGAAGCGAATCGAATCATTTTTCGCTGCGTGGTAGCTTTTGACGTTAGTTCTGTCTCGTTTCATAAAACCCTACAAAACTATGGCGAGGACTGTACTCGAACATAATGAACCTGAGAGGGGAATGGAATGAGATGAAAACAAGCATTTGAGTGTGGAGTATCAGCACAGATGAATTGACATATGGTATGAACTACGAGCTTCGAGTGCGGCGCCGGAAAAATAATTCCCCTCGCTGACAGAGGTAAGACTACCTCGCAGCTCGTCCTACCGAAGGCGTTTTCGTTCATAAAAGAGATTCACATCTTTCTATAAATAAATCCAGATGAATCCTCGAAGCTAAATTCCTTTACATATAACCCAATTTGTTCGCACTTCACGTCAGGTAGTCAAATTCGCACAACAATCCATGAAATCTAAACGTCATCATATCAAAAGTCTATAAACTTTATTACCACTAATAAATTGCAATTACTTTTTAAGAACATGATCATTTTTGCCTATGAATTGTTGGTCCCCACGAAACCATGTCAAGGACCTAAATATCATTTGATAGTACATTTGTTTAAGATCATGCATGTCATGACCGACCATGAGCAGAAAAGGAAATTAAAGAAAAAAAGGGAAAGAAAAAAAAGGCAAAGTTAAACTGCATTTTTAATTTTGATCCCATTTGTCATACGAATTAGAAAAAGTTTGACCATAGACGCCAATCAAATCAAGATAACTCGAAAACGTCAATCAAAGCGTGTGCATCAACCTATGCAATATACCCACCATCCATGATACCAATGCAAAGACTTTTAGAAGTCATTGAGATCCTATGCAGTCAAAACTAGCCCTTCCTCCCGAATATCACACCGTACATGTGAAGGAAAGCTCAAACGCCATGAGAATACAAGAACGGAATATTCGAATTTGGTGGTGGTAGATTAATATCAAGAATAATTGCTTAATCTCGATCAGATAAACCTATATCAGGGTGTGATTATGAAACCACCCATTCAGAATCTTGAAGTTCTTTCTGAATCTCATGAACATTATCATCCTTGTCGACATAAGTTAGGTCTGCTGTCCACTTTTGTCCTGGAGCACTTCGTTCAGTTTTTGGTGGAATGGTGTACTCTTTCTCATCATTTGAGCTGGTGGTTCCAGCACCCTCGGCAACAGCACTCTCCTTCTTCTCCTTCTTAGCCTTCTTCTTCTTGCTTGAAACTTGCTCCCATTCACGAGAATCTTCAATGACAGTCTTGACACGTTCATCATAATCTCCGTATCCTTGCCATTGGCTGCCTGTAACCTCACTCTCTGAGAAATTTCTAACTGGAGCAGCGGTCTTCTTGTCTGTCTTATCCTCGGTGGTGTCAAGCAAGTCAAACTTGCCAGCATTACCAGAAGTATTTGTGGCATTGTCGGCAGGGGAGGCAGTCCAAGCGGACTTAGCAGCTTGGGAGGCCATGAATTGACTGCCATCCTTAGCAGCCCTACCCTCGGCTTCTCTAGCTGTACGACGTTGCTTTTCTTCCTTAATCTTGCGTTCCTTTTCTTCTTGCTCTCTTACGAGTTTGGCAGCTTCAATCTTGGCGCGGTTTTGTCTTTGCTTCTTTGTCTCGGTAGGTTGTGGAGCAGCCTTGGCTTTTTCTTTCTTGGCTGGCTTAGGGTTGGTAGGTTCAGTAACTTTCAAGACGGACGGACCAGGGGCAGCAGGTTCAAGCATATCAGCGATACCACTTGCGATAGGAGATGTAACACTGGTTGGGCCAACTTCAGGAGAATTGGTGAAGGATTGATCATCATCAGCATCGCCAGCGGTGATATTTCCAGAGTCTTTAATTTCCTTTTCTTGTGCACGAGACTGTTTGACAGACTTTTGACGATTTGCAGTTGTAGAAGATTTACCAGAGAGTTGAGTACCAGCTTGAGTTTTGGCGAATTGAAGAGCGAATTTACGGTTATTTTCCGCATCATCATCATCATCGGAATCATTGGCGACAGGCCTAGCAGTTTCCTGCTTGGGTTCGGGTTTCTGAGGAGCAGGAGTTTTCTTCTTTTCGGTCTTGGCAGAAGACTTGTTGTCCTGTTCACCATTGCTCAATCCATTATCCTTCTTGGATTTCTTGGACTTTGGCTCCTTGCGATCTTCAACAACCTTACTCGCTTGTTTGACAACATTCTGAGGTTTGGTTTTGTCCTTGGATTTATTGTTGAGGTAGTAGTATCCTGCTGCGCCGAGGACAACCGTCCAGCCAATGGCAGTAGTGAGTAGACTGGTGTTACTCATGATGAAACGAACCGCAGATGATTAAACGTAGAAATAATGTCGGAACCAAGCTCTCGAGCTCTCTCGGATGGGGGTCGATCGACCTATTGGGACATCAGGCGAAGTTTGATGAGTGATTTTCGCCTTGACTCGAATCGAATTGAATGAAGGGATATTCAATTAATTGTCAACAAAAGACAATTTGTGAATTAGAATTGAATATGGATGTCTTTAAAAAAGAGAGAAGAGGAAGAATAGAGAATGGGAAGGGAGAGTAGGAAGATATAGGACGGGGTTGTAAACCCTATGTATGACTGGTATGATTTTGATGAGAAACTTGTATCGAGATGTGGCCTTTAGATAAAAGCAACAGACCAACTGAACCTTGATCATTATTGGAGCTCCCCATGTTTTCTAGCGTCACCTTAAACGCATGCAAGGGAGCCTCATTGGATGAGATGTATTTCGGATCAATTATGTCCGACGCTCCGATAAGATAATTGAAGGTGGGGTGAATCTAGGGTGAGTCTAGGATGAATCTACCAGAGTCAGTTGTTGGTGGAACATTGTCATGATACAAGGAATACCGGTATATTGGTATACTTTTGAAGAACTACTTCGTATCTAACAAACAATCCAGCGCATTATTATTCAAGTAGACGACCTAGATATTAGATCGTCTGTCTATATCTAGTCATCCTTTCACTCTTTAGTCCTACTCTCCTTTTGCTTTTATCCTTTGCTTTTCTATCCTATCTCTACCATCAATCATCGTCCAGACGTCATCATATATAGAGTGTGAGCAGAGGGAAAGAAACTTCAATCTCAGTCAAAATGTCTCTTAACCGTGTCATTATCGATACAGACCCTGGTAAGATCTTCAATCACCTTTTTATTTAAGGATATAAAGTTAATAAAAACCCAAAAGGTGTCGATGATGTTCTAGCCATTATGTTAGCCTTGGCTGCAAAGCCAGAGGAGCTTGATGTCATGATGCTTTCCATAACTTATGGAAATGTAGAAGCTCAGAGGTATATTAAGATCATAATACCTATTGTTCGCCGATCATCTTACTAATTAAATTTGAAGTTGTTTGAAAAATTGTGTAGCTTTATTCCATGTTATCGAACAGGAATTAAAATGGAGAAAAGAGCGTGGTCAACTTGAGGGATTCGAAGCAATGAAGAAGTCAAAACCTATCGTCGCTGTTGGCGCAGACCACCCACTCGAAGATGAGATGCTTATGGCAGATTACTTTCGTAGGAACTCCAGCACATAAATTCCTCTGGAGTATTAACTAATTTGGGCAATAGACGGTATTGATGGTCTTGGTGGTGTTCATACTAGTGTAAGATAATTATGCCCCTTCATTTGGCTTTTCCGTCTTTCAACTGACATATACCCTCATAGCATCCACATCTTTCCCCCGCAGATACATGGAAGACACTCTTTCAACCTCCCGCCGCAAATGCTACCGCTGAAGAAGTTGCTGAAGCCCGCTTACTCGCTTCTCCATCCCCATCATTCACAGCTTCACAAGCTCCTGCTCATATGGAAATGCTTCGCTTACTCCGAGAAAATCCTAAAGATACAATTACAATTGTTTGTGTTGGACCTTTGACCAATATTGCTTTGGCTGCTGCAGAAGACCCGGAAACATTTTTGAAAGTTAAAGAGGTTGTTGTAATGGGTGGTGCCATCGATGTGGAGGGCAATATCACACCTGTCGCTGAATTCAACACTTACGCTGATGCAGTCGCAACTGCCAGAGTATTCGCTCTTACATCTCCAAACCCAATCACCACCATGCCTCCTGTACCTTTGAACAAGTCAAGTCTACCACCATATCCTAAGAATCTTTCAAGGAAACTCAACTTAACATTATTCCCCCTTGATATTACAACTCCACATCAGTTGTATCAATCAGACTTTCAAGCAAAATTAAAACCTCTAATCAAAGCTGGAAGTCCTCTAGCAGAGTGGACATCTGTATTTGTCCACAAGACTTACGAGAAAATGAACTCTCTTGGCAGAAATGCATCAAGCGATCCAGGCCTTGAGTTGCATGATCCTCTTTGTATCTGGTACATGCTATCACGTTCATCCCCGGCTTGGATGACTTTCCCAAGAGGGCCTGAAGATATTCGAGTTGAGACCTCTGGTCAATGGACTAGAGGTATGCATGTTGTTGATAGACGAATGAGAAAGAAGACAGGAGTTGAACAAGTCAAGAGCCCTGGAGCTGTGGATATTAGAGATCCAATGGAAAATACTACTACCGTCGTTCATGTTACCAATGAAATTGATATCACAGCTGACGAGCCTGGAGATAATGGTGGTTGGCTTAGTGTTCATAAGGGTAATAGAGTCAACAGAATTGTTGGTACTCCTGGAGAAGCCGCTTTTGGACCCTATCTTTTGGAAAGAGTTTTTGGATAGACTTATTAATGGGTTGGATACCTACTGGTTTTTGATTACAGCACATGTCATCAAATTGGATTTAAGATGATTCATTGTACCTAGAAGCTTAGTTTTGGAAATTAGAGTTTGAGCTGTTTTAAAGACCATCTTGAAGACCATCTTGACATGCCTTCTAGTTTGTCTCCACTCATTTCATGATATATATGACCTTTAAATTTTGTAATTTTCCTTGATATGGGAATCGCTTCAGCTATGTTCCTAGCCAACATAAACGAGAAGATGGATATAAAGCTCCCTTTTAATATTAATCCATCCAACGCCAATTAATGCAGCATAAGTATCCTTTCTTCCTTCCACCTGGTATGCGCGCTCATCCGGGCTCTTTTAAGTGCCCAAATTTTGGTATCTTCCCCCTGATTTTTTTCAATTCTCTTCCTTCTTCGATCATGCCCCTACCTTCTTCCATGTACTCGCTTTCTATCCCCTGCATTCAAAACATGCCCCAAATCATAAATCCTCAATCATGAGCATTCAATCATGAATGTTTCGTCCCACCGATAACCGCACCCCTAACCTCCACCCAGTTGATACTATCATCCAGCTCCTCATCCACAAGCCCTACTACAACGACATTGTCACCGCGGATCAAATAAAGGCCGTGTGGTACTTCACTCGAGGCTTCGGGGTCTTCTGGAGGTCTAATTATGCGCTCAATGGTTTGGGATAGGACCTAGGTTTGTTAGATGGTGAAGGGAAGATGAGAGATGGCGAGAGTAATTGGAGTGGAGGGAAAGCAGATAAGAATTGGAGAAAGAAGAGACGGGTAAGAGAAGGGAGTAAATACCAGATTGGTCTGCTGATCACAACTTAAAAGTGTACCAACCAACGTTCTCGAATCCGCAGTTAAGATTAGAACTTTCTCTAGGGAGCTGTTAGGATGCGGTTGTAAGTTTTGCTTGCTTTCATAATTTGCGCCGATGGTGAAACTAACGAAAAGAATAGAGTAAAAGGTAAAAGGCAAAAATAAGGGTCAAAGAAGGGCAAACTCACTGTTTACATAGCTAGAGAGTGACATTTTGGAGCTGGAGCTTGAGCTGGACCGGCAGTCGCAACTCTGCTTTGAGAATTGATATCGTAGATGCGGTTGCACGGGAAATATTGCTTAGATAAACAGCTCACTTTTTGAAAGGTGAATTGGGAAATTGCTTCGTCTGGAACTTGGACATGTAAAGCTGTTTATTGTTTTGAGAAACTCCAATATTTCACACCTTCAACCACAAACCCAAAAAGTAAATAGATGAAAGATACCAAGTTAGCATACAACGGCAAAACAATATTCCGAGACACCCGGACCAACACTGGAGCTTCATCATACTCAAGTCATGGATCCTCAAAAGCACTCCTCATTCCTCAAGAATAAGAAAGCTTCACCAGAACTTCCAATCCCTTTGAACGAAATTAGTTCTGATTTTACTAGATCTAAGCACTGTTATCATTTCTGCACTCGTGTTAGGGTAGATTGTACGGTAACACCTTTCGCAAGCTTCCCCTCGACACTTCCTTAATCCGCACGGGGTTCTACCGAATACATCTCGGATTTGGCGCGCAGATTCCCATTCACGGAGTTACAGTTGATTAAATCGACAATAGGAAAGCCGGAATCCGTATCCTTCCAGCAAAGAGAATTCTTGTCGCCGAGCTCGCAAAGAACCAATACAAGCAATCACAACACGAGAATATCCCCTACATCAACGATTCAGGAACTGCTCGATTTTACCGCCATTATTCAGCATTTCCAGATTCAGAACTGCAATCCCTTGAAGAAGCGCATCTTGAGAATCTAGAATTCATCGAGCCCAACATCATTGAATTTCAAGCAACTGAGTTCTTACTCGACTGTTCGACAGCCAACTATCACACCCGAATTGAGTTCTGTGCCGTTGCAATCTACTGCCAGATTCCTCTACCTAGCTGATCTTGAAGACAGCAAGAGCAACAACATTCAACCGGACCTTGAGTATTTCCAGGTCAACTACATTCAACAATAATCGAGATGTCTTTCTTATTTTCTGCACCAGTCGATATTGATATCGTTCTTGAAGATGGAGATAGTCGGGAAACAGTGGAGGTTAAAAACAAAAGTACCAAGGAAAGGGTACCACTTTACAAAGACGGTGAATCGGTTAGAGGAGCTGTCACTATTAGACCTAAGGATGGAAAAAGGTTAGAGCACACAGGTATTAAAGTGCAATTTATTGGAATGATTGGTAAGTCACATCTTTTAGATATTTGGTCAACATACTGGTTTCATTTTACTAACCTTAGACCTCACAGAAATGTTTTACGATCGAGGAAATCACTATGAGTTTTTGTCATTAGGACAAGAGCTTGCTGCCCCTGGCGACTTACAACACCCACAAGCTTATGACTTCAATTTCAAAAATGTCGAAAAACAATACGAATCTTACAATGGTATTAATGTCAAGTTACGTTATTTTATTAAAGTCACGGTCTCTAGACGAATGGCAGACGTTATCCGCGAGAAGGATCTTTGGGTTTTCTCTTATAGAATTCCTCCGGAGATGAATAGTTCCATCAAAATGGATGTTGGTATTGAGGATTGCTTGCATATCGAATTTGAATACTCAAAATCGAAATACCACCTCAAAGATGTTATCGTTGGCCGCATTTATTTCTTGTTGGTTCGTCTCAAGATTAAACATATGGAATTGTCTATTATTCGAAGGGAGACCACCGGAACACCCCCCAACCAGTACAATGAAAGCGAAACTTTGGTGCGATTTGAGATCATGGATGGCTCACCATCAAGAGGAGAGACTATTCCTATTAGACTTTTCCTCGGCGGCTTTGATTTGACTCCTACTTTCCGCGAAGTCAACAAGAAATACTCCACCCGTTATTATTTGAGTTTAGTTCTCATTGATGAGGGTAAGTCATTTCTTTTAACTCTTCTTCGAAACCTAACTAACAACCACACAGATGCCCGACGTTATTTCAAACAATCTGAAATCGTTCTTTACCGTCAACAACCAGAAGATGCTTTAGCCCTCGGCCAACAGACCAAGATTGCTGGTGCACATTCAGCTCCTAGTCCTGCGGCTCAGAAGCGAATCTCTGCTTAAATAATCGCATGTCCTGAAATTTTGACTAATTTCTTTCGTTTCTAATACGTTGATACCAACAGCCTATTTTCTTTTCTTATTTTTACTTTTCCTTTTGCGTGCGTACTTATGGGTTTTAGATAATGGACTGAAATGCATGCATGAATCGATCTGATCATTGGGGGGAACAACCAGTTCAGTAAAAATACTAAGATATGAGGAGATACTTACTTGAAGGCCAGGAAAAAGTTTCAGGGTGGCATTTTCGTGAATGTACAATACGAGTCTCTGGAAGGCTTTGATAGATAGCTGATATGGCGGGTTTCTTCCTTGCTTGAAGTAACTTTTACTTTTACGAGTAAGGGCTAAAATGCTAGGATGTCATGAATAAATAAAGATATTTAAATGAAGACTCACTTCTGCACCTGTACCTGTATTTGTGTCGAACTAACTAAATAATGTAGTTCAAATTCTTCTTCATCACCTTTTACATACCATGCTGTATTTATTCCACTGACTGACTTATAAATGAAGGAAATAAATAAATCCCACAAATCCGCCCATAAATCAATCAATTAATCAATCGTCCAGGTAATTTATACGATTCCATAAAAAAATATGTATAATTTCTATCCTTACAACATCGCCTGAGAAGATACCAAAACCATCTTCTTTTTCTTTGAAAGAAGATCTCATCATGATCTATCCATTCATTCATTCATCCATCGATACCTACTCAAGTATGCCTGCCAAATCAATCAACCAATCAATCAAAACCAACCGATCATTTACGCCTATTACCTTGTTTGTTTGTCTGTCGCTCGCTCGCTCACACGCTCTCGCATACATTACATCTTTTCATTTTGTGGCCTCTTTTCTTCTTCTTAATGGAATTATCTCCTGCTTGAGATTCACATTTCCATCATATCAGCACCACCAATACCATCCCCACCACCTAAACTAAATCTTCCATTTTCAATTGCCGCCACGCGATCCAATTCTTCCTGATATCCTCTCCTAACATCCGCCAATGTAACTACTCTTCTCTTTACATTAACACCCTCATCATCTTTCCCTCCTTTCGAAATACCCCTTCCAGTCCCTCTTCCTCCATTTCCTGCATCTTTCCCTCTAACCCCTTCACATAAAATCCACGCATGTTTTGGATCCACACAACTCAATGCATTAATAACCGCTACGTATTGTTTCGTAACTAATGTCTCTCCTTCTTCACCGAATTCTCCACTTCCTATTTTACTATCGCTTTCGGAAGATGCTTGGAGACGGTATAATCTTTCTAGAGAAATAGCTGCCGCGCCACGGAAATCGGAATGTTGAATCCGCCACGCGTAAAGGATTTTGTGATATGGGACACCATTTGTGACTTCAATGATATTCGAGCATTTCTGTGCAAGTATCTCATCGACAAGGTCTTGAAGTCCGAGGAAAGGGAAGGAAATAAGTTGGGTTGCGTGGGATGATTCACACATTTTGGTAATGAGTAGTCGAAGTGAGGAAGTTTGGAGGGCCGTATTTGTAAAGAGACATAGGGTTGAGTAAGCGAGTTCGTAGCGAGAGGTTTGGAGAGCAGCGTGAAAGAGACGACTGTGCATTTCGGTGCTAAGTTGAGGATCGTGTTGACTAGGTCTGATAAATTGTAGAGCTAGACGGGAGAAATCGATGACGAAGGAGTGCATTTTTTCGTTGTCATATAAAGAGACGATATGAGAATAATATTCTGGGAGACCTACGTTCAGAAGGTTCTTTTCCGTTTCGTCTAGAAGACCTGAACTGTGTGTGTTTGCGTGTTTGTGATCTGGATATGCTAAGAGGATAGAAGTTAGTTGAACGACCTCTTGATGGTAAATTGAAGGAAGAACTTACCCATTCCAAAAGCAGCCTTCTTAAAGTGCAATGCCGCAGTGCGAGGATCATTAGCAGCCAGACAAGCTCTTCCTTGAATATATGTGGAGAATGAATCGTGTTCAGTGAAGCGAGAAAATTCCATGGCCAAATCAGAGTGATTTTGCTTCAATAAGAAACATTGAATAATAGCAGGCGAAGATTCGTATGTACTATCCGGCTTGCATAATTCTATAATGAAGTCCATCAAGGCTGTAGACATCGATACTCCTTGGTCTAACCCGAATAAATGTCTATGAACACCTTCTAGGACTGTGACAGTCTCATAGGTTATTGACTTCTTTGACAAACTTGATGTTGATCCATCCAAGGAATTTGAGCGTTCACGAGTTGTAAGAGGTAAGTCAATTTGAGTTTTAGCCAACCAAGAAACAAGTTCGAGTCTCTTGAGCATAATCAGAAGCTGATTGAAAACTGCGCTGGTCTCAAATTGAATTCCCTCCTCCCCGTGATTAATTTCAACCTCAATGAGAATTAACAAAAGGAGCTGATCAAGACAAATGCTTCGATGTAGCTCAATAGTCTCTTGAACACCCTTAACAATCAGCCTATTGCCAGTGTTGGCCAAGGGTAACGGATGTCTCAATTCGCTTCCAATGGATGTTATCATGAAGTCAAGAAGAGATTCATATACATGAGGATTGACATCCCTGAATGTACCTCCCAAATTTGTCACTAGCTGATGATACTCCTCATCACCAATTTGATTCGAATAATCACAACCGTCGTAAAGCATCTTCATTCTAGCTGCCGGAAGCAAGGTTGGCTCTTGGTAAAGCTGACCTAATATAGCTGAGCGGAAGCCATGATATAGAACATCTGGGACCGCCTCACCGAACAAAGATCCAGCAGTAAGGAGAGTAGATACATATTCCATGCTAGCAGGAGTCTGTTCGGGGTTGTGCCATATTCTCTCTAAACCACTACAATCTCGGACTGCTGATAATCCATCGGCTGAGACAATCCAAGGCATATCTCCCATAGGGTCAATTGTCAAAGATAAAGCTTCACCTCTTTGTCTGTCCAACTCAATAAGCAGTCGATAAAATCGTCTCCATTGTGCATCAGTGGCAAGGCGAAATTGTTCAAAATCAACACCTCCATCAGATGCTCGATTTAATGTGGCGGTAATGGCAATACTGGAACATAATCTCTCAGGTAATGGTGCAGATCTGCGTGGTGTATCCCTCGATGTCCCTAGACCTTTTTCGTAGATGGCCAATCCGGTCTCTATGGTCGTGTGGGTGAATTTACCCGGATATAGTATGTATGCTAACCACTTGTCTGTTGAGTCCGAGGCATCGCCAGAATAGACGGTGGGTAAGGGTGTTTGGGCCAAACTTTCGCTCACCATAGCTTCCCAGCCCTCTTCCCACAATTTCTCAATCCTTTCTTCAGAATCATTCCCAAAATAAAGCTTTTGTACTCGATAAGTTGTATTGTTTTTCCATAAGGTCCATAAAGTCAAGGAATTTCTTGTTCTATCCGGAACGACAGAGAAATCCGCCATGGTCCATAGGTCTGAAGTAGGGGCTTGAGGGACTAATGTATTATTAGGGAAAGAGTCTGATACGACCAGGTTTCCAACCTCTGCGGCTGGAGTAACATTCCAGAATTTAAATTGCCCTTCACCAATCGGGGAGTATGTGACACATAGAGCGCTTTCGTCATTTTGGCCATATACTTTGACTAGTTGTGAATATGATGGGTCGATGACTGACTTTCTAGGGTTCTTATTATCTGTTTCCTGGCCAAGGATATCACCGACATATGCAATTCTTCCAGTAAATAAATTCCAAATTCGAAGATTATGATCGAGAGAAACAGTAAACGCATATGACTGTCCATCAATGCTGGTTGATGGCGAAGATATAGAAGTAACCGCGGATAATTCGACATTGGCATTTCCATATCGAATAGTGTTGGTTCCTTGGAAAGGTATTAAACTCTTTAGTCCATCTCTCCATCCACCTGGATTATAATGTATTTCTTTCCACTCGGAACCTATTTTAAGGGTTAGTCAGCCGCAGAGCTTCCACAATAGAGCTTCAACATACCATCTCCACCCGACTTTCTCTCTAACTTCAAAAGCCCTCCATCAAAATTAGAGATCAACAATTCATTGGCACTTAGCGCAACCATCCTATGAGGCTTTTTGAAGCTGAAGACCGAAGATATATATGACTTGCACCAGTTTCCAACATTATTCTCCGTGCTCGAAGGGCTGCGAAAGAAGTCCGGCCAAAGTCTCAAACTATAAAGGTGATGTGTTTCGGTCAACACAAATGCGCTGACGTAGTCATGTTCCTTACAATCTACAAAAGCAACGCAACCAGGTTTAATGGCACTCGGGAATTGTAATCTCAAAGTGAGATGTGCGTCTGGCGTGTTTTGTTGTCTCGATACATCGATCGCCTGTACTGACAACACCTTTCCATCTTCCAACACCCTCCACAAGTAGCTTCGAGGAAAGACGTCTTGTGTGCGATGATATATTGAACCGGCAGTAGCTAAGTACTTTTGTTTGAAAGCTTTTTCATCCTCCGCAATTGGAATCTCCGTAATATGAGGTCGCTTTTGTGCTATTCTTGAGGCTGGAGTTCCATGTGCAGGTAAACGAATCAAAATGGTAGAATTTTGAATGGGTGAATCGAGGTTTAGCCGTATCTCCTTGTAGGAATAGAAATGTGCTTTATCCGCCATTTTATCCCCATCAATCGCTGGTCTCATGAAGACTCTTGGTGAGTGTTAAGAGGTTGTCGCATTTTTGGTTTGTTTTGACGCGGTAAAACACATAGAAATCGCGAGCTTCAGCTTTTTAGGCGGCCGCTAGCGCCATTTTCCATTTACTATGGCCATTTCACTAAATGCATGCTTGCATGTGCATCGACATTATAAGAATTGGGTTGTGCTACTAATAAACTAAATACAACTGACTAATTCTATGATATTCATAAAAGTTTCGTTATGATGAAATGATAGAATCGCTCCCACCCAAGCTTCATACCAGAGCTCCATATGCCACCTATAACCGCTACCATGCCAGCTAAAGAGCAAAAAATACACATAAACCATAAGAATCCCGTAAAATCATGATATATAGATATCCCAGCAAGGAACTTATCTAATCCTTCTCAAGATCCTTTGGACTTGGATCTCCAATACCATCTTCATTGATAGCGAAAAGACAATCACTTTCTGGTAAACAAGGACTATCGTAGATCTTGCAAATTCTAGTCTCTCCACGACCCTTTTTGAGGCTCAATCTGGTTGTACTTGCGTGTGCAATGATATTACCTCCGATAGGCTTCTTAGGATCCGGGTTGAACATTGCGCTTGGTCCTCCATCAACTTGCGCAACAACTTGATTTGTGATAACCACAGCAATACCAAACTCATCGGCTAGACGTTGAAGCATGCGCATAAACTTTGCTAAATGCATTTGCCTGGAAGAGAGCTCACCTCTCCCTGTGAAATCTGTACGATAAAGCGCGGTGGCACTGTCGACAATGAGTAAGGAGAATCTGGTTTCGCACATCATTTGTGCTGCTTGATTGAGAAGTTGTAACTGATGATCGGAATTGTAGGCCCTTGCATATGCAACATTATCGAGAACTTCTTCGCCGGAAAGGCCATATCGATTGGCCACCGCAAGTAAACGAACAGGACGAAATGTCCCTTCCGTGTCAATATATAGACATTTACCTTCTCCGCCACCCATGTCGAATGGCAATTGACAAGTAACTGCTAAAGTATGACAAATTTGACTCTTTCCAGTACGAAACTCTCCAAATATTTCGGTGACAGATCCTGTTTCAACTCCTCCTGCTAGAAGTGTATCCAATTGCTTAGAACCAGTTGTGATAGATATTAGCTCGCTTCTTCGTTGATGCATTTCAGTGGCAGTTGTGAAACCCATGGGAACCAATTTTGATGCTATTAAAATATTAGCATGATTGTGATACTGACTGATCATAACTATTAACCTTCTGTCAAAATCTTTGTGGCCTTTTGCTCAGAGATACCCTTAATTTGTTCTAGAATTCGCCGCGGCGTATATGCGACAGACTCTACGGTGTTATATCCACCATCCACAATCATTTGAATATCTCTTTTAGTTAGACCTGCAACTCCCTGCTTTAACTGTTAGATAAAGTATAAGAATTTCGAGAAAAAGAGGAACGGCTTATTACCTCTAAAGCAGAGAGTGGCGTTGGAGCACCAGGACCTCCCATTCCTCCATCATCGCCAGACTGAGAAGCTTCAATTTCTTGTGAAGTCATATTTTGTGAGTGAGAGATTTGGATTTTAGTGAATGTTTTCGTTGAATTATCGGTAGTAACGAGTGGGATGAGAAATTAAACACGTTTATATGTCGTTGAAATGTGAAGATTTAAGGTCCCGGAAGGAATGGACGCGTTGTTGACGTGCACCCGAAGATTAGGCTATCGCCAAGTCACATGACTTTTTACTCGGCTGGTAGGGGGAGCTGAAGCAATATATTAATACAAAATTTAATCACAAAACAACATTTCCCGTTGAATCATCCACAATTAGCTCTCAGATGCAAATCAACTATCTAATCCCTACCATCAGGGAAAACCCATCTTCAGCCCACAAAACACCCTACCTCATCAACACCACAACACCTCCTCTCAACCACCTCACATCCCCAATTCCCTTCCCCTTCCCCTCACAAGCCCTCACAACCAAGCATCTTCTCAAACCCCTCCCTCATAATCAATCCATCAGCTTAAAACTACCTACCCACAAAACTATCAAACAAAGACTGTCCACCCGATATTCATCCCACCCATCCAGCAAACTCCCAGTCCCTTAATCCTCATATCCATAAATACAACGATCCAAGTTCCGGCCCCCTCCTCAATCCACGATCTCCTAGAATCCGACCAGATCCCGGAATACCTCCTTGCTGTGTGCCGCGGGCGGTGCTCCCGCCCCTTCCACACTCCACAAGCAATCCAATGGCCTATAAGTTCTCAGATTCTAATTTACAACCAGAACAAATGTAGACAGTAGGACACATTTTCAATATTACTGACTGCCTTTCGGATATGCTACGGATACTACTCTTGAATATATGGAGAAAATCCCACCCTGAGCTCTACGGGACAAACTAAACGAAAATATACATAGGATCCCCACTACAGCCCAATATCAATGATTATGACTCTTGAATATGTAAGTCTCATTTATTATCGTACATCTCATCGTTACTCATTAAGCTAGACTACCTAAGCAATATCATTACTTTTTATTTCCAAATAATCCTCCCCGAAGCAAATTTATCTCCACCCTTATCATACCAACTTTCCTTAGTTATGAAATATTGAAAATGGCTCTATTACTGACCAGTCAAATTTGATGCAACACCATCTCCATAATATGTAACGCCGTTGATGCTTCGATTGCATTGTCCAGCATTTCCTCCATGCGTAATCTATCATTCATTCATTCATCAAGGACTACCAAGTAGTATCGCCATATTTTTGTCCGCCACGCTAATCCATCGTTCTTCTTGACGGCAGCGAAACCATAGAAAATCTTGTCTTTTTCTGTAATTTGTTTGGCTGTAGTGGCGCAACATGGTCTGAGTTATTGACATTCCAACTCTCATGACGATTAACACCTTTTCCCTTCAAATCCAGTGTTGATTGAGTACCAAATGTGCCTGCTGGTAAAATCTCAAAACCAGAATTGACCTTCCTGACCGACTTATTTTGATGAAGTTCTCCAGGTATGAATTGTGAAGATGGAGAGCGACTTTTTAAAAGAGGAGCTCGGGATTCAACGTTATTATCAGTGTATCGTTGATCTTCAACTGGTTGACGATTGGTGCCATATGTGCTTACATGACTCGACGAAAATGGATTTGATTCCTCATCCTCAGGAAAAAGAGGAATTGATGAATATTGACCCTTGCCTTTGGTAGTTGGCTGATGAGAGAATGAAGGAAATGCTGGCGTCAAAACTTCCGGAGACGGAGTTCGAGTAGGATAATTGAACGGGCGGTTAGGTTGGGGGTGTTTAACACGAGAGAATGTTTCATCGGACTCATCAGAAGTTCCAGATGAGCGTTCGTTATCAGCAGCGGCAGCAGCATCAGAAATTGACTCATCGGATCGGCGAGCTCCACGAGGTCTATGAGTATAAACTCTACCATTTTCTGCATTGCCTTCAAGATGCTCAAGTGTCTCCTCATCATATTGATGTTCTCCGACTGTTCCAAAACGTAGTTGTGACGATCTTGTAGGTTTATAGGTTGCTCGTTGACGAGAAGAGCTACGAGGATCCGAGACAATAGTATCATCGTCACTTACACTTCTGTGGCTCGGAAGTATCGCAGATTCGCTATACCGGAAGTTTGGTTGACCATTCTTGGGTGGCGTTGGATGATTGTAACCATCGGGGGATGCGTGTGCGTTAGAGGTCGAATCTGGAGTAGAAGGCTCGTAGGATGAGTGGCGCTGGAGTTTGATGCTAGGAACAGGAGTATTTGTTCCAGAAATCCAGATTCCATCCACTTGTATACCACTTTGAATGGCGCGAACGCCGAACGGGACATCATGACCTTTGCTTGTCTCGACAAACTGTCCACTTTGTCGTAATTCTTGGATCTTCATACGCTTTTCCTCGTCTAGAATCTCCTGTCTTGCAACTATCCTGTTTGTCCATAATAATTTGATGTATCCCACGCAAAAAACTGCTACAATGGCGCATCCCAAAACCTGATATGAATTAGTTGACTGATTACAAATGTTTGCAGAGAGCTTACAAATGTCATCTTTTCCCACAACTGCCAGGAGTTGAAGAATGATATCGCCATGTTGAAATTGATTCTTAGTTGTATGTGACTTTGGTAAGAGTAATCGTATACTGTGTTTGGAAATCCCTCTGGTCGAAGTTGATACAAATCAAATGTCTGCAACAAGGAGGTAATTTCTTCAGACTCTGAAAAGCCTGTTTCCACCAGATATTGCAATAAATTTTTGAGAGAAGGAGAAATGAAAGTGACGGAGAGATTTTCTATATGTCCGCGAATTTCCTGACACCAAATTTGGAAGTCGCTCTCCCAGTAGATGTGGACTTTCTAGGAAAGAGTAATTTCCATCCAAGAATAAACGTGCTCAGTCGTAGAACTTCAAAGTAAAGCCGTAGTTGAAGGCAAGAGATACCTACTATCAAATCTATTTTCGTGTCAAGCTTTCCTTGGTATTTGAAAGTTTATCACCTCGACTATAAATTTGAAAGTACTTGCTGTCGCTGCTAAGCCTCTCTTTCTTCAATGTTTGCAATGGAAACGAACGTGGTATGTATGGCTGATGCTATTCAATCAGGAGGCTTAGAAAATCTGCGGTCGATAAGGAAGATGTTTGATGAAACGAGTGTGTGTATTCAGAATCAGGTGTGTGTCAGACATTGATCAAAATAAATTATTTGCATGTGGTGGTGGTGTGCTTGATGTAACTCAAAAAAGATGATGTTCGGTTTAGGAAGGTCAGTTGAAGAAGTGAATGCTCTCTTCTCTCTGACTTAGGAGAAGAACACTAGAACACCAGAACACCAGAACACCAAATAAAAGCTTCCGACATATCATTCCTTGTGTGTTGGCTCATCGGAAACCTGCAGATTGTACCACACTTTTGGGATTTCGTATGAACGTGGTATTCTCCAATATATATATTCGGAGATTTGCGGTGCGACAATCATGCATGCGTACCCAGCATCTTTTGTATGGTAGAAATTATTCCGGAGGACCCTCGAAAAACTGTACAACTCCAAATACCAGAAAAGGATCCAACTATCTGCTTTAACTAATGTCTACGAAAATGAATGAGAAATCGAGAAAACCCTTGGTTCTCGAAAAGTGGATCAGAAGACCTTTTCCAACGTTTGGAAGAAGAGTACCGAAACCTGGGTATCGAAGGGATGGGGGAATGAAACTTGATGTACAGATACGAGGTCCAACAAATCCGAATACATGAATACCATCATCATATTGAGTGTCGTATCTCAAAACCTTGTGTGTGCCTGCAGGTCTGGGTTTCTGGAGCTTTTTCTCAAACAAAAAAGAAAATTTATTTATAGCACCATGCATACGAAAACGTGCATAACATCGGCGAGATCGAATTGGCTGATATCCGTTTGCTTCTTCTTACCAGATGCATGCCATGCAGGTAGACCAGAAAGTTCATCAATCAGAGACCGTCGTTGACAGATTTTGCTCCTTGGTCACATCAGCTAGTTTAGATGATTTTTGGCCAACTTTGCTTCTGCTGTCAAGTGATACAAGAAACTCTAGAATTTTCCTGCAAGGGTTCTCATTATGATCCGCTCTGAATGTAGCTACATAGTGGTGATCACCACACCATTTGTGGGAGCAATATGGAGAGATTTTGAGAGAGGGGTGATAAGCTTAAAAGCACAACGTTATCCCCTTTCTTCGAAAAGATCTTGGGTGTTCGTTCATACCCATAATTGAACTTTCTTGATTCAAAGCAGGCTGACATTCAAAAACGCCTCCCCGCTTATCAAGTATGCTTAAGGGGCCAATACAGAGTAACTGCCTCGGAATGTATCATAAAAATGAAGGGTACTGGTATTGATGCCACGTCAAAGAATGAGAACCGGTAAGATCTTCTTAACAAAATCAGAAAACGTAAGAATAATTCCTTCGATTAGCGGCGGCTCGGGAAGGATTCGAAACTATGGAGACTAAGAAGGCTTAAACTGTGTTCTGACCACCTTGAAACATCTGATCAAGCCTTTAGAATATAAGATCAAGAGGGAAAGAAAGTCGGAATAAATCATAATACTCAAGGTCTTGCTCCCAAGGCATTGTTTTGTCTCAACCCTTTCACCATCGTATTGACTACAATTCATCCAAAATACTTGAGGAAATGTTGTTATCATTGCAATAACTGTCCCTAAATACTCAGCTATCAAAAGCATTTCAACTGCATTACGATCATAACTCGTGTGTTTATTAAAAATTTGTATATTTTCTAGCAGTTATTTCAGCTATCAAGAGCTGATGAACTTGGAAATCACATAAAGGTAGGACAACGGCATCATAAAGTTACAATAGGTAGATATCTACTCGTGTTGTAAGCTTACTCGAGTACCTCTCATAAGAAATCCTTCAACATTATCGTCCCTGAAAAGCTAGAATACGTCACACAGATTTAGTTACTCGTCCGGAGAATTGGATAAGACCCAGAGTAGGAACTTACCTCCCTTGTGCTCGAATGTCATGCTGTCGTTCGTTGGTATTGTGTTAAAAATCTCCAAATAAATCCAACTATCTATCCACATCTACCACCACCTACCCAACCATCTCTTCATCAAAGCATTCGGTGGGGCATTCTTCCAAACTATTGACAATGCCTTGGCATGATCGACCTCGGTTCGGCCAACTAGAAATCAATATCATGGACCCTCTCCCGTGATCAGCCCAGAAAACGGGGATATGAGAGTCCGAGTGGCTTAGGAAAATCATTCTAAATAAACAACCAATCATCCAATTCTTGCAACGAAAAGACGTCAAGACTTGATGTTTAGTTCTCGAAAAGTTCGAATATCCTCAGTAAATTTTGTTTTAAAGTCTTAGAAGTTTAAAAGACGATTGATTCATATCACGTAATTGCTTGCATTTAATACACCATACCTTATCCAACATGCCGATTATTCGAAATCCATTTGCGAGGAAACAGGACGTTCAGACTGGCTTACAGCCCTTCCAAGATCAGAATGCCTCGTCCCTTCCTTCTTTTGAGCGAGTCTCTACAGTCGCTTCTCGAGCATCTTCGATGAGCATCAAAACGGCGAAGAGTGAAGAGCCCCCGGAGTATAAAATGAGTGGTATGATACTTCTGTTCAGATGACCGGGTTTTACGGGAGACCCTTGCTGACAGGATGATTGAATAGTTGTGAACGATAGCGGCGTGTATTTACCTGTAAGTGTTGGCAAGCTCAAAATACATGTGCCAATTTGACTGACCATTCCAAAAGCCTTCTCCACCTGAAAAGAAGAGTTTCTGGCCTCGCAGCAAGGGCAATCTCTCTGTAACCTCAATCAATACCCGAACGACTTCAAATGATGAGATTGATCCTTTTCCGATCTCCAGAGAATCTTTTGATTCATATAGAAGATCATTCGTAAGTTTATACTTCCACTAATCGCTATCTGAGAAACTCTTCTGACTTTGAAAAGGATATCTCAGCTAGATCACCTATAAGTCCCATCGATGGATATAGTGGACGTCAAAGTCTTGATTCTGCAAGACTGCCTCAAATGCAAAGATCCGCCATTGGTAATAGACGATTCGATAGACAGCCACCTACAGCCGAAGAAGGATTCGAAGAGGTGGGGTTAAATGATGCCGCCAATGACTCCACAAAGCAGATTAAGAAGAAGGGCTTCTTCTCGAAATTTGGTGATGAAGCACTTCCATCGTTTCATATGCCAGGGAGGAAGCGTGGTCAGAGTGGTACAGGGGAAGAGCTTGGTAACTTTCCAAAGCCAGGCAGTACGACTCCAAATGTCGAAGTTGATGAGGTTCGCTAAGGCATATGATGAAGTTTATGAACTTTCAGGAAAATTTGAAATTCATGGGCGTTCGGGTCAGATCTTTGTACCATGTTGTGCTGGTACCTACAATCGCTTGGAAACCGGTCATAGAAATATTATGGCGGGGTCATACATCAATTCCAGATGCCGCAAAGCTGCTGGTATAATAATAATAATGTAAAAATGTAATGACACATGAGGTTCATTCGGTGATGTCGGACGAGTGTAATCGTTGGAACTAAAAGATCATGGCTTTCTAGTACCTATGGCTACTCTTCCTAGATGTACAAGGGTTTCGTACCACAAGATTGAGTAGTAAATACTAGGGATATGACTCTCATGTATCAATTGAGAATATAAATGAAAAGAGGCAGATGGGGAAAGGAAGTCAGATGTAATAGAATCATGACTCGAAAGAAGTTCTTAAAATTAGCCACTTGGTTAGCTAAATGTCCTAAATTCATTATGGAGTACCTATGATGGAATTTGGCGGGGCACGCTCGAGGATTAGCGTTATCAACTAGCTTATCGTCAGAAGTGAAAAAAAGTTATTCTGCCATTTCCAGAACTTTTTTCCTACATCAATCAATCACCTTTTCAACCCTACAACTAATACTCGGCACTTCTCGAACCTTCAAATGGCGAAGACCAAACCAGGAAATAAGAAAGACTACAAACGCGAAAAAGCTGCCCTCAATCGTAGCTCCGCAAAATCTACAAAAGCCTCTTCACCGCCCGCAAATCCAATGGATTTATTGCTAAAAGCAACGAAAATGTTGCAGGAAAGGCGATATTGAAGGCGCGGTCCCTTTTGCGAAAAAGGCATTGGAATTGGTGGATGTACAGGCAATTGAGGCACTCCCTGTATTAAATTTATTAGGGGAGGTTCATGTGGAATTGGGAGATGTCGATTCAGCGAGACAATATTTTATGCAAGCCGCAGGAATAGATGAGGATGGAGAAGTTAGTGAGGAACTTGGAGGTGGAGCGGAGAAATTCTTATGGTTGGCACAATTGAGTGAGGATGGTGGAGAGGATAGTGTTGGATGGTATGAGAAGGGAGCTATTAGTCTTAAAGCACAGATTGGAGCTTTATTGGAGAAGATGGAGAAGAATAAGTTGGATGATGCAGGACTTGCTATTTTGGAAGAGAAGAGGAGGAAGTTGGCGGTGGCGCTTTGTGGTGTTGTAGAGGTTTACATGACTGATTTATCATGGGAAGAGGATGCAGAACAGAAATGCGAGGCGTTGGTCACAGAAGCTACAATGGTCGCACCAAATTATCCTGAGCCATGGCAGACATTGGCAAATGTTAGGATATCACAGACTAGGATGGGAGATGCACAAGCAGCCCTGAAGAGGAGTTTAGATCTGTGGAAAGATTTACCTCCCGAGAATGATGTCGTCCCGGATTTCCCCACGAAAGTCAGTCTAGCAAGATTATTGATGGAGGCAGATATGGATATAGAAGCCATTGAAGTACTGGAACGTTTAGTGGGAGAGGATGATACTAGTGTTGAGGTCTGGTACTTGGGTGGTTGGGGATTATACATCATGGGAGAAAAACAAAAGAATGGGGAGAACGCACAGCAAGAAAACAATGTCGATGGGGAAAGTTGGAAGGTCTCTTGGATTTCAAGTCAACAGTGGCTAAATCATTGCCTTCGACTTTTTGAGCAACAAGATTATGAAGATGAACGTCTTGGGGCACACGCTAAGGAGCTTATTTCCATTTTAAATACTGAATTAGGAGAGGAAGCAGTCAACGCCGAAGCCGAAGTTGAAGGGGATGGGGATGGGGAAGGTTGGGAGTACAGTGATGATGATGAAGAAATGGTCGAATCATGAAATACACCCTTTAAGTACAACAAAGGTTGAAAAGTTTTTGATTCTAAAAGGATAATGGAACGTATCCTGGCGTTTGTATAGGATGAGCACAACGAATGAACAGTTGCTGCGACGATAGATAATAAAAGAATTATGGCAGTCATCTTATTGACATATTTGTATTTGATATGAACTGTGAACCTAGGACATTATTCCACCCCTTTTCTTGCTTCACTTAGTCTCCTTAGTTATCTTTATGGACGGTATTCTCCCTGTAGATTGTCCAAACCAACGCCAGCAATGCAACTCCGTACCGGAAATGATTTTCATCCATATCAATCACGCCTCCACCTTCAACTTATCTACACCCTCAACAGGCACATCATCATAATCCTCATCTTCCTCAACCTTTCCAGCCATGCCTCTCTCCCAAAGTTGTCTCCCAGTGAGTGCAACAACGGCGTCCTTGCCCTTATTCTTCTTTTTCTCGGCCGCTTCTTCCTCTGCTTCCTCCTTAAGCTTAATCTCCTCCATCTCTTTTTGGAACGCCTCTCTCCACTTCATGAATGACTCTCGCGTAACTGGCTCTCCGTGGAACTTCTTATTTTCCTCGGCTTCTACAGCCAACAATTTCTCCTCATGTTCTTTCTCCTTCGCTTCCTGTCTTTGCGCAATAAGTTGCTCTGCATTTTCTTTCAAAGTAGACACCAATGTAAACACCATGGCCATCCCCAAATTCTCCTCGATTGTCTCGGTTAATCCATCGAGAAGGAGTTGTTTATCAGTTGCGACGCTGAAATATGGATGAATGGGCGCATTAGGTGTTGGGAGTAAATCTAGAATAGGTGGTTCTTCAGGATATTCTTCTGGGTATTTGACTTGCAGGAGCATAGTAGGAGGTTCCGAATCATCGCCATCTTCGTTTGTGACATCTAGTAGAACCGATACTCGATATTCCGTCTCGGATATATCTGTGAAAAGTGTTAGGTGAACTCTTGCGGAGTGGTACAACCACGGGAAGCCCATAGCTGAAATTGTCGCAAAAACATACCATGAATCTCATCAGGGAAAATACTATCGAGGACCTCCCTCTCCTCAACTTGTTCTTCTCTTCCCATCTTGTATAATTGCTTTAACCTTTTCCTCTAAACTAAAGAGTTTCGTGGGGTGAGTGGTGGGTTGAATGTGTGCTACCCAAGATTGGCTTAGCGCCGATTGGAAAAAGTTTATCTTTTATCTGTCGGAGGCAGAAAAAAAAGTTCCCAAGGAAACCACGAGCCAGCCCATCTGTACAAATAAAATCAGCAATTGTACCAAAATGGCTCCAGTATCAACCTCGAAAACCGTGGTGACGGGCATGAAGAGAAAGTCGGCACCTGCGAAAGATGTTCATGTGAAGGAAAACAAAAAAGCGAAAATCGATTCGGGGAAAAAGAAAATGGATTCAAAACCCAAAGCTAAGCCTGTGAAGAAGGTCGAATCCGAGAGTGAAGAGGATTCCGATTCTGATGATGGAGGCGCAGCTTTGGATTCTGCTTCTGCAGATGGTTCGGATAGTGATACGGAAATGAAAGAAGTTGAGGGCATACATCCAGATAGAATTAAGGCTGTTGCCGCCAACAGTAAGCTCTTTTTATGTATTTTTTCATGTATTCCTACTTACACATTTCAGGTCAATCATCGAAGGAGGCACATGCGAAACAAAAGCAATTGGCAAATGAAAGAAAAGCAGCAAAACCTTTAGCAGATCAATTGGCACGCACGAAGAAAATTTGGGAACGTTTACGCCGAAAGTCGCATGTTCCAAAGGACGAGAGGAAACAATTGGTTGAGGAACTTTTCGAGCTCATCACCGGCAGAATCAAGGATTTCGTTCTTAAACATGACAGTGTGAGAGTTGTTCAGACCGCCGTCAAATATTCGAATCCGGAGCAGAAACGTTTGATCGCAAAGGAGCTTGCAGGAACATATCGACAATTGGCTGAGAGCAGATACGCCAAGTTCTTGATTGGAAAATTGCTGGTTCAAGGAGATGATGAAATTAGAGATCTCATTGTTCCAGAGTTCTATGGACATGTTCGTCGACTTATCAAGCACCCTGAAGCTGGATGGATTCTCGATGATATTTACCGTGGAGTGGCTACTAAACAACAAAAGGCTATTATCCTTCGAGAATGGTATGGTGCCGAATTCGCCGTTATGGAGAGAGACACATCTAAGTTCTTGACTGGAGAACTCTCAGAAATCTTGGCTGCTGAACCTGGAAAGCGAGCACCAATCATGCGATATCTACAAGAAATGATCAATCATCTCTTGCAGAAGAAGACCAACGGTTTCACCCTCCTTCATGATGCTATGTTACAATATTTCCTCAATGCCAAACAAGGTACCGAGGAGATCACTGACTTTATCGAGTTATTGAAGGGTGATGAAGAAGGTGATTTGATGAAGAATCTGGCATTCACTAAGTCTGGAGCAAGAGTAGTTTGCCTTGCTTTAGCATATGGAGGTGCCAAGGACCGTAAACACATCCTCAAGATGTACAAAGATACACTACAACTGATGGCAGGAGATCCAAACGGACATATTGTCATTCTTACTGCATACGAAGTCATTGATGATACAGTCTTGACAGCGAAATCTATTTTCCCAGAGTTGCTTAGCAAGGATGAAGAGAAACAAGCTGAGAACATTGTGTTTTCTGCTAATGACCTCAACGCACGTACCACACTTCTTTACCTTTTCCAAGGTCGCTCAAAATCCCTCTTCCCAGCAAGCCATAACTCAGATCTCGAAATTCTCTCTGAAGTTGACACAATCCGACCCACCACCTCCAAGAAAGACCCAGAAATCCGTCGCCAAGAATTAATCAAGGCTCTATCCCCCTACCTCCTAAAGGCTATTGCCTCCGCATCCAGAGAGCTCATCGCCACATCTTTCGGATGTCAATTTTTAACTGAGGTTCTTTTCGGCGCTGAAGGGGATAAATCGGCAGCTCTTGAGTCACTTGCTGAAGCGGTATCCGGAGACCCAACATATATTCAACCTCCTGTTGAAGAAGGAGCTGTTAGTGAAGAACCACCTTCTCACATCGCAAGCACACCTTTCGGTGGAAAAATGATTAAATCTCTCATCGCAGGTGGTCGTTACGATCCAGCTACTAAATCTATCATCCCGATCGTACCAGCTTTGAATTTTGCGGATATTTTGTATCCACATATTAAGGAGTTTATCGTTGAATGGGCAACTGGTTCAAGTTCATTCGTGGTAGTTGCTTTATTGGAATCTGAATCTTTCGGAAAGAAGGATGAGGTTAAGAAAGTTTTAACGAAGAACAAGAAGAAGTTGGAGAAGGCAGCGAAAGAAGAGACGGTGGAGCAAAAAGCTAAGAGGGAGGAGTTTGAAGCGAAGGAGGAGGAAAAGAAAGCTAGCGGGAAGGGTGCTGTTAAGAAAGGAAAGGGGACGAAGGAGAGGGAGGTGGGTAATAAGGGATCAAGTATGATTTTGGTTATGATCTAAAATTAGAATGGGAGAGTGAGAATATGAAGAGACACACAGTGCCGGTGTATAGTTTGCATTGTAGGAGTCTGGCGTTGTATTAAAAAGTGATCTATAGATACCTAGATCCTTTGCCTTGGTATCCAATGTACTCAATATAATGTTGCATGACAAAATACGTATTGTCGACGTAACAGGCTGCAAGTTGACTTGATGTGAATCTGATTTCCGTGGATCTAGAAGGGAAATCGAGGGCTAATTAGATTTTATATAAATCTTTGAGTTGGAAATTTGCGCTTTTGGAGTTTAGTGAGAAGATTCATGGAAGTCCAGAAATTCAATTAGATCCCGAGAAGTATAATTGTAAGGACAGAAAGTACACAATTAATTATCTTCTCGCTTTTCTTTACCTTCATCATCTACGTATACATTATATGCTAGAAATAGACTTGTTACTTTTATGTGAGTAGATATTTTTACTGGTTTATCTACCTGTCAATGTTTTTTTTATTTCTATCGATACTGTTGATAGTTCCTCTTCGGTATTTCATCATCGTAAATAGGTAGCCGTCTGAACTCCGTTTTGTGCTATGCATTACATTTTTTCCCCTTTATATCCAGGTTTGCGTTTTCTACCAAAACAAACAATCCACGCTCTTTCTATCTTCGCTGCCGCCTCTTCTCCTCTCTCTCCACTCACCCCTTCGCCGCCAAACAAGCCTTCAAACTCCCCACCACGGCAAAACAAATCAACGGACTAACCGCATAAGCCACAGTAATAAACCTCGCAATCGCCATCTTCTCCTCCTCATCCGCACCACTCACATCCGCCAACGCCGTCAACTTCGTCGCAGGCGGCCCCGTCGGCATCAACATCAACACAAACCATAATATGGGATCTTCATCCAACCATTGGGTTTTCCTCGCAATCAAGTAGATTACCCCAATGCTCACTAGAGGCCATAGTATAAATCGGATGATGCAAATGGTGAGTACGACGAGTGAAGGGACTTTGCCGCTGGGTTGGCCGTTTTTCATTCGGATGAGCGAGGAGGAGAGTTTGGCGCCTACGACGACGAGTTGGAGGGCGGCGAAGAGCTCGCCGATGTTTTTGACCGAGGTGGTGAGCCAGGCTTTGAAGATTCCGCCTGAGGAGGGTGAGGCGAAGAATGCGGTGTGTAGGGCGGGAGTGAGGCCTAGGATGGCCCCAATCAAGGCACCGAGGAGGGGAGCATTGATGAAACTATAGATTGTAGATATGGTTTTTCGAATTTTGAGAGGGATTCTCCTCCATTCTTTTTTTGATTTTTTGGCGGCGGTATTTTTGCCTCTTATGATACTCCGCGGGAGAAGAGTTGATGTTTCGCTTTCGAATTCTTCTTCTTCTGCTGCGGTTCGTCCATTGGAGTTGGTAGGATTGGCGTATTCTTCATCGCTTTCGCTGTGTTCGTTTGAGCTGTGGGTATGGTCTGCTTTTGAGTCTTCATCTAGTTCATCGGGTGCTTCTTCGTCATCTAGAAGTTTGGGTCCGAGGGCAAAGGTTAAACTATTTCCTACCATGGAGGAGATGAGGAAATAGGATTTTGCGCGACTGAGGGCTGCGGAGGCGGTATCGGTATCGGACATTGTTAGACTACCTAGTATTCCGGCTGTATCGAGGGCTTGAATCAAAAGAAGCGGAAGCGCAGTGGTGTTGTTGAAGCATACTAGGAATTGTCAAAAATTGTGATATAGGGAGAGTGAGGGGAACTTACTAGCAGGCACACACCAAGCGGGAAATTTAAAGGCTCTTTTGAGAAACATTCCTATTGCCACTGATAATAGTGTATATATCAATGCCCATACTTTCGCATCATTAGCTCTCCATCCATACAATTCGATGCATATTACTCACTCAAAACTGGTACATATCTCCACGCAGTATCGGGCTTCAATTCCTCCCCAACATTAGTGATCAAAAGCGCCGGTAAAAATAATCTAACAGCAGTTTTCGAAATATCCCTCGTAGAAGACTCCTTTAACAAATTGTACCTCGATGCGATAACTCCATAGCTAATTGTTAACAACACCGTCAAGGAAGCTTGAAGAGCTCCCAGGAACACAGGAATTATGCCATCGGTGACGGAGTCTGAATCGCCCATACTGATATTTTTGTCTTTCACGGAAAAGTAAAGAGAGAGAGAGAGGTAGGTATCGTGAAAAGATATTTACACAATATCTATCTATCGCCTTAGAACGCGTCAAGACACAGCAATGCGGCTCAGCCATGTCATTGTTGAATTGTTTGATAAATAAATATGCATAACGTCATTTGACAGGGGCGGAAAGAAAAGTCCGACTTAACTTGGAAGGGGAACATAGAAACAGGTTAAAAGCTGTGGAAATGGTGAGTTTCAGTCCCTGGTTACTCCAGTTGACCCATTTCTGGAGTAGGAAACAAGCTTTTATTCTGGATCAGGAACATTTTGATGGGGATGTGCTTGCCGGTAACCGGCGGATATTTTTCGTCTTATGTCGCTGTCGTGGTGTTGTGTACAGGAGTAGATGCATATGCATATGGTAATTGATTTTTGTTCATGAACAATGGCTCTGGATGTGTCATCAATTGATATTGGAGTTTGTCGGCTTTCTTATACAATGATGCTTTTCATCTACGGTCTCAAGGAAAAGATATATATTCTGCGCCGTCCCACCTTTTTCGTAGTTAAGCTCACCGGGAGGTGGTAGGATTACATGATCACGTGAAATTTCACAGAGTAGTCCGTGCGTGCACGTGCATTTTCCAAATATCACTGCTTCTGAGAAGTACTTCTAATAAAGGTGCAACAGTAAGAGCTTGCGCGACGGTCTCGAAAGTTCGGACTCGTCCTCAAGATTTGTGAAGTCATGCACGGAGAGATGCACACACACATTCAATGTGAATGTTGGAGTTGCGCTCGAATCAACGGAGGGTTGAATAAAGGATTATGTTCTCTCACTTGAAATAGAGGTTCAAAGACGGCCAATCAATGGATACGTTGTGCTTCGGACAATACGCCCCCTACACTTTACCTCGTTCGCCACGCTGAGGCTGAGCACAATATTAAAGTAAAGTTACACTCCTCCCTATTGGAGTTGTATGTTAATGCCTAGAACAGCGTCGATTCCATATTCTAGACCCAGTCTTGACCCCTAGAGGACGTACACAATGTGGAAATCTCCGAGAAACGTTTCCCCATCAAAAGAAAATTGATCTCATCCTTTCCTCTCCTCATCGCGGCGCCATTCAAACCACCCTCTTTGCATTTAGTGGAATACTTGCTCGACCAGAGGTTCCTTATCTTCTTATGCCTAATGCCCAGGAAATTAGCGCCAAGCCTTGCGATAAAGGGTTTCCGTTAGATGTCCTGAGGGATGTCGAAATCCCGAAATTATTCAAAGATGAGGGATTTAGCTTTGGTGTGGAGAAAATTGGCTTTGAATTGATGGAGGAGGGATGGAATTTGAAGGTTTGTGTATTATTTTTGCAAATTCTTCGAGACACCCTCAGAGACAGCAATATCTCCTAGCGGGATTTAAAGCTAAAATATTTTCAGAAAGGCCTCTATGCACCTAATCATGAAGCCGTCCAAGCACGAGCTGCTACCCTTCGTGCATGGCTCTACCAGCTTGAAGCACAATACGTCGTATTAGTGACACATGGAGCATTCCTTCATTATTTGACTGAGGATGGGACAGTTGAGGACTTGAAGAACGGTATTCAAGATATCGCAATCTCCAGTTCGCAAGTTTTCTAACAACGGACAGGTACTGCTTACAACAACTGCGAATTCCGGACATTCATAATCACGAAAGAATCGACGGCGGAAAATGCTCATATTGTTGAGATTGGAAAGGAGAAGCATGATATCGAGACTGACAGTACTATTCTTGCGGAACTAGACGCTGTTAGGTAATTTTGATTATCCATTACCTTTTTCACAAGGCACGTTTCCCTTTTCTTGATAGGCGGTCATACTATCAGGAACTCATGTGGTGATTTCGCGGGAATGATAAGCCGATATTTCAATGCTTTTTTCTTCTATCTAGATAGGTGAGAGTTATTACGCTGTCCGGTCATCTTAACGTCTCATCTAGTACTGCTGTGCTATCTAGCGGATAATAGAACATTCCCGGGATCAGCGTGCCTTGAGTTTGAGTCTTTTGTTTTACTACCCTATACTTCACAATTCTGAACACGAGAGTAGTGCTTTTGTTAATACAACCGCTTGGGAGTGGCCATGGTTTCACACCTGACTAGAAAGTGGAGGACCAAATAGTACTAAGAGACATGTGCAGCCGCGGGTTGAGAGGATAAAGTGAATCCGGATCTACTCGTCACGGCCCCGTATAAAATTTAAACCTTACCCGAATGTCCAATCTTCACTTTAGTTTTGTGATGAACTGGACTTTCGATTCTGTCATAAACAAGACCGTGATTCTTAAGGGGTCTTGTAGTATGAATTCCAGGTGGAATAGGATAGGATCGTTTTTGGATTTTCTATCTTCTCCATTATCTATCATTGCCGGTTGCAAGTTTCCGGACCAGGTTGTCGCTTTGGTAGTTGTTAACTCCAATTTTTATTCAGTGCTGATATGTTCATAATTTTGGCATTCTATGACCCAGCTTCTTTTCAGGAATATGTTCTTTCCTTCTGCCGCGAGGCTTAATTCGGTTGTCAGCCATGAAATTTATATCATGGAATGTGATATCTACGTTTTCGCCGCAGCGTGCTGTATCACGCGATCGTCGCGTGGGACTTTGGATACCTGTGTGCTCGATATGCTCGAAAGTTATCCTCGTTGCATTAGTGTGTAACAGTAACAGTAGTCACCATACCATTTTTTGAATAATCCTACGTTTATTAGAAAGATGACTGCTTTACAATATCTATGTATCATTTCCTCCTCCAACATATTCGAATTTCGGCCGCTCCTCTCCATCGAAGATGACGACTAGGATGGCGATACTTCCCATCCCTACTTAATGGGGCCGTGAATCACTACCTTTAGTCTCCAAGTAAGAGTCAATGAATCGTTCACGGTTCATGTTGCGAGTTCTGCTGGTTCGTGGTGTTATGAGAACCCCGCACCATCATCCATGTGGGGTTCTTGATAACACAGCAAAGACGTCTAGTGATGGACTCGGCACTTTTGAAGATAATTATTTGGTGCCATTTCTACGGAATGCATGAGTCCCAAGCATGGTATCAAGCGGCATGTAAGCATTGGATGGGTTTAAAAGATACTGATTATAGTATGAATAATCTGAATTCAAAAGTTGTTAGAAAATCACGTGAAATTATACGAAACGACAGTCACTACCTAGGTATCCTAGGTCTGTTCATTTCTGAACTTGGGTTATCATTAGGCTCTTTGTTAATTTATCACGTTTGATCCCTCGCCCGCTATATGCTTCCAAGGCAAGTAGCAACAACGGGGATGAACCGGTCCGAGCTCTTACTCCTAACAATTCTCGAGAACTTTACTGTTACTACGTGGTCAGGAAGATCAAGAGAATCTCGTATAACATGTCTACTTGAGTTGTTTGCCGACTACCCGGACATTCCTACCTTCATATTTGGTTTGCGAAAACAAGATCTTGAGCCGTTCCCGAATCTGTGACAACCACAATACTCAAAATCTTAGCCGAAAATGAGATGAGAGTCTGTGGAGTTGAACCCATGGTTAGGAACGTTTACCATTGGCTTCACTTGGTGGTTTGTATATTTTTCGTTTTATTGGCTGTGGGCATATTATTCCTTTCCTTCAAAAAGGCACTGTGATGTCCAAGTGATTCTAACGGGCCCATTGCTTGATCCCAAGACCTTCAGCTGATACTTATGCGCCATTAACACTACCTTATAGGTGCATTTTACCGCATTTAAAGCTACTGGTTTAACAATGAAGGACTCGCGGCTTGTTGCATCTTTTTGAGTTTCTGTCTATGTTCGGTCGTTGTGCCTTCGCTGGAAGCAGAAATACGGTTGCCACGCGACCTTTTTTTGATCCCGCGACATGAATGCCTATCAGCTCCACATTATACTCTCATCTACCTGCTCGTGGTACTCCAACTCTTGATTTTTAATTCAAGGCTGTTGTTCACGATGTTAAGCTGCAACTGCCATTCGTAAAGTTGAAAATGGTTCCCACCAAAACAGGTAGTGGCACATACCGCGGGAAGTGACGCCACCATGTATTCCCAAGAGTATCAACATGTATGAACCTCAATTGCGCGGGAGGTTTGGATTTGAGACACGAGATCGATGCATAGTTACTAGAAGAGTCACGATTCAGCCTATCTCAAGCACAGCTTTAAGCCGTTCTTTCAACATCTACAGTCTATGATCTCATGTTTGTAGTGAGCTTGGGACACAAAAATCCAAATTCATTCTACAAGGATAAAATGGACATGATCAGCTACAGTTCTTTGCCGAAATACATATGAAGGACATTATGGGCGTTGAGATTACTACCAGTTCCCGCAGTAGATCAGCATGATTGAGATCCTTCTAGTAGACTTTTCCTAAGTATTTCCAATCCGTAACTGAAATTTGGACATCTCCGCGGGAACGTGTCAAGATACGGATGTCATGCAGATATCAATGCTGTTGGCTTGATTATTGACGACGATTGAATAGTTTTGTTCATGCATCAGGTCCAGTATTGTTCGCAACCATTTCTCCTGGGCCATGTCGTAGAAGTATAATTCGATTTGGTGGCTGGCTGAAGACGGAAAATAATTCATTTCATATGCTAACTTCTGTGTGGACTCCACGCTATGGTCTGATAAATGCATGCGACTATAGATCTATCTAAGTAATAGATGTGCGCGATGCAGATTGTGATACTGTAACATTGCAACGGGATTGTGTGGATGCAGATGGTTGATTTTGAAATTAGATCTGCAAAAAGAGTTTGCAATGTGAGATGCATATTGAAAGAGGCTTTTGATGGCCGTTGCCGAGCCAGCTTGGAAACGCGGGGATTGCATTTTATAACTTGCTCTCAATTGGCTTGAGATTGAACAATGATACAAGTGCGCATAGGCTACCCCGCTTCTACTGTTATACAAGATAGGTTATTGTATTACCCCCCTTTTTCTCTAACTACAATGGCCACTGTAATTAGCTTGAAACTCGTATTTCTAATTGAACCAATATTGTTTTGACCTAATAAAATTTACTTGTTCGTTTCTGTGCGATTAAAAAGAGTATTTAATTTGAATTCTTAATATTGTAAGTTTTATATTATGTTTTTGTTACGTGACGGTTGTTATCCCACTAGTGGCTCACGTGCACTAGCCCTGTATATAAAGACCTTCTTACTTAGAATCTTCTTAGTTCTTTAGTTTTAGATTCTAAGTGATTGAATTGACTCCGTTTACGACTTTTCCGTCACAGTTTTAATAATTGATCATATAAAAGTTTCAAAAGTTATAAAAGTTTTAGAATAAAATTCTATTTTATTTTTAATTTTATATCAGGTTTTTACATATGTAATATTTTAAATTTTAATTAATATTTTAGTTATTATAAAAACTTTAAATATTTTCAGATTCATATATATATATATATAAGAATTATTCAAAATTAACATCTCAATCAATTTCATTTATATTAAAAGATTGGGTGGAAGAGGCCTCTATATTGATTATATTACTACGCGTGTAGGCATATTAATCTCCTCTTGGTATCCTCTGAGGGGACCAATATGCCTGCTTATGGTTCGTCTAATCTAGCCTGTTTAGGTAACCGTATTACTAATCACGACACGTGATTAGTACCGGTAACTTCTATTCCTTTTAACAATTTATTTATTATAAGATTATTAATAAAAGAAGATCATGATTTTTAATATTAAAAAATTACTGGAATAAAAAAATTATTAAAATATAAAATAAATAAAATATATAACAAGTAAATCTTAAATTATATTACATATTAAAATCTATATCAAATATTTATTAAAATTTTAAAAGTAAAAAATCTAAATTGATATATTGTATTATAAAAAAATTGGAATTGTAAACTATTGTTACGAGGGTTGCCGTCTAGATCACGTGGAAGTGCTCTAGGCTCTCGAGGTGGTTTATAACTAGGCGTCAAGCAGGGACTTAAAGTAATGGCAATAATGCAATTCGTAACTGATAGTAGAGTATACTAAATGATTGATCTTGAGCACGAAGCTCTTATACAAAGGAAATCCATCTTGATTATATAGACCTTCATGCTTCTATGATCACTGGTGATCCTTCATGATCACCAGTGATCACCTATACCGTGATCCTTAGTGATCCTTAGTGATCACTACTGATCACTTGTGATCACGTGCTTTGGTCATGTGATGGTAGTTGTGTAGCCCGTCGTAACAACTATATATATAAAGATTTCCCAGTTAATTAATTTTATAATCTTTAATAATCAATTGTGACCAAAAGGGTGTTTATAGACCAGCAATTGTATTTAACTTAGAATCTACAGGTGAAGAGCACCTGTAGATGGGGATAGCTACTCTATATATACACAAATGAATGGCCTAGCCGCAATAGCTAGGCAAAAAGAAGTCATATTTATTCCTCCAATGATCTTACTTTACCGATAACCATTGATACCTAGTACTTGTCCGGATCTGATCCTCAGGTCACCTAAATCGCATACTAATCTCGAGTAATCGTATCATGTGTGGACATGGTTAATGTACCTGAGGTTTCTTATATAATAAGGGTGGGAGGAAAGCAGGGATTTCCGTCACATCAATTATAAAAGAAAGATTTTATTTGTCACACTCAAGAATACTGGGTAAAGTATCTTGTATTAGAAAATACTAAGCTAAGGAGAAAAGAAGAAGGAAAACAAGAGTAGAGAGTTTTCCTGTGATTAAATACAAACGGGGCATGCCACGTGACCCGGAGGTGTGAGGCGTCACATTATTACTCTCTTTTAAAATAATCAATCTTTTATTTATATGCTTTTGAATATATATTATTTCTACTTTAAATCTATTATGAAATTTATTTTACTTTTTAAATAATATATTATAATATAATCTAATTAATTCTTTTCTTTATTTCTCTTTTATAATATACTATTAAGATATATATATCTCGACCTACCTCTTTTATAATATAATTATAATTTATTTTATAACCCTTTAATTGATATAATTACTATAGATTATTATTCAACTCTTTGTTTTATCAATTAATAACTACTAACCCGGATTATTTTTATTTATTTACATACTGACAAGTTTAATAGGAATGAAAAGATTGGCTAATCAACAATACCATGTGTGATCAGCCATACCCAGAATCGTAAGTAAACTCAATAGCGGGAGTACGATGCAGATGGCTGAATCACGAATATAATTCTACATGCATGAAACATACGCTATGTTGATCGCAACCCCTCAGCCAGCCTTTCCTCGGGGTATCGGTCACGTAGCCGATTAAGATGCATCTTAACTAAACAATTCAGCTGAACTATCGAAGGCAAAGTTTTCCGCTATATCAGTTCTCTTCCCATCCTTCTCTATAGCTAGCAACTCCATCACTTCCCATCCTATCCAATACACAATGTCTGACTACGAAACACTCTTTAAAGAGACCATCACAGGCCTCAAAGCTGTCAAACCAATTCCTTACGATGATTATACCAATAGGCTCCATAACAAGATTCGAGCTTGGGCGTTCGACAGTGGTGAAGATCGATTACTATCCTACGTTGAAAGAGCTCCTAACTACCCTCCTGATGACAATGATCCTGATAGCAAGTATATCGATATATTCGCTATATACGACTTATTAAACAAGGCCTCAACTCCCTCGATCGCTTACGGAATCGCTTATGTTGATGATAAATACGATCCCAAGCATTTAAAGCAATACGTTAGCGGTGTAAGATATTAGTACCATTCCTACATGAACAAATACTGTTAAGTATTTATACTAATATTGTGGTATAGTACAATTCTGAGGTACGCCTACTTGAGTGTTTTACAAACCTCATGGGCTTTTGTATAGGAGAACACATAAATCGAGAGCTCGACTCTCAACAGGCGCCTAACATGGACAAGCTCTTTCATGACTATGAGTTCGGAGAACATTTCAGGGAACTTGTGACCTCGCAAAGTTTCATTAACAATGAGATACGGACAGATATGATTAGATCCGATCATCTTTTCAGCATCTCGTGGCTCCTGATTGCAGATTACATTTTTGACCGGGATCACGCATACCGCGACACACCCGCCTTCTCAGGGACCCAATTTCTAGACAAAGTAAGTGGGCAAACCTTGAATAAATGGTCTTACGGTTTATGGGAAAACGAAGGCAAAGGAAACCCAGCAAAAATGGACGAAATCGTCAAGTTCTGTGGTCGAGTAGCTACAATTGGACTTTGCCCACCTGATGCCACCACTCATTTGCAGCGACCTGCGAGTACCTGGACTGTTACAAAGGAATTCTACGAGGCACAAATTCGCTTTAAAGCTTTCGATGATGGTGATTACAATAGAGAGCTGCAAGAAAGTCTGAATCGACTACAAGACCAAGAAGAAATTATAAACGAGTGGCATTCCTATTGTCTTGCCCTAACAAAATCATGGGAAAAGCAAATCCTTCCCTACTGGACCACCGCGATGCACCGCGCTTTTGTGGCAGGAGAATATGAAGCTATCGCGTCGTGGCAGCTCAAAGGTATGTCATCGCTGTTCACTTTGTGCAAACCAAAAAAATTCAATAATTACTTTGTCTGACTTTCAAGTATAGCATGGTTTAAGCAGGATGAACTTTATGGATGGGGAACTGATTATCTTCCTGTCACATCCTTAAACGAAGGTGGAGGTCTAAGGAACATCATTTTCCCTGGGACTTCAATTAGCCTTGCCGATGGAACAGCACGATCAATTGAAGCTTTATGTTCAGAAGATAGAGTTCTAGTTAGCAATGTCTCTAACTCATCGGTGGCTGCTTTCCATGGACCTATCCAGCAGTCTCTCGAAGCAGATTTAATTGGTTTTAGTAGGTAACTTCAAAGCAATGACATCCAGAACTCTTTTACTGACTTATTGAATTTTAGATGGCGAGACACCTTGGGCCCTCAGTTCGCAGGTGTTCCATACAACGACTGGGCCTCGCGCATTTGACCCCAAAGCAGCAGAAAAACTCAACTCATATCGTCGCATTGGCAAGCTCGCCGTCGGGCACATTTTATTTCGTCTGCAAGCAAATGAATATGTATCTGTTGAAATTAAATCAATTGAAAAAACCAAAAAAAGTCAATTGGAGAGCGCATTCACTCTCTCATTATCTGGCAATGCTCAGACCTACCACGCGAATAGCTATTTGGTTGACATGAACTCTCAATCTCACGCTTTGAAAGAGATCGCAGATATGGTTCGCAATATTCCCGGAGACCAAAGGTTAGGTCTATTATCTCATTTTCGGGAGTTGCAGTCTATGTTCGGAAGGTTTGATGCTCAGGCCATTTACCAACGATTGAACTGGGAACTGTTTGGCCAATACAAATCTCCAGATGGGCAAGAATCTTCTTTCTGGAACTCGATTTATCCTTTGAATTATACTGAACATGTCAAAATGTCCAAAGCTTTATCAGTTTCCAAAGGACTTCCCATTGATCGTCTCGCTAGAGGATTCCGCCTCAAAGCTCATCATGTTGATCGACTACCAGCGGGATATCAGCTTCCAGATTTGAGCGTAGTTGATGGCTATCTTACTGTGCAGGGAGAAGTGCAACTCCGAAGCACATACGATTCACGAAAGAGGCAATTTCGATGGACCAGGGAGTTGAAACAAACCAACCTTTTCGAACATGGAGTGTTTGAAATTGACTCTCCAGCCATATCAGGAAAAGGAGTTATCTACATATCATCTGAATCTCAGGCTCAGGAAGCTACTCCGCGGGATAAGGTCCATCCATTTGAGGCTAAGGCATGCAGCCTTGACAAATTGGCAGGCAGTAATAAAAGTATGATTGGAGATGATTCAAATGATAATAACTGGGTGACGCTTGGAAAATGGCAGGTTACATTGGATCGGAGTGCTTGGCCTCCCGATACTGAGCGAACTGAGCCGGAAGAACCCATGGATGGAGGGATCTTTGAAGATGGTTACTGGACCGATCCCCCAAGGGAAGTCGCTTCGTTAAAAATCACTTCGGTGGAGCAGCTGCGAGATCAGATTAACCAAAAGTATGGCCAACAGCTTGGCAGTTTCTATGATGTCATTGCGACAATTAAAGACGGAAAGACGATGTACTCGATAAAATTTAAGCGAGCACCTCTCGTCCCTTTCATCTCCGATGCTGGACTCGACATGAAGAAAAAATTTGAGGTTGGCTTCAAATCTGACCTGGATATTGACATTACTTTACCATCGCTCTTTACCGAGATGAATTTTACGATGGATGATTTTGAGGGGACTTTTTCTGGCTACTTCTACGAATACGATCCTTCAAAACGAGGATACAGAGGAGACCGGTAAGTTTTCTCATTAATAGAAAATAAAATAATGAACAAAATTGGTTGACACATAAAACAGTCATTTAGTTCAAGGAACTCTTTTAGGGCCGGATGCGGTCGCTGCTTCTCGCTTAAAGATTTCTCGTGCGTATGAATCAGCCTTGAAGTCTAGGGAAGCTCACCCATCTGATGGAAAACTTCAACCGGCCATGGTGACCGAGAAACTTTTGGCCCTCAGCGAGCCAACACTCAAGCAACTCTATGACTTTATCGGTTACCAAGAACAATCGGTAAGCAAGACCGATATTCCTCCTCTCAATTAGCAAGAGGTAACTACAGACTAATTCCAAACTAGTTGCACAATGACTCCCAACTATTGATACGAAATATGATGTATTACCATATGGATGATAAACAACGGGAAGAAATCCTAAAAATACCGAAACCAGACGTACCAAGCGCTCTCCCTTTGGCTTTAGCAGACAATCTGCCAACTAATCTAAAGACATTTTTCAAAGAAAAGTATGGCCCAGCTTTTATTTGTCGCTATGTTGGTCGTACACAGAAGTACATGAGTTCTTTTACGGAAAAGGACATGAAAAAGCTTTGGTACTGGTGGCAAGGCAATGGAAAGAGCTGTTTGTCACAAAGTGAAGAATACAACGATATCAACCGCTTTAGTTCCCGAGAGGCAATGAAAGGGCGATACGGAGACATTTTGCAGCCATACCTTGACAGCGACCCTGATAATTGGGCTTCGCAGCTTTACGATAAGATTACAAGTAATCCGTATATGCTAACTAAATGGGTCCATTTTCCAATAGGGGACGATGTGAGTATCCTCTCACCTTATTTATGATGTCTAATCTATTATTTCACTTTGTATACTTTATAGCACAGGCAAGTAAACTAAACAATCGCTTCAGGGTAACAACTTAATCAACAAGCAGTGCAATATTTTAGATGCTTTGAGTTCATCTGCAGACTGGTCTCAGGAACTTTTTAAAATTTTCATGACTTACGTGTTGCAAGAAGGTGCATCGATTGCAGACATCGAACCAGGCGGTAATGAGGACGAAAAATACCAATGGCTCTATGATTCCATGAAAGATCTTATCATGGCAGTATTAAATGATGATCCTTCCATTTCCGACGATGTGAAACAGGGAATTCTGGAAGATATCAATGATTTCGAAGAACAGAATAACTTGAATCAGGAAGCTGACGCAGAGACAAGAGCAGCTGCGCTACTAGAGAAAAGCACTCTATTCATGCAGGAGTTAAGTGGATGGTTCTCCTATATTGGAAAGGGGCTACAAGCTGCATTTGGTGGGACTGCACTATGGAAATGGGTTGGCCAAGCCTTTGATAATGCTGCTGAGAAGTTTTCATCGTCGCTTCCTGGCGTCAGCAAGTTGAAAGGTATTTCAAGCATATGCATGGTAAGTTTATATTCCATTTACTGTTGCGCACTCAAGGACTGAGCTAATATATACATAATGAAGGTTGGCGTCAGTTTGGCTATTGCTGCTGTGAGTCTTTGGGGCTTGGTGGAAAATTGGGACATGCTACCGGACGCTAAACGAGCAGTTGTTATTATCGAGGTAGTCCGAATGGTAGTTAGCGGTATCGATAAGGCGTTTAATGCCTTCAAAGAATTCAAGTCAAAGCCAGCCTCTACTCCGACAGACCAGCTCAACATGGAGGCCCTAAATGATGGTCTTTCAGAGGAGATCACTGAGAGAAGCAGTGAAATGGGGGATTTAGCTAAAGAAATTTCAGGCGAGGATGATTACCGTACTGCGATCGCGGAGGGTATTCATGGGGAGGGGGTTCCCACAGAAATTGATGGTGAAGGAAGCTGGAATGAAGCTATTGAAGACGTTGTTCACGACGTCCCACCGGGTTACGAGGATGTGGCCAAGAAATTTAATATTTCTGGAAATATGCTACGAGTACTCAACGCGATTCTTGGGGTGGGTTTGGTTGTTGCCATGTCCTTTGCCTTGGCAACTGACTGGGGATCTCTATCTGAGCCTGGAAAGTGGATAGGAGTGCTCAATATCATCGTCCAAGGCTTGACTGTTTTGCTTGATGTTGTCGACGTTGGAGCTGAAATTGGCCTGTGGGCAGTGACGGGTACTTTTAGTGTTGCTTTGCCCATTCTCGGGGCAGTTCTGGCTGTGGTTGGAGTAATACTCATGGTTGTCCAACTCTTCATCAATCTCTTTGTCAAAGCACAACCACCACCAGACCCGATCGCTAATTTCATCGAAGATGTCGGACATGAACTCATCGACAGCTTCGCTCCTTCCCCTGAGTCTAGCCTCAAGTACTCTATCTCTGCTTCCGATGTTACTGCAGGCCAAGTGACTACAATCACCATCACTGGTAAAAATGAATCCTCCGGCGAAGTTACTATAACAAATGCAGCTATCACTCTTTACTCTGGAGATGACGATGTCTGTCTCTTTCGAAATGGCGCTGACAATACCGAAAAAATTATATTGGTTCCCGATACTGATGCCGATAAAAATGAAAATGGACATACCTTCGTCACTCCCAGCAAAATTACAAGCGCGCAATTGCCCATACCAGCAAGACTGGGGAACGAATCAATATACTACGAATATGTTCTCCGAGCAGCAGGTCTTCCAAAAGAATCATCCACTAGTTTGAACAATCTTATTCTAAAAGCGGGAGAGTCGTTTCAGTCAATTTGGACAGCCAGAATCAATAACAGGGGTGACGATAAGGAGAAGTCAACTAGTTGGATCGAAATTGTCGAAAATGGACTAACAGACGCATGTCAATCACAGTTTGTATTGCAGAGGACTTGAAGGTTTTTTTTTTCCTTTTCAGTATTTCTCATTACCTAGCCAAAAGTAACCAATTGGGACGAAATTGTGAAAATTGGCTTGTCGGATATTGGTCAATCGCTATTTGTATTGCAAGTTTGAAATTTGTTTATTAGTACTTTTCCCTAAAAAGCAACAATATTATGTCTCGCGCTTTAACTTGTCAAACGTGCCTAGTGATTCCATTTCTCTGCAGTGCAGTGCATCCGCTTGAGAGTTAATTCGGTTTAATGCTGGATGAACACCACCTGAAACCACTCTACGTTGTTATTGACTAATTTTAGAACTTGGACACTATCTATATGAACTTCGATATCTAGGTCTAGAGGTATAAGTTACACGACTAACGCAGTTGACTTGACTCCTTGAAAAGTATACAAAATCAAGCCATATTCTAGGCTGTCTGCATGATGGCAATGTGCATTGCATACTTTTTATCACGAGTTTCGAGAATTTAAAAGCTGACCGGAATCTGTTTCGTGTCACGGCCGAATAGATATTGTGCATTTGAAATCGTGACGGTCCTTGATTACTGAAAGTCCTTAATGAAGTCATTGGAAGTTGGCGCCTTGGGTATGCCCCATTTCTCCCTAATTCTCGGTATTTCGGAACATTTCTTAATTTCCTTGTTAAAACATTCCACCCTTTCATCCTCGCAAGTATCCAACACATCATCTCTCAATAACAGCTCCCCATAGAAATATCCGAAAGCCCACCCTAATAATTTCACCTGCCAGTTCTGTAGGTTGGTATATTCTCTTTCCTCCAGATAAACCATAATAATGCTCCGAATTAATTCGACTACATTAGGATAATATATGTTTCCGTGGACATAAAATCGTGGTTGTGGTAGAGGACCAGAAGGAGATGGAAATTCGACTTTCGATGTCCGTTCAGAAGCGCCCAGACGGAGGTAGCTACAGGGTATAAGAATGGTACGCTGAACAAACTTATTATCATCAGGATAATGAAACCGAATTGTTTTCGCATCGGAATTCGCAAAAGGAAGTCCTATTTTTGCGTGAACGCGTTGGAACATCTCGTCGTCCTTATGGGTGGCAGGATCTATTGTAGAACCAAAGGATAAGGGTTGACGGATAGACCCTACATCTGCCAGCTTCGACGATGCTTGTTCCATTTAGTCATCGGCTACTCCAAGCATATAGCACTATAAGAATGAGTTAGGGCTACCCAAAGAATGATAGGCAGGAATAGACAGAAATGAGTACTTGCCCCATGTACCACGGGAGCATCGAGATAGTTTTATAATTAAATTATTTTAAATTATTTTTTTCTTTGTGTACTTTATATAAAAAAATATATAAAATATAAACTAAGATTTATATAATGAAATGATTTATAAGATTATTTATAAATATAAAAGATTTAAATATTCTTTTTTGTGACCAAAAGGGTGTTTATAGACCAGCAATTGTATTTAACTTAGAATCTACAGGTGAAGAGCACCTGTAGATGGGGATAGCTACTCTATATATACACAAATGAATGGCCTAGCTGCTGTCACACTCAAGAATACTGGGTAAAGTATCTTGTATTAGAAAATACTAAGCTAAGGAGAAAAGAAGAAGGAAAACAAGAGTAGAGAGTTTTCCTATGATTAAATACAAACGGGGCATGCCACGTGACCCGGAGGTGTGAGGCGTCACAGCTGCAATGGATATTCAAGAAAATCTACTAATCAGCCAGGAATCATTACTTCCAAATTATTAAAACAACAAAGAAAAACTATTGGAATGAGTTCCTTAAAAAAGAAAATACCCAATCCATATTCAAAACAATATCATATATAAAAGATATACAAATCGAACGAATCCCGAATATTCGATCTAATCCCTCTAAACTAGAAAATTGTTTCGAGGGAAAATGCTTTGCATTTAGATCGACCCTATTTCCTCCTCCTCCATTCACCCCACCGCCCAATTGGGAAAACTATAAACAATCTAAAAAATAGAAATAACCTGATCTTACAGAAAGCGAACTCCTAAACACATACTCTGCAAAAATCAAAGGAAAGACCCCTGGCCCCAATAAGATTACTCAAGATATTATTATTCAAGTATACAAAGCAATATCAAAAGCATTCTTCACCCTCTTCAATCATCTTATCAACCTTGGTTATCATCCTTCTTGTTGAAAACAAACCACTGAAGCGATACTCAAAAAACCTTCAAAACCAGACTACTCAGCCTCAAAAGCTTATAAAGTTATCGCCCTACTAAATTGCCTTAAAAAAATAAATGAAAGAATTCTGATTCAAAAACTTAATTATTTAGTAAAGATTATATAATTACTGTGTGAACGAAGTGAATGACTTCAATTCAATTACTACTGTAATAAAGAACTAAGCGAACGCGAAAGAGACTAGCTCTTTTAGTAAGTCTATATAAGACTTACTACTTTCAATATGTAGCTAGCTCTTTAGACAGAATACAATTAGACATACAGGACCTACGTAATCCGTGGGTGCTACGTCTTCCGTATCCTTCTCGTACCAACAATTACTTTATTATTCTCAAATGAGTAAAAGACAAAAGAAATCAGTCATCGATACAGCAATCTTACTTATTACCGAAATCGAAAGAAATTCAAAATCCAAGAAAACCTCAACTCTCTTCTTGGATATTAAAGGCGTCTTTGATCATGTATCTATGAACAAATTATTAGATATCTGCAAAAATCTAAATCTCCCAACCTGTCTAATTGCCTAGATCTCATCCTTTTTGAAGGAAAGGCTATTCAAGCTTTCATTCGATAATCAAATTGAAACCTTCAAACCAATCAATTGCGGGCTTGGTTCCCTAGTATTAGTTTTCACTTCCCCCATTCAAACATTAGAAGATTGAGGCTTTCAATCTCCCCAACCTGTATTAGCTACGGTCGAATAAGGCCAGCTACCCCCCATGTATTATTGTTAGAAGCCTACAAAGCTCCTAGCCGTCTTAGATAGTCATAGACTCAGTGTAGACGTTAATTTAATCAATCAAGGAGACTCTGAAGGACAAGATGCGCGGTATGCTCAGAACATCATACTTCTGTTATTACATACGGCTGCAGACGAAGTTTGAGGCGGATTCAAAAAGCAGAGTAAGAAGAGGAGAAAATTAAAGCTATTCGTTGTAATGTAAGTCCATGTCCTTCAATCTTACTCCATCATTCATTCCCCTTAGCTTCCACAAATCAAAACTCACAGTATCTCATTATAGATCTTCAACATCAAAACCGAGAGTACTACGTGCGAGACAGGGTCCAAGAAAGCAGGCTTGATCATGGATAAGAAGTGGTAATATGGGTAGAGCCAAAGCAACTACATCCCACAATATCCTATATTGCAAATCATAACATAAGATAACTTTCATCTGCGTCAAATATTCTCTTACTTGAAACTTTGATTTGATGTAGTGACTGCGATCTCCATTCCAAAATCATTCGGTAGTATACGCTCGTCGTCAGTGTAGTGAGACTTGCTCACATACATAGTCCCAGGTAGTCGGAAAGCCTTCAGAAAAGCGTTTCTAATGATTTGGGCTGGATATGCCTCTCACTCTTCGATCAAAGTCCATTAGTCTGAACACCTCACTTCATTATTCAGAGTCTCTTGATCAGGGGATGATGTAGCTACAACCACCTTTTTTAATTTTTTTCGGTGAACTTTATTCACCTTTTGTGACTGTGGTTTTTGAGGGTTTTGCCCTTGATTCGCTTGGAAGTATATCCTCACCTGTGGTCCAATACACACCTCGCCATCCTCGCTTAACCAATTGTTTACCAAATATAAGGTCAACACTTGAGTACTACTTCGGAGACATCCATTATTCACTACATTTTACAAATCTATCCATTGATAGAAACAAGACTCAGAAATAATAAAATGTTCCAGCACGAAAATTGATTCATTCAACCAAATATTCATTGATCAAAAGGCCGTTTATTCACTTGCCTCCGATTCATCCCTCCCCGCTTCTTCTTGAGCTCTTACTCCCACTTCTTTCAATACACCTCCAGTGTCAAAGCCTTATACATCACCAACAATTCTGAAAATCACAAATAAAACCCAATAGTAACGACTTGACATAATCTTACAAAATCTCCCCCTCGCCCCCCCCCACTTCCAAAAAAGGAATAAACCCAACCTATTCCAAACTACACTTACTTAGTCCTGCCCTAATCCTCCTATTTTTCCCATTTATATAATCCCCATACAACTAATAAACCATCATCTACTGTGAATCTGTAGATTCCAATATAAGATCACATATTCCCATCCATCCAACCATCCAACAATCCCAACAATCCAACAATCCGCTGCACTCTACATGACCTCTTGACTCGTATTATAACACAACATAACACAACTTACCGCACCGCACTCTAACCCAAATATCAAATATCAAAAAAGAAGAATTACCTCCCTAGTAATTATCTAATTTATTGAATAGTGACTGACATCTAACAGCTCAAAAAAAAAAAGACCAATCAATATATTCACAAAAAAAAATCCAATAGAAAACTTTCTCTCAAAATAAAGTAAAATAATAAAATAAAATCACACATGGGTATCCAATCCGTGTACTGTTTATTCCCCAATTTTCCCCTAATGCCAAATATAACAATCCTTCCTGCCTTTCTTTCTTTCTTTCTTCCATCCTTCCATTCCTTTACACCATGCGCCAAACCAGAAAGAACGATATATTTCCATCCCATATTTCCTCAAATCCATAAAAAACAAGGGTTGACCTTCCTCTACGCTACCCCGGGCCATTTAGCTAAGCCCCATAACAAATCCCTCAAGCTAACTTCTAATCACTATTAACAACTCTCAATGTCCTCCTCGGATTCATCACCACGTTAAAGAAACTGGGTTCTCTATCCCCCAAAAGATCCTCCAAACTACTAGTAATACTCCCTTCACTCCCTGCACTTTTTGCATGACCCCTCCATCCGGCCTTGGCACTCTCACTTCCGCTCCCCATCATTATTCCCTCATCTTCTTCACTAATTCTTTGATATGAAGCTCCTCCTGGCATTGTACCACCTCCATAAACATATGTTCCACTTCCGCCCCTCCTATCATCATATCCGCTCCCGCTCCCACTCCCACTTCCACTCCCACTTCCACTACCTTCATTTCCAGAACCTAAAAGCCCTCCTCCTTCAGACCTCACACTAGGAGTCTGTACTCCACCTGTTCCACTAATATCAGTCCCAAACGGACCTAACATCATAGAATTGCCAGTTCCTACCACTTTCTCCCCATAATGTCCATCCCCATTCGATCCATCCGAGGCCCTAAACATTCTATTCGCGGGGACAAAAGCTGCCCTTTGAGACATCGCCACATGATCTTTATACAGCTTCAACTGTCTCCGGTATAACCAAGTACAAAATGCAAGATATCCAGCTAAGAAGGCTAATGCGGCGGCAATGACGCCTGCGATAATTGCTGCTTTATTTGTTCCTTTTTTGGCTGGACCGGTTGAAGGTGCTGTGGATGAGGTAGGGGCAGCTGTTGATGTTACCGTGGAAGGAGATTGTGTTACAGTGAAAGTAGGTGGCTTGCCGGTTGCTAGGGGACCAATAGTAGCTGACCCGACAGCGGGCGTACTAGCTGTTGCACCTCCAAGGGAAGAACCACCAATCACCGATTGTACGACGTCAGGGACGGTATAACCGGTAGAGGCTTGGACGATATCGGAGTCTTGGTCTGCTGAAGAAGAGGATGAAGACGAGGACGAAAGTGCTGTGAATGAATTGGTCCATTGAAGAGATGATGCATTGAAGACGTATATGCCAGGACTATCACACGATATATCTGTTCCCACATAGCCACCAACGACTACAATTTGCCCATCCCAGAGATTACAAGTGTGGCCCGCTCGGGCTGGCGGTTGAGATTGGTCGGACATATCAACTTGGATCCAAGTGAAAGATGGGATTGTCAGAATCCACATATCTGAATATTGAGTTTGGCTGCCATAGGGAATGAGATTTTGTCCTCCGTATAAATAAACGTTAAAGCTACTACCGTCTGGTGCTGCGGCAACTACAGCGCAAGGGTTGACGCGAATGGGAGGAGTTGCTCCGGAGGTGCTCTGCTTGTACCAAGTACTACTCGCAATGTCATACACATCAATGATATTCATCTCTGTCTGATAAATGTTAATACTTCAACTTACAATTGAGGCTTCATTGCTTACAAACGTCGCATTAGTACCACCGGCTAATCCAAGTAAAAGTCCATCAACTCCCCACCCAGGGACGTATACCAAAACCCCATCGGCTCTTTCTGTAAAGCCAGCATCATCTTGTAAGCCACCTTCTGTAATATTTCTGTATACACCACCAGAGTCTGCTCCTCTCGTCGTTCCCAATGAAGCTACTCCAGTATTCGTATATCCAGGATGAGTGAACTCTAGAAGGCTCTTCAGATATATTCTAGCAATTTGATTTGACCATCCAGGTGTTGTGTACATATCTAAATATTAAGCATTAGTTATAATCATCAAATCGCCCATTCATGCGGGTAGTGAAAAGCACATGGCACTAACCCAAATGTCCACCAAAATACCAACTCCTGCCCAATTCTGGAACACTCAATCCCGCACCCTCCGCAGCCCGTTGAACATCCGCCGGCGCAACATCTGAACCATTGCCTGCCGCAGTTCGCGGATTTGAGAATTCAGTCCAGGTCGACGATGCAATGTCATATTTCCATGTTGCTACTGCTGAAGGAGAAGTCGGTGGACTATCTGAAAATTCCCCTCCATATAAAAATAAGGAGTCATATGTATGCCAGAGAGAGCCCATAGCAACTGCCGGAGGACCGGATGGTTGTGGTAAGCCCGATAAAACTGGTGATGCGATTTGCCAGGTCTTTGTGAGATCCAATTTTAGGAAGTTGTTGTCTGTAGGTGGTTAATGCTGTCTCCGAGTACTATGTAAGTAAACTCTTACTCCAAGTATCAGTAGTTTGCCCACTCCGCGTGGTCGCTTCCCCTCCATATATGTATAATGTTCCGTTGACATTCGCAGCTAAAATCCTTCAATTAGCCATATATCACCATATCAAGCAAGCAGACCAAAACACACTCATATGACTCCATCTAGTACAAACCGAAGTAGGACTATTCGCTCTCCCATCAATCATGCCCCCGTTATCCATCAATTCTGAAGCCCCTATCACTCCCGCATCGGCACCATTTCCTTTCATGACATGTATATTATTTTGCTGCCTTCCTGTATATCCAAACGCAGGCACAACCACTCCAATCAAGAACGCGAGCAACGCAACTCTTGGTATTGTAGAAAAGGCCGTACGTGTATTCGGAGTCGCAATTATCGGTATGCCAATCTTTCCAATATCTGCTACCCTCAGCGCATCGTGCGGTTCTTCGTTTCCTCTCTTTTCCCCTGAAAATGGTGAAGCCTGTATAATCGTCGGTGTTCCACCCCGCATACCCCTCGTCCTCAAGCTATTGCCAATAACAGCAAACTCCTCTCCCAAACTACCAACATCCACTCTCTCAATGAATTCATCATCCAATCCCTCCTCCCTAAATCTCGATTTCCTAACTGTTCTGACCTTTTTTCCACCAGCTCTGTCTGCCACATTCACCGGGCCCGCAACACTGCGAAAAGGCACATGGATCGTCTTCGACCTATCAATTGTAAAACCACTCATATTCGTTCGATCCTTTCGTCACCAAAATCCCTAGGAATCCAAAAATATACCGCACAACCGTATCGTACTGTTGTACCCCAGAAATGCGATTTGTGCACGAACCCAACACTCCAAAGGATATAAATAATTAACCATCAAATCAATCTGGATCAAATCAAAGACACATAAAGACCCACTGATATCTTTTTAAAGAAAATTTATGAAAACCCTTTCTCTGGGAAGAAGACAGAGTGAGAAGAATTGGCATACACCAGATAATATTTCTCAAACTATCCAAATATCCAAAAAATCCAAATACTCAAGCTGCACAAAGTAATTGTCAAACAACACCTACATGATCATCCAAACCTCGGTCCCGTCAATGTTCTTACATCATACCCAATTTTCAGGCTTTTTGGCCACTCTCTCGCCAGGTGGCCCTGCAAATATACCCTATAAATGTGGTTTTAAAGTGGTGAATTCACAAGGATTTTCGATGGTAAATATTCGATATTGATTGGTGAATGTGGATGGAATTTGGGAATGGAAAAGCAGGTTCTTAGATGTTCGGGACGTGCTTTTAGCGAGCAAATGGGCTCCTTTTCTAGCACTGGGGAATAATCAAGGGGGTCGATAAATTTTAAAAGCCTTAAAAATTTCTAACCAATGATTCCAGCTGTCGAAACATTTGAAGATAGATACTTTAGTCATTCACAATTAAGTACGAAATAATTGTTACAGTATCAACAAAATCCAGATTCACTCTACAAGTACAAAAACGGAAAATTAATTTTTTCATTGCCTTCATTGCTCATTTTACCATCTACCTACCTAACCTATAGGAAAATTTCACGCCCACCAACTAAAAGATCCTTTAATTCGCTTCGGTTCGAAATATTATGCGCCTAATAATGATGTAATAGTACAATTTGCAGCCTTTTGGCTGCAAGTGAAGTCATGATAGCGCATTAATCGGCTTACAACTCCTCCTTGACATAATCGCCAGCCTTTTGTGCGGCTTCACCGGCACGGTTAGTGGCATAAGTAGCTCCCTCTTTCACAGCATCAGCAGCCTTCTCGCCTTGATAAGCAGCTTGCTTGCGACCAGATGCAGCACCAATCGAGAGTTGATCCATAACCCATTGTGCCCCATTGGAGAGTTTAGCCCAAAGAGTACCTTGTGGTGTGGTGGTGCCTGAATATTGTTAGTGGTCAATCTAGTGGGAGGGGATAATAGTTTCTCACCATATTTGAAGTAGTTGGCTTGGTTGCGAACGTAAGCAACGAGTTCATTCTTGGTGCTTCCTTGTGGAACGGGGACACCATAGCTGTCAAGATAAGCCTTCAAATCTGAATCAGACCAAGTCTCGAATGTAGCATCCTTAGCTGCGTCAGTTTGTTTGGCAAGATAAGATGTGACGCTCGCATATGTGTCACCACTAGCCTTAGAAGCGGAAGCATAGGAGTCTTGTGCAGCGCGGACAAGTTCATCACGGGTAGCTCCAGATTTCTCCGATGCCTTCTTGGCAGCAGCATCACCAGTCGAGGCGAGGTAAGCTCTTAGGTTATCCAAAGTCCAGGTATCAAAAGTCCAAGCAGACCACCCAGTAGCAGCCTTGTGTTTGTTTAAACGAACTGCGGCGAGGATATCATCCTTCTTTCCTGATTGTGGAACGGGGACACCCCTGGCATCAAGGTAAGCCTTGAGGCGGGAATCGCTCCATGATTGGATAGCAGCGTTAAAAGCATCTTCTGACTTGAGTTGAGCATCATCAGTAGCTTTTGCATATTGGTTTCCAGCAGAGCTAGTAGCAGCACCAAAAGCGGATGCTCCAGAGGAGCTTGCCTTGCTTGCAAATTTCTTAGCGGAAGCGCTAGCAGTATCCCCAAGAAGTTGGGCCTTATGTTTACGTGCGATAGCCAACAATTCCTTTCTTTTGCTTCCTTGGGGAACCTTGATACCATTCTTGTCGGCCCATTCCTTAATTTCTACACCTTGTTAGCTTGTCATTTGGAAGAAGATGAAGATCAAACTTACGGGAATCAGACCACGCGTTAAGAAGTTGCTCACTCAATGACTCAGTGGCAGCTGAAGCTGAAGCGGAGGCAGATGCTTGGAGATCGGCACTTCTAAGGCTAGCAACACGAGCATTACGTCGTACAGTAGCGATTAACTTATCACGGGTAGATGGTTGAGGTGCTGGGATGCCATGGGTATCAAGCCATTCCTTGAGATCTGGGAAGTTGTCAGTGTGTGTACACAAAAGCCTATTTAAGTAACATACCGGACTCCGACCAAGTTTCATAAAGCCAATTACCAGGATAGGCAGCAGTCTCGCCGGCCTTCTTTGCAATAGAATCATAGCTGGAACGAATCTTTTGGAGAATACTGTCTCTTCTCCTTGGGTGTGGAACGGGGATGTGATGGTAATCAGCAAATGCCAGAAGTTGAGAATCTGTGAGGTTGTTAGCGAATTGCTAAATACAATCCCCTGCTTTAAGCAAGCTTACCAGTCCAACTATCAAACACCCAGTCTCTAACATTTGACCAAGCATCTTCCGCCTTGTCTTCCGCCTCGTACCAATAAGTCTTGACTTGAGCAATCAAGCCATCCTTATTGCTTTCGGCAGTATCCTTGGTCTCAACACCCTTTTGTTTCAAGTAAGAGGTGAGTTGCTTGGTATCCCATTCATGATATGGTGATGCAACCTTCGTTTGCCAGTTCTCCTTTACTAAATTTTCCAAATCCTTACGATCGGCAGGAGTTGGATATGGAATGTTGTTATCTGAAAGCCACCTCTCAAGTTCAGTCTCGTGCCATTTGTTGTAGACTAGAGGGAGAGTACGTTAGCAAGGGCAATAATCAAATGTAAGACAAGAGATAAAACGACGTGTGCAAGCCATAATTCAACACCAATTTGGAAGGAATGAATGGTTTAAGCATTTCCAAGCTCAAAGAAGCTTGAATGTACCGAATTGATCATGATTTAAATCAGAAACTATGAGAAGAATGAACGTACCAGCGTTACTGAACCAGCTACTAGCTATCGTGACTTCAGCTGCCAAACCCAGCACTAACAGCTGTGAAAAGAACTTCATCTTCTAGGACGAGCTTTAGTATTCCAATTATTCTGAAACTTTTGCGGTGGTGAGTATTATCGTTGCAAAATTGAAAGGACCCAAATGAATTCGTGGGTATGATTTTGAAGGATTTGTAAAAAGAGAGATGATCTGAAGTGGGAGGGGTTATGTATGATGGATGGTATGTTGTGATTATGATGTTAACCAGAAGCAAGATGTGGCTGGAGTAAAGCTTCCGCAAGCAAGAGCTGTGACGTAGCTTTTCTTTAATAACCAATCGATTTATGTGTAAGAAGTAAACAAAGCAGCTAGATATTTGGTTTCAAGGTAATTGGTTGATTAACATAGAAACGAATAGAAAAATCTAGATTTTCCTTGATGGAAAAGTTGGAATGATGGGATGGGATTGTTTAGCATCATCATTGAGAAATTCATTTTTACGCCTCTTTTCTTCTCACTCCTCAAATGTTTTGTCGATGTTGATGTCATACCAGGATAATTGTGGATGATGTGCTCAGATGTGGCTTGAAAAGGATTCTAGATGGTGCACGGACCAGAATATACACTTTGCCATCTTGAAAATGTGGGGTAGCTATGGATGAGAGCTGCTATGGCATGTATTTGAAGTGTGAAGTGAAGTTAAGTATGAAGTCTAAATGAACTGAAAACTTCACGTTGAATATTTCTATTTCTGAATCTGAAAAGAACAAGGACAATTGACTATAAGTCGGTTGAACTATGGTGAATGAATATCAGGGATAGCTTCAAATGATCAAAGTTTGCAGAAGCTTCTCAACGCACTTGTAAGGATAAAAAAGATCCCAGTAAAAGCTAATTAGCATCCAAATTCATAACGGTTTGAGAAACTGATGAACTGAGAGTGAAATTGAAATTGAACTCAAAGCAATGTTCATACAAATTATCGATATGAAACATCGTCGTCATAAACCCAAAATATCATAGCATCAACCTCACGCATTTCCTATCTGCCCCTCAAAAACCTATTGACGAACAATCAATTAGCTTCAAATTAAGAATCTTGATTCGACAACAAAACTCACCACGTCAAAGCTTCTAATCAATCTCATTCTCAAGCCTTTTGTGAGGCTCTATCATGACCCTCCTTAAACTCCCTATTATGCTGCTCAACCTCAGCTTGTTTGCTCGAACTCTTTGGTCCCGGCTGGTCCTCCGAATGAATCTTGGGTGAAGCCCCGTTGACTCTTTTATCCTTCGGGTTTGTATTCTTACCTCCATTTCCCTTGATGGAACCACCTGTTGGGCTGGATCCAGTCTCCTTTGCTTCCTTTGATCTTGATCCTCCAGACTGAGCCGACGCATCTTCAGGGGATTTTGAACCACCCGAACCACCTTTCGTTGGGCCAGCACCAGTTCCTTGTCCTTCAGAAACAGGCTCTGGACCAGGATGCTCTCCTTCATGCTTTGTGGTATTTGAGGCTCCTTGGTCTTGTGGATTCTCCCCCGCAGGATCGCCCTTTCCATCTCCATATCCCTGAGTTGCTGCGCGAAGTGGAGTAGAAGAGAAAGCTCGCAGAGAGGTCGACTGACGGTATTGAATGGTTCGCATGGAAGCCATTCCACGTCTGGCAGAATGAAGACATCGAATAGAAGGCATGTTGAGTATTGAGCTTGAATGACAAAAACGGTAGAATTGTTTATTACTTTGCAATTGAATGGTGAAGGAGAAGTATTTACGGTGTGAGAGTTCACCTATCTGTAAACATTGGACTAACTACCATTAGTCCTTACTAACCTTTCGATCTATACAATAGTGTCAAATTGGGCTACATTTTTTCAATTACATCATGACCTTGGCTTTTGATCCGGTTGGCGGCCGGCATGTCAACTTCCAAGATAGATCCTCGAAGCGGGGTTAGGCACGTGATAGTTCTAACATTCTTATTATTCAAACTACTTTGCACCAAAGACCATTTTAGCACGGAGCTATTCCTTCGAACTTAGGAAATCTTCAAAATGTGTGAAACCCCCGGACCAAAAACATCGCTGTTATATCCGTCTTCGAGCAGTCAGATCCGTCAAAAAACCGGTGAATTAAGGAGGGCCACGATGAAAATATCAAACAAACGCGCGAAAACACCATGAGTATGGTATTTCTGCAGCACTAAGAAGCAATCATTGATGAATAATTTTGGTATGCTTGCTTGTACGCTATTCTCTGTAGTCGATATTTTAGTCGATGTAGAGTTTCCACACCTTGAGCGATTGGGGAACTATTACTAGGTAGTATCGAGTGATAAACTGCCTATCATACTGTTGACTCAAGATATCACCGGTTTTTTTGTTAGTACATCCAACCTAGATGTAAATTTTCTCAAACCTGTACTTTATTGGTTCCATTATGGCAAGTACTTGTGTATGGAAGACGGTTCTCCATATGCAATCTATTTGCCAACTTGCGAATCACTTGCTTTCCAAGAAACCACTCCCTTTTTGTACAAAGGTTTGTTTCTTTTCAACATCCATCACTCAACACCTTCGCCGTTCTCTACCATCACCGTCTTCTCATTTAATCGGTAATTCTTTCACTTTGCTTGCGAAAACGTCAACATGAAGTTGTCATTCGTCGCCGTTCTCGCAATTGCTGCCAGCCTAGTCCCGGGTGCATCTATCAACAGTAGACTCGCCAATAATACAATTGGCAATCAATCCTCCAATGATACTGCTGTTCAAAACCAATCTGCCAATAGTCCAGACGATGGTCCTTCAAATATAAACAATCAGATGGAAAGCTCAGGCTTAGACAGGTCTACCACCGCAAGTGAAGCCATAAAATATGGAGCGGAAGTTATAGGAGATATTATGGAAGATACGGCAGAAGACATTGCAGAAGAAATCGAAGACGAATTCGTAGATGATACCGACAATACACCCCTCTCGCCCGGTAGACTCTGCTCCAAGCGCCGCAAACCTCGATGCTGCGAAAAGGGCGGAAGAATCTATAGAGATGGATGCGTTACCCGTATGTCATTCATCACCCTATCTTCTATGTCCCACCCAATAGAATAATACTAAAAGTATCTTAGTCTCACCATTTTCACCCCCTGTCAACCGCGATGATTTCCGAAGCACATGTACAGACATGGGGAAAACGGCTATGTGCTGTGCTAATACTATTGATATGGTACGTTGTAAATATAGACACAAACTCCAATTTACACTCGCATCTTGTCTTTCAATCTCGGGACAGATAGCTTATCATATCCATTTATATTCATAGGCACAAATAGGATTCCGCTGTCGCAGAGTAAGAAAGTGAACGGGTATGAATATCTATATTCATGACCTCGGGAGTTTAGGTGTCGGGATAAATAGGCGTCTAAAATAGAACGGCTCTCTCGTACTATAATGTATAATCTATTAGGACTTCCTATCTGTTATCGCAAGACACTTAATAAAAACATTCTCATATTCATTCATTGTTATGAAATATTAGACATCACTCACTTTCACATGGAGTAAAAAATCATCCACAATCGCAAAATTCAAGGGGACATTTCCATCTTGTTTATTGCCACTTCTTGCATCATCTCTACCTCAATCCTCTCCAACCCTTTTTTCCCTCTTTTCATAATCCAATCAACCACGCTCTGTCCTCGAATTGCACATCCCGCTCCACCATCCTACAGCAACCCCCAATACCACCACAGCCATCCTTTCAACATTTCTCGAACAACACCCAACCCACAAATCAAAACACCTCAGTATTCACCATTATTCATCCAAAATTCAACACACAAACCACCCCAAAAGAATCTCCACGAAAACCAAAATCAAATTCTCTATCATATTCATTGAATTCCCCCATTCATCTATCATCTATCATCCATCAATTCATAATCCACCCATCAATCCACCAATCTACACACATCAAATAACCCCACTCCCCCAACCTTCCTTGAACTTTTTTTCCCATCAATAATCTACACATTAATATCTATATCTACAAAAACATACTCAAGAACTTTTTCCTAGTAAAATTAATCTAACACGAACTTTTGAATGAGTAATTGATTTTCGCTTTTATACAGTGCAAGAGGTCGGACACGTCGTGAATACAGTAGAGCATTTTAATTTTTCCGTGTATGAGATGCTCTCGCGTCAAATTTGCCAGCCATGCTAGGTGTGCCAATGAATTGGGAATATGGTTCTGGCGAATTTGACGTCTGGAGAATTTTGAGTTGTGCAATGTGCACATCGGTGTGGGTTTTAGCTTGCGGTGCGTGGTGCGTGTAAGGACCGTAAATTCTCCGCCCGTATGGTTGAGTTGACGTTGTACCAGTAGCGGTGTAGTGCGGAGTTAATATTGGTCGCCATGTGTCTTTTTCCCGAGCTAGCTAGCTCCAAATAGGTGAAGCTGAGATAGATGGATAATCATGGATCTGAGGGCATCGGGCGGTAGTATTACTCGGCGCGGATTCCCATCCCTCATCTCGAAAACCATCACGTGGGATATTTGATTCAGGGACTCTAGCAGCTGTTGGGAAAGCTCAATATGGCCGAGACTTGCACCCGAGCTATCAAGATTTTCCTTCCTTCCCATCTCCTCTCAAACCGAATTCGAATTATCTGCGCAAGTAAAAGGTTTCGATCCCCCTGCTGTGTGATATGAGGCGATAATTGCAACGATGGAACCGTATGTACCAGCAATCATCAAGAACATTCCAATAACAATGACGAAAATACTCCAAGAAGCCATGAAAATCCACCTAGACGATCTATGAATTTTTCCTAAACTCCAATTGTCGTATAGCCACATGACACCAAAAGGTTGGAAGTTGAAAAAGGTACCGAAGAGAGCACCGATGAGGGAGATAAGACCGCCGAAGATGGGGATGGCGCTGGCAATTACGTAGGCGCAGATAATGACTGTAGCGGTACAACTGAGCCACACGATCCAATGGGTTTTGGAGTTGCTGGTGAGATGCTTGGATCCACGGAGGAGACGGAGGAAGAGGAATTTGGCGGGAAGCTGTGACGTGTAAGTATTAGAGGAGATGATGAGTTGGGAGATTGGAAGATACTTACGTGAGAGAGCAAGATGGTGCTAACCAAGAGACCAGGAAGAGCGAGCCCGTAACAGACTTTCTTCATAACGAGACCTGCGGAGCCGAGGGCAGGTGACGCAACATATGATCCGCAAAAGTAGTAAACGACGATACCGATTGCAATATAGATTGCAGTGATAAGACCTTGACTGAAAAACACCGAACGAGAGTAACCTCTTGGATCACGCATCTCCGAATGAATATTGAAGTAACCGGGTGTTCCCGCATAAGCAAAAACCAGAGAACCACAGGCAGATATAGCATCGGTGAATGATGGAGAGCCGAAAAGTTTGAAATCGGACTTGTAAGGGCCTACAGTAACAGGGGCATCGGCAGGTTTTCCTTGAACACCAACAGCGATTGTAAGAGTAAGAACTTGCAGGTGTTAGTCAAATTTATCGCAATGACGACAGGTGAGCTTACTAGAAGTAATGATACCAGCAACACCGATCCATGCGAGCCATGTGATTTTACCCAGTGTTTGAATACTGGCCAAAATGTAGGCAATGATGGCAGCGACAGCGACAAACACAGCGGTGCAAGTAGCATGGGTCGATAAAGCATTCAAGGCGATAGAAACACTAAGCATTCCTGAAGCCGAGACGAAAATCCAGACTAAATCAATAAAATTAGAATCACGCATATATTTATGATGAAAGGGGATCTCTCACAAACGAAGAATCCAGCACCAATGAGCTCCTTAGCAATATTTCCAAAAATCATCCCACCAACATCTTCAATACCATAGACTTCAGGATGTCGTCGCTTGAATACTCCAATCATGTATTGTGACCATCCCGTAATCGTAGCCATTGTGATGATACAGATAAGACCAGGAATCATACCCAACGTGTCGAAAACAGCTGGTATTGAAAGGACACCAAGACCGAGATTCGTTTTGAGCATTAGGACAGTTGTGCCCAATCGTCCAACCTGTGATCGTCAGCATTCATACACTTTCCTAAGTCTTTCTGTACTTACAGCACGATAATTTGGTCCATCCTCACTTATCTCACCAAAGACCGCGTCATGATTCAAATCATGATTTTCTGCACTTTGCTGGCTTTTGCTGTCATAGCCCGACATTCCAGCATGGCGAGAGTATTCGAATTCGTCGTTCATTGCTCCCGTTTCCTAGAGAAGTATATCCTATTCAAAACCAGAGAAATTGCAAGCTGTAGACAAGAAGTTATAAATACGTGTCCGTGATACTTATTTCCAATGGCTCTCGAGAGTAAATATTAATATTTTTAAAAGCAGATTATATAATGGCCCCCAAGCATTGAGGCCAGGTACCCTACATAAGCTTGGATCAAGTGAAATCCGGAGCTCTGTGCAATTACAAATTAAGTTCAACTGATTGAATTAACAGTGGTGGAAATGTACATAGTAGCGTAGTACAGTCAAGATACAAGGCGCTATTATGTACAAAATCACCAGGATGGTTATAGAGCGCGCTGATTGTAACCAAATTGGTCAAGACTCCTAATTAGACGAAGTCAAGTCGCAAGCGAAAGCAAGCGAACATCAGCAGGTGGGCAAAAGAAGTTGAAGAAGACATGGTTGGCATGATGGTGCAGAATGCTAATCTGGGGCTGTTCATGCACTTGCCGAAAGTAATTCTTCCTCCCCGCCGCCGCGCCATTTTTCCGGGGCAATCCCGTAACTTTTAGCAAGCTACTGCACCGAGACCGGAGATCAATGGAAGAGTGTGGGGAACCGGTACGAAAGAGTGAGCAAAGTATCCATATAAGAAACCCAATTCATGGCATAGCTTCGGGATTGCACTTGGCATTCATCCCTCCCCTCTCTTGTACTCTGTACCTCAGCAGCGGTGCACATCGAATGGACCATCCATGAAGATATAAAATTGTAGGAATCATCAATCAAAACAAAATGAGAGCATTTCAATTCATACATCTTACAGTGTTACGCGTTTTCGTAGGTGAAATCCAGTTATTTTTAATTCAATGTTGCTCGACCCCCTTTAAATCAGAGCCCCTTGATCGGATGTGAAAATGAGAAGGCTAGAGTAGCTTCGAAAAGATTTTGCAAATTACGTAATTTGACGCAAATTGGTAACGAGCTACTGGGTATATTTGCCATCAGTGTTCTTAGTAAAAGGCTTATCGATCTGTTGGATGGTTTATTTTATTTACATCATCGGTACCACCATGATCAAATTTCGAAAGTTACATGATGAGGTTGGTAGGTTACAATATTGATGTTATGAGATTGTTCGCTTAGAGCAGTCTGTACACCCAATTGACGTCAACCCAATGCGAAGAAAGCCTCAATCTCGTTTACTTAGCTTGTAACAATAATAACAGTTTTCAGAAATGTCGATGAAATGACGGTCAATCGGTTCTCGAAGGACTAGTAATTGCCCCGCGTATTCTCACCGCAACGGTTATCATTCATTCACTAGTATCATGCGCAGGGGAAGCACGACCCTGCATCAAATGATCCGCAGTAAAGAGCTCCTTCTGCACGTTCTACCCTATGTTTGGAAACAGGGTTGTTCTCGACCGGGTGAATGGGCCACTCACCCAGAATATAGGGGATTTATATTTCCTGGACACGTGGGTGCCTCGCTCAAAATGACAACGAAGCGACTGGAGTATCAGCTGTGGCCGCCGGAGCCGAAGACACGGAGCTTATCGAAGGTGATGTTTCCTTTCACGCCAAGCGCTTAGGCCAATATGATGCCGACTTGAGGTTTGTCTGCAACATGACTGCGATACTTAGAAGACAGCTCTGCATCAGTCGATGGCTGTGACTATGTTGATAACATCTTGGACCAATTTGTAAGGTTTATAGATCCCCCCTTGGACAACACAGCTGAGATCCTCACTCTCCAAAATTCGATTGGTCATCCCGTTCATTTATGGACTCCAAAATTTACGCCGCAACGTGGTCAACCTTGCGGACGAACGCAGTGACTGCACCGGTAGCTTGGAAAACTACACAGAGCAGTCTCTGCAGCAATTATTATGGCCAAAAGCCTTGCCAATATCAAACTCATTGATGCGAGCAGAACCTCGTGAACGCCTAGCACGCCGTACATACCGTTTCTTTCAATGGCATATGAGTTCCCTTAAAATAGGTAATTCGGTTTCAGTGATAAAAGATGGAGTCCAAAGGATGATCCACGCGGGATAAGAAGCAAGTATACATACGAGATGGTCTTAAACCCCGCGAGCTCCTGGACGTGCTCTTTGATGTACTATATCACAACGAGCATCAGGGAGCCCACCACATACAGCTGCACCAATAGTCTCACAGAATGTTCATCTCGCAGTAAGCTTTCAACCACCTTTAGCCGGCGATTTGTGTCAATGCCCGCTTTTCAAAAAACCATCCGCCTGTAAACACTCAGGGGATATGTGGTAAGGTGCCAGCACCAAACCCACTGGTGATTTCGAACCTCGCTACCACGACCCAGACGACTTTTTTTTGGGATACAATCGTCCAACCACCTAGTTATGATGTTACTCATCTGCACATCTTGGTCTCCTCATTCCTTCCTTTGATTTCACATACATCCATTTCGATTAACGTCATTTGTTTCCGTAGTGACAGAAAGAAGAAGAACAAAGGAAGAAAAGATGCATTTGCCAAAGAACTTCTTGAAAGCAGTAGGGTAGAACGAGATAGAGACCAAGTCATAAAGCGTGATATCACACCCACCCCTGTCAACGCCCCTCAACCGCAACCCCCGACAACCTCTACCACTCATCACGCGTAACCTCCAAATGACTTTCAATCCAAACCATCCAATAATCTCCAATACAACCAACCACAAAACAAACCGTATACTACATACCACATACTACATACCACATACTCCCTGCCATACACCTATCCAAATCTAAACCTTCAACCCATCCAACCCATCCAACTCAGCTCATCTATCTTTCACCTGAATCTCTACTTCCAACAGAGAAATACACATACCTAGACTCTAGTACTTTTTAGTAAGATCTCACAATAAAATCATGTCATCATAAAAATACAAAATCTAGGTGCCAGTCTCTCAAAGTATCTTCGATAAACTTCCCAAAAAGACCGCTTAACATGAATATTAGAAAAAACATGTGTATATATATATATATATATATATATATTCCGAAATTGGCGAATTATTGAGGAAGTATTCCCAACATCTTTGTTGAATCTTCCTGTCGCTCTTGTACAAAAATTAAAATCGAAACCATGCTTTTGGTCAAGATATAATCAATAAAAGAGAAGGCCCACACATATATTCATCGATCAACCACAACTCCAAAACTTAGCAGTCCTTTAATATAGACTTGTAAACCTCATCTGAATTATTGTCATATAACTTCACGGCTTTCGTTGAATGGTATTATGCATGCTAGTATGCTGTCTAAAAACGCCTTATCACATGCCATTCCAAAATCCTGGTTGCAAATGTTGAATTTTTCATCGCTCGCCCTTCCTTTTCCTTTACCACCCTCATATACTCAAACTAACCCACATATCAAGCAGGAGCAGTCCCACTAGTTCCTTTCCAATACTTCGACGGTACAAAGGGCATCTTGGTAACCTTTGCCTTTCTCTCTTTGCCTCTCACCACCACGCCTACATCTGTACCCGCCTTGTGAAATCCATCCTTAATATAGCCCATCGCGACATTCTTGCCCAATGTCGGACTAGGACATCCACTTGTGATATTTCCAATTTTCTCTCCCTTATCATTCACAATATCCGCACCCTCGCGAGCTGGTGCTCCTTCGACTATCAGGCCAATTCTTCTTCGTTCTACTCCACTTCCACCTTTACTTTTCGGGGTGAGTTGTTTAAGAATAACTTTAGCACCATGAAAGCCCCCTTCTGTTCTCCTCTCCTTTCCTACTACCCATCCTAGAGCTGCTTCTACAGGCGTAGTCGTATCATCTAAATCGTGACCATATAAACACATACCCGCTTCCAATCTCAGACTATCTCTAGCACCCAACCCCGCCAATTGTAGCTTTTCCTCGCCAGCACTCTTCAATAACGATTCAGTCACCTTCACCGTCTCGCTCTCTGGTATAGATATCTCGAATCCATCCTCTCCCGTATATCCACCTCTACTAACCAACAAATTCCCAGATATCGTCCCATCGACCAATCGAATTTTCATGAACCTCGACTGACCAAACAAGAAATCCTTAAGATCCCCCTCCCCTGATTTCTCAACCAAAACCTCTTTCAAAATCCCCTCACTCTCCGGCCCCTGAAGCGCGACCAAGCCCCACCCATCAAGCACCTCCCAGCCAACCTTCTCACCTCCCTCCTTTGCAAACGCCTCCAACTCCTCTCCTAAGTATTTCAAATCCTTTTCCCTACATCCTGCATTTGTAACTACATAAAACAGTTCCGGGCCCAGTCTCGTAATAATAGTATCATCCACAATTCCTCCAGTCCCAGGATGCAACAAACAACTCAACCCTCCCTGATGTAAGGCCAAATTCGCAATACTAGCTGGTGTAATTCTCTGTAAAAAGGCGGTTGCTCCTGGACCCTCAAATCGATGTTGAACCATATGGCTCACATCGAAAAGACTGGCATGCTCCCTCGTGAAATGATGCGAGGCGCTCACAGAGAGTCCGGAGTATTGGACTGGCATGTGGAAGCCACCAAACGAAACCATCTTTCCTCCATTGGCAACATGTAGATCGTAGAGAGGGGTTTTACGGAGTTCTGTAGATGATGGCGAGGATGATGAAGCATTACGAGTGGACTTCTGCTGTCTTATCGCTACGGCAGATGTTGGGAATCGAGCTGTGGTCTTGAGTGATAAGGGAGAGGTCGCAGTGGAGACTTGACGTCGGAGAGCTGTTGAAAGTTGACGGGAGCATCTTGGTACTGCGCGATTGATGAATGCAGCATCACAAATAGCGGTGGCAGCTTTGAATTGTCTCATTTTAGATCAATTGATTGTTATCAAAAAAAGGTATACTGTTAAAAATTATGGAAAGCTTGTGTTGACAAAGATTAAGGATAACGGCCAGCCCGAAGTCGGCTCACTGTGGCCTATGAAAGTGGGGTTCTTCGCGGGGTACAGACCTATAAAATGTGAGAATTACAGGCCTTCACAAGGGGATCGCGGGGTATTCACGGCCTATACTCGAGTAGTCACTACCTACACTCGAGTAGTCACTACCTACACTCGAGTAGTCACTACCTATACTATACATCGGCACCGGCAATTTTGTAGGATTGATGTAAAAAAAAATCCTCATCATTGTTTCTACACTAATTGAACACCTACGTATCGACACAATCGGTTGTTTGCTGAGAGTTTGATCAATTGCAAACGGTTGAAATGCAGCCTCTCTCATGAGGCTTTTAGCCTCTCAATAATACAACTTATCCATGGCCATAATCATAACGTCAACGCAATGCTTTACTTCGTCTCAAAACTGTATCTCAACCATCCCGAAAGAGCATTTAAACTCTCCCATCTCACAGTCTCGTCAGGCTCCGTCATCAGTTCCATAACTCTAGTCTTGAGACCCAATTTTTCTAATTGATACCTCTTCTCCGGAACTTCTTTGACCAAGTATCCTACATCATTGCATGCAATAGCAAGAACTTGCTTGTCATTTTCCCAAGGCTTCCTCATAATCTCCGCAAGTTTCTTACATAGCTCTCCTTGCTCATAATCGAGGATTTTGCGAGCGTTCTCAGCCCAAAATATTTGATTTCGATGTGGCGGTGACCAACGGAGATGACCAGAGTTTACCTCTGCAGCATACTCATCGAAAGTAGTTTGAGTCTTTGTGTGCTCATCTAACATTTCGCTCAGCTTCTTGAGATCCTCTAAAAGATCTTCGTCTGTGAGGTGGCGTCCATTCAGATTTTGTAGAAGAGCTGGGAGACGAGCGAAGACCGCCACGGGGAGTAATGAACTCTGATTCGAAGAAAGGAGGTTGTATAGAGAAGAAATTAACAATCGAGTTGTCTTCTCCTTTGGTGATAGTCTCAAAAGCTGTGTATAAAGTGGGATTATGTCGTATTCGCTATGAATTAGTTAGTTGTGTAACCAAGGATCACTCAATAGCTAATACTTACTCCTCAAGTCCCTCGCCAATGGCAGCACCCTCAAAGCTCAACTGCCACAGAACCAAAAGTACGTGGTAGAGCAACTGTAGACCAACTCCTCCGCCTAATGTTCCTTCTGGTCCACTTCGAATACTTGCAGTGCCACTCCACAACGTTGACTCAGAGTCGCCATTGGTAACGCCTACAGCTGATTTAAGGATTGCAATTAAAGGTTCGACTGTGTCAGACCTATGATTCCAGAATAGCTCTCTCGACTTTTTGCCTTGTAACAATGATGAGTATTGCAACACTGCTATATCCTGTAACCCGCCATCAGAACTCTTTGCCAATGTAGATAAATAGTGCAGCAGTTTCGGCATTGCCTCCAAGGCATTTTGAGATGTATCTTTAGAGCCGGAGATTATGCTTGTAAGAACCGTAGAGGTGAGTAAGGGTATGGGGCTTTCAAGTTCAGGGGATTGAGCCAGTAGTGGAAGGAAGGGCCTGTATGGATCGTCGTGTTCTGAAAGAGCCTCTGATAACGTTGGAATACCTATCAGTCTCTGTCAGTACTCATACAGTTATCTTTTGAGAGGCAGATATAATACCATCGAGTAAATCACCCAACAAGACCAAAATATACTGAACAACATCTGGGCGCTTTGCTCTTGTTGCCGATTCCAAAACGCTCGATTCTCCTTCCGAACCAACAAATAGCTTTCTATACGCATCCGGATCCTTTTCTACAATCTCTTTTCTTTGTTCTTTTCTTACTTTATCGACAGCTCGAATCTTGCTTAATTGATCATCGGTGATTGTGCCAGCTCGTACCGCGCCATCCCAGGGTATTGGACGTTGGCGGATGTTGTTCATCAACGAATAAAGATAGGTGGGTGGATCGAGAGACATGATGAACTTACTACTCAGCTCCTGGGGGTATCAAAATGTTGTGGAGCGAGAGTTTGTTATGTATTAGTAGTTTCGTGGTTGTTGGTTGTACTCGAGGATTGGTCTGTTGATTCAAGCTTCAAGGTAGCTCTTATCGAGGAAAGCGCTAGTGGAGCTAGCCTGCTCGCTACAGCGTGACTCCTGTGGCTCTTCCCTTCAGCCAGGTACAAACGGACATCACAATGTCAAGAACTCTTATTGCATCTACTATTAATGTTTTTAATCCTTTAATGTTTCGCTGCAAGTATGCGTTGGAGATAGAACTTTTGTTACTGCTGTTGGCGCGATCTAATATGTCTTAGCCATTTCTATCAAGTGCATACACGGCATTCACATCAATGATCCAATCGGATAAGTTTATCTGTAATTACTAGGTATAATATTGCTGCGATATTCTGAAGTACTCAACCGCCCGAAGCCTTAATGTCCTGCAAACCATGGCACTCATCGTTTATTCAAGTAAGAGCCTTACCTAAACGCCTTCCAAACACCTTTGAAATGCCAATCACCAAAAGTTACTCACTAATGAACTAGTGGCGGGTGGAAAAATAGTCCGGCTCACTGCTCCCCTGAGACATTCCTGAACTGGAGTCTCCATAACCATCATTTCCATTAACATCAGCTTCTTTGATCAGGCGAGGCACCTTTAATTTTGTACCTTCAAACATAAAACTCGTGGCTTCACGGTCATTTTTAGGGCTTCTAAGGCTGACCATCTCCAAGGCCTCCATTAGCGTAGCGCCAGTTTCATCAAGAGCTGTTAAGAATCGTGCGAGCTCTTTACACAATTCCCAATCCTCTTCGTCTTTGGCACGAGAAAGCAAACGAACGAGTTGTTCTGAGCTTGAACTTAATTCTTCAAAAGTATGAAGGATAAGCAAGTATCCACCTGCTGTCTTCAAAGATCCTCTTTGTAATGATTCTTCAAATAGCTCTTGTGGTGGTGGTAGATATGTAAATAGCGTCCGCCATGACCTCACTTCCGTTTTACGAGTACATTGAACAACGATATCCAGGTATTGAGGAAACGAGGATAAAAACGATAACACGCCTGGTAGTAAAGCTGCCTCAGGTAAAGGCGGCGTGTCTACTTCCTCATCGAGAACATTATGTAATAGAATTTCGAGGGAGTGCGCAAAGTATTCAAGTTTTTGATACTGATGAGCTAGATGTAAAGCTGCTGAAGAATCGAATCGAGACAAGTGGAAACGTAGAACTTGTGGGATAAATAGATGAGTCTAGATTATATGTTAACGTAGATCCTACTTATGTTGTCATCATGTACATACCCTTATGGTGAATTTGAAAAAGGCAAAATTCACATCACGACGTTGAACTAGATCAGCTTCGAGGCCAAGAAGAATACCTTTACCAAGCAGAACCGATAGAGGGTAGAAATCGATTGGAATGGAGACTGTGGACGGAAGTTCACGACCTAACTCCGATGGAGCTGAGCGAAGGACATCCTGAACCTCGGGCCATACTTTGATCTCATTTCCTTCAAAGAACCAAAGAGCGTCTCGCAAACCGTTTCCTTGCCCATGATCTCCCAATTCCTCCGTAGATTCGGTATTTCGAGGTGGATTAGCTAAAGGTTGATCTCTCATAAGAGCATAGAATTCAATATTTTGTGCAATAACTCGCATGTCGTATTTAAGTTTGCGTTCATCATTTAGTGATGGCTGCAGTAAAACAAGCTTGCCATCAACCAAGAAGAGGACAGTCGCGACAGCCACATCTTGTGACGGGTCCCCCTCTATTATTTGTTCATCTGGCAAAATCCAACTTAGACCTCTCACTCTAGCTGGTGATCGAACAATGCCATGAAAAGCTATTTGGCCAACCTGCACAAGCTTCACTACACCATTTGTCGTTGCAAATATGTAGTGATATAGTAAATTATCGTACGTATAGACAAGTAGAGAGTCTTCTCCAGATGGAGCAATGAGAACCACCGGTGCTGGTAGGTATTCAACATGCAACATTGCAGTGTTGTCGAGAGGAGCCTCGCGTGAGAATAAACGCAATTCAAAAGATTCCCCAGCTTCTACAGCAGCCACTAGAATGTGTTGATGCCAACACATACCTCCTCGTACTTGGAATTCGTTCTCCATATTTTCGTTTACGAAAGTCTTCCATCGACCACTATTGACGCTGTAATGGGCAAGACCACGCCGGCCTGCTACTGCAACATATCGACCATCGGACGATATAACTGAACAACGGATGGGCCATTGATCCACCAGATAACTGGAAGGAATTTGAGCATTGTGCCACAAAGATGATTCGGCTGATATGGTAGTGAGATCAGGCATATCATAACCTCGGTAAACCATTATACTCGAGGTGGTTTGAAGTAATGTGCGAGAGATATTTGCGGAGGCGTAGCAGCCAGTAATAGCACTGCGCGCCATTTCTAAAGTCCATAGCCGATTGTCTTGTTGGCTAATAAGAAGGATTTCGGTCCCGCCACCAAGCCAAACGGCTTCTTTGACACCAACAAGCCAGCCCTCGTTATTCTCTTCGCATGTTCTTCGGTCTGATCCAAAGCTGTTTGCTCCTGATTTACCAAATACACTCCACATCGACCACCCATTTTCATATCCTGCAAAAAGGCTGTATCCGTCTGGAGAATAACTTAGACAAGTCAACTGACCAGACGATTGTCGGGAAACCGACAGACGATGGATATGTGAAGGCGGTACATTTCCGACATAATCCTTGGCGTTGTAGACTTGTACGGTGCCATCATTACAGCCAACAGCAATAAGGGAGAATCTAGCGTTAATAGCTGATTTTATTGCATGGCTGTCTTCATTGGTAGGTATATGAAAGCAATAGCCTCTGAACAATTTTCGATGCCCGTCCGAATCCTTGTGCCGAGTTTGACGCTGTACTGCGTATGCCCTTCCATCACTAGTAGTCCAAGTGGAAAGATTCATCGGTCTATCATAAACCATTTCTGTTACACTAGCTTTCTTAGCTAGCCATTCCATCCGGCTGAAGATCTCTGTACTCGTTTGGTTGCCTGTGCTGTCCGGAGTCCATCTGATGCACTGTACTGCGCCCGGCTTTCTTGTTGCGACGACCAATTCATCATCCAATGCTAAAGCATTGCCGATACCCGCGTCAACTTTAATGACCATCCGAAACTTTACGCTCACATCCCTTACACCACCTCCCTCGCCTGGACCCCAAAGTATCCTATCACCGCCCCGACCTCTATGACCACTAAAATTACTCTGCCTGCGATTTATGTGATTGTCAAAATGTGGTTTGAATACTCTGGATTCGGGATCTGTGGCCAAAGTGTAAGTTATAAGGAAACCGTTTGTTGTCTGAACGACGAATATCATAGAGTCGGGTCGGAGGAGGAGGGAAACATTCGATCCGTAGGTAGCAAGGGATTTGGCAGACCGAACGACAACGGCCAAAATAGCGGTAGGCTAGAGGAGTATATTAGCCATCGTCAATCGCAAGCCGTGTATCAGATCAAACATACCTTTGTCTGCCATATTGTCAAGGAGGTAGATGTTATAACCGCGAAAAGATGACCACTTCGAGATATTCTCAGTGCCAACAGTGGATCATTTTCTGGCCGACTCGAAGGAAAATAAGATGCGTCTGTGAGGGAGGACGTATTCCACGGTCGAGTGTGAGTGTCGTGTTCGACTGGCTTTATGCCCGGGGTGATAGGCGTTATGGGTGTGGATAAACCAGAGGCTGTCCTTTGATCATCATCAATTTTCTCCTCGGCGTCATCATCTGGCGCATTTATAAGAGATCCGCTGCCTTCTGTAGGTTCCCGTGAGTCGATGTCATCATCGGTTTGAATAATACGATCTTTAGGTGCGGCACTGCTGCTTGCTGCATATATTCGAGGAGCTCCAATCGGCCAGTACATGGCTGTCCAATGCCACTTGAAGTTTCATCCATATCATCGCATATCCGCGAAAATTATTGACATATATCTTGAGCAAGTTGCTCTTCGTTGTGTTTTCAAATATGAGGTACTTCAATCAAAAGCGTATGATCTTTGAGGTTGACTTCACTGAAAGCACGGCTAATTCTCGGCACCGCTGTGTATGCTAGGAATGTCTGTGTGAAGACTCGATATATCATGTATTGATCACAATACAGCAAGTACAATTATCTAGGTATTCCTAGCTATGATCTTTAAATTTTCAAAGTTTTCATGACAAGCATACGCATTTCCTTCTTAATTTGAAGCAGGTTCTCAAAATTACATGATATTATATTATTTTCAGCATCCGCCACAGATCCCTAGTAACCACAAAAGATGGCGCCCCTTCGCCATCGACAGAGCCTCTCAAAGGAGAAGTTCACCGGATATTTTAGCTCTTTGAAGACCCAAACCTATAATGACCCCAATACAAGAGGTGCTAGCTCGCATAGGTACGTCCTTATTTCACTTGCTTGTTTAACCGTTTATGTGTGAAACTGCCCATGAAGGCACATGATATGAAATCGTGACCACTGATTCTCGTATAGTTTGAGAAGCATTGCATGGTCTCCAATGGGCAACCTGATCGCGACTGGGGCAGCAGATAAGACCCTGAGAGTCTGGAATCCTGAGAGGCCCTCAGTGAACTACTCCACTCAACTTGTCGGTCACAGTGCTGGGATCGAAAAGGTGGCTTTCAATCCAGTAAAAGACGCTGAACTTGCCAGTGTGAGCAGTGATGGTGTAGTCAAATTTTGGGACGTTAGAACGAAAGCTGTGATCAACGAAGTCAAAGGATTAGGTGACGCTTTTACGCTCGTCTGGAGCCCTGATGGCGAGAGTCTTGTTGTTGGTAATAAGGTATGCATGCTTCCATCTCTATAAATATGTGCATTTCCTATGAACACTGCGCTTCCAAAAGTCCAAGCTGCAGTCCTGTAATGTACTTTTCGATTCTTGACTTCGATTGGAATATTCACTTGGTTCTCGAACATTAAAAAGCTCACATCTAGACTGCGTGGTTCGGACTATTGGACACCCTGTATGAACATAGCTAAGCCGTTGTCTGACACTATCTAAAAAAGCTCGAGATTACGTTCTATATTTTAGGCCAAAGCTAATCATTACTTAGGCTGATAACATCTACATACTCTCCCCGACCCAGTCAACTCCTGTCGCTTCACATCAGCAGCCAGTGCAGACAAACCAAATCTCTTTCTGTTGGAGCGGTAACAAAATCTTTCTCACAACAGGAGAAGGTCGTATCAAGATTCTATCCTATCCAGACTTCAAACCTGTCTTTAATATGACTTTTGAGTCTTCGCAACCTTTCACCTTAAATGGACATACATCCTCTTGTCTTTCTGTAGAGATGCAGCCAACGGCAAGATTCTTGGCAAGTGGGGGCTCAGATTCTATCATTGCACTTTGGGATACAACCGATTGGATATGCCAACGTACTTTGATTGATATGATAGGCCCCGTCAGGAGTATAAGTTTTAGCTTTGACGGAAGCTATATTGTTGGAGGTAGTGATGAAGGCACAGGACTGGAAATTACCCATACTGAAACTGGAGAGCATGTGTACACCGTCAAAGGTGGCCCTTGCCCCGTTGTCGCCTGGCACCCAAACAAATATATTCTAGCATATGTGGAAAACGGTGGCTTGAAGATCATCGGAGTCGATTTAGAAAGGAAGTAAAGACGGTGGTCTTGGGCAACGGTTAACAAGCTTTCTGCAGGGGGTTGACACCTATGATGGAAGTGCGGAGAGGAGGCATGCACGACAAGATTCGGTTGAAAAGCCACTATAAATTTGTTGCCACAGAAGGGAAGACGAATCGTTATCACGGTACCGACATATATGTATATTTATATGGAGCATGTTGCTCGCCGATGACCTTGGCCCTAGCTTGTCCTTCGGAGGACTGGGGCCATATGTAGTGCAATCTGAGGCGATCTTGTCCAGACTCCAAACACAGTTTACTAGCATATAGCAAATATTTAAGGATTCAGACATTCTTGCGTTCTTGACTCCTGCAGGTTCTTGGTTTATCTGCACGTCATCTCAGTTCCCTAAATATAAATATGATCTTTCCCAGAGATGTTTGTGGAGAATATCGTCCTCAGTCCTGTGCTCGTGTAAATTGGTAAGTCGGACAAACATCTAGCCGGATGACTACTTGGATATACTCGTTTTCGTCGAGCTTAACCGTTTCTGGCTCTTCCACAAGGCTGATGTGCATCGTAAGCAGCGGCGTTTGCCATTATACTTTTCAAGAATGGAATGTTGAGGAGATCGAGTTAAAGGGGAAGGTGCCACGAACATGATGAGATTAAATAAGCTTATGAACTAAAAACAAACTTTAATATTGGTGCCTTGAGAGGTTGTGGTAGGATTAACTGGCCATTACATCTCGTTACTCATGGATTTTGGATTGTTATTGATCAGACTAATTGCTCGAGTACAAAACAATTAATTTCAATCTCTCTCGGTCTTTCGTGCATTGTCATTTCATGCAGTCAGCTCAACCTTCCCCTGTCCTAGTTCATTCCCCAGGTCCCACTCTCTCACTAAATCCTCATCTCCAACTTCAAGACACCAAACCTGGTCATTATCAATACTTCTGGTGCTCCGTACAGACTGGTGGTCTCATATCTGCCGGTACCGACTCATGTCTACCGGTCTCCGAGCCATTTAGTATTGAAGAAAGAAAATTTATTGGAACAAATTTCCCGGGTTTTTCAAATACGAGTGTAGAAGCATACGTAGGTATCTATGCTGACTCGAACTGCATCTGGAACAATTTTAAAGGCATTGGATTATCAAACGCTTGACCCTCTTTATTTTGTTATCGGGAAGGCTTGAGTACAGGGCCAGCTTTGGTCCCTTTCGCCTCATATTTTACCTTTTTTTTACCTGCATCCATTTGTTGGCAGCACATGCGACTAACATAGCCTGACTTCTCGAATTACTAATTATCTCTGTCATTTTCTTTCCTTGGATCATGTCGAAGTTCGGCGCGACTTAAGCTGCAAGAACAGGTTTGACGACTTACTTCCCTGCGGACTTTGCGGAAAATCCATTGGTTCCGTTCCATCGAACACGGACAGAGGCCCAAACCGTTGTGTTGAGAATCGAAACACTCTTTCGACGTGAAATGTCATCAGCCTCGACTACACATCCCGAGGAGTTCTTCAACGATCTTTCACAACCAACAGGCAACGGACGACCAAACAGCCTTCTGAGGGGCACAGGCGACATGGCAGGAGGAGTTGATGGAAATGAAGGGGACTCGATTATTCAAAGGCCGAAGAAAATCGCATGTATTATATGCCGAAAAAGAAAACTTAAATGTGATGGCTCGAAGCCAAGTTGTTCAACATGTACGAGATTGGGACATGATTGTGCTTATGATCCGGTGCGGAGAAAGTCTGGCCCAAAGCGTGGCTACGTGAAAGCATTGGAGGAGCGATTAAGTAAGTCTTTAGGCATCGAGGCCCGGGGAGTCTGGAACGGGTGATGCATACAGTATCTCTTGGAGCTAGGCTAACCTTTCATGCTATCAGAACAAGTCGAGACCATGCTCAAATCACAGGAACCTAATGCTACAAATCCCAGCCAAGGCACCGGCAATGTTAGCGGGGAAAGCTTACGGACTGTCCCGGCCGCGGAATTCAACGTTCCTGGCCCGTCTATAAGAGCAGATGGTGAACGATGGCGCTATGAAAGTGATTCTGAACCGCCGTTGAGTGGAATGGGATTCGTGAATACTGTGGATGTTGGAATGGGGTTAGAGGATTTTCCTTCTCCGTGGGAAATGATTGGGCTCGGAATTGAGGAGCCGTTACCCCTCCAAAATGCAGTGGATGAGTTGTATGTTTTTCTAGAGGCCATCTTATACATGAGCTTATATTGTTTAGGCATCAAATCTACTTCGAAACTAATCACCGTTGCATTCCAATAATTCACAAGTACCGGTATCTTGCTGCAATGAATCTGTGAGCAATCCTCGCCCCCAGGCCTAATCGCATGTCGATCTAACAATTGTTCCATAGTCCACCAAGTCAACGCCCTCCAGTTTCATTGCGATATGCGATATGGACGCTTGCAGCTTCTGTTTCCGAGAAATACAGTGACCTCAAGGATCACTTCTACCAGCGGGCTCGAAAATATCTCGAGATAGATTCACTAAAAGGATTTGGAGAAAGCATAATTTCTGTCTCACATGCACAAGCACACATTCTTATAGCTTCTTACGAGTTCAAAATGATGTATTTACCTCGAGCTTGGATGAGCACCGGATGTGCCATCAGACTATGTCAAATGTTAGTATTTCCTACGTGTGAGAGGCTGCCCGCTAATCATCCCCAAGGATGGGTTTACATAGTCTTGACAAGCCTGGTCTAGAGACAAAACAATGTCTTCCACCACCACGTGATTGGACAGAGAAAGAGGAGAGGCGCAGGACTTTTTGGATGGCCTTTTGTGAAGATCGCTACGCTAGTATCGGAACTGGCTGGCCCATGATAATTGATGAAAATGACATCGCATCGGACCTACCATGCTCCGACGAGGCATTCCAAATGAGCAGACCAGAAACTTCTCAAACTCTTACGGAAGCAATGAGTCCTCAAGGCGCTTCTAAGCTTTCGCCCTTTGCTGGGATTGTATTGATGGCTTCGCTCTTCGGTCGAAACATCTTACATCTACATCGCTCCGATGCGGATAATCGCGACAATGACTTGAATGGAGAGTTCTGGAAGCGACACAGGAGTATGGATAATATTCTCTTGAACACTTCGCTCTGTTTACCTTTTCACCTCAGACTACCTCACGGAATGGCCAATCCTAATGTTGTGTTTTTGAACATGAGTATTCATGCTTCCGTCATCTGCCTACATCAAGCGGCAATACTCAAGGCTGAAAAGCATGGGTTACCCGATTCTGTCGTCCTTGGAAGTAAAGCGAGAGCCATTACCTCTGCAAATGAGATTACAAGTATGATGCGTACGATTTCGCATATGGATTTATCAACTGTAGGTAGACAGCACAAAGATACGCCCGATTCGGCTAACACATTAATAGATGAATCCATTCCTGTCCTTCTGTCTCGTTGTGGCAGCACGTATTTTCGTTCAGTGCCTAGCGGATACACCAAAAGATACACAGCTTCTTGACTCTCTAAGATTTCTCCTATATGCCATGAATGCTTTTAAGAAAAAGAGTCCTTTGGCGGAGTCTTTTCTAGTACAAATAGACGTTGATTTAGAGATCAGGGGTATGCGCCACAACAAGAAATTTAAAGATGCTCCTTGGAACGAGGATTTGGTACGTCAATCGATTGTCTTTTGTTATCCTTAAATCTAATGTACATAGATGGGATCTAGAGATATTGTAGTCAGAGCTTGTCCAACTCCCGGTGGTGGAAATTTTCCCCCTGGGTGTAACTTTATGATGCGGATCCCAAAGGATAGGGGTGCCAATACGTCCCCTGTGGAAAACGAGAGCCAAACTAATTCCCAAGAAGGATTGCGTCTTCCGGCCGATGCCGAACAAGCAGGTGGGGGAACAACGTCAAGCTCCGGAAGGACTCCGCTCCCACACAATTTCGATATTGAAAAAAACAACTGGCGTCCGTCAAACGAAAACGCACGAGCTCGAGACTTAGGACGGGGCGTATCTATTGGTCAAAACAGAGATCCAAACAGTAATCCCAACAGCAATGGGAACGCTAGTGCTACCGCCGAAACCAGTAAATCACCCAACGCCTACAATACCTCTGATCATTCGACTCCAAACTCCTCAACGTCTGGTTCTAGATCATCTGCTCTCCCATATGCTCAAAATAGCACGAATAGTAGTCCAGCCCCAAATTCAAATCGTAGCATGGACGCTTTTTTCTCGACTAACCCAAGTTATGCTAATACCCCAGTGGGGACGTCTATGACACCAAATACATTTAGTATGCCGGAGACTCAAGGGAGAACATATACGATGTCGGGGTGGAGGGGCCCACAGCCGACGACGGGGACAGGGTTAACGCCAGTAGGAGAGGGGCTTTTTAGACATATGATGGGTTTGGGTCCTGTTGGAGACCTTGATTCAATGGATATTTGGGAGGGACATAGTTAAGTTGGGATTTGGGATTATGGTTAAGTGAAGGGTTTTGGAGTAAAACCTGGTGTTGGGGGTACTTTTGAGTGTTTGGTTGGGATCCTCAATGTAATGTGATATATTACTTTAATCGCACACGGAAGTAGGAGTTGCAATCAATAAAGGAGGGAATTCA